ACCTCACATAAACAGTGTTAAAAAGGTACGGAAAAGAAGCAAAGAAAGGAAAAGAAAAAAAAGAAAAAAAAAATTTGGGCAATAAAAAATCTATAGCTCAAATCTCAAAAAAAAATTTCTCTAATATCAACAAAAATTTTCAATCCCCGGCAACGGCGCCAGGAAATTGATGTATGCTTTTGAATAAAAAAAAAAAATTTTACCCTAAATTCACCTATAACCCTAATTTCACTGCGTCTCTTTTACACTCTTCTCTAACCCGATTCACCTCTACTCAGTCATCTCTCATCTTCGATTCATCACTTCCATTTTTTTCTTCCTTCAACCACAACTTCAATGGGGAAAAAGATCGTAGCTAATAGATCTCCCAGACTTTCACTACTATCAAAGGCTCTTGTCCGCGCTCCAATTAGGTTTTCAAAGCGTCTTCGCAACATTCAGACGAATAGACCAGCAGTTACGATACCACAAATGAGTCCACTACATATTTCCTCCGATAGCAGCTCAGCCAGCGATTCAAGCAGCCAATCAACCAGGGATCTCAGCCATGAGTTGGTCAGTGACTCAAGCACCCAATCTTCTGATGACTACAGCCATGAGTCCACCAGAGATTTCACTCGCAAAACATCTAAGCACTCCAGCCACGAGTCAAACCGGAACTCCAACTTTTCTCCACCAAGAGACAACCGCCATGGCATTACCTTTCACGATGCAGAACAATATGCGAGGTATACATCCCTGAACAATAGAACCATCCTACCCACCTGTTATTTCGACGAGTCAACTCTAACCACATTAGGAATGCTCAAAGAAGTCCAATGGTTGCTCAGTCGCCTTGGATGGAACCATTTCATCTCCCTCCGCTACCCTGCTTATGAACGACTCACGCTAGAATTCCTCAATTCAATATCTGTAAAATTGATGAGGGGCACTAATAGGGCAGCTGGAGCAATCTCCTTTCGACTGCACAACCAAGAGTTTGACTTAACTTTAACAGAATTCAATGTCATTTTTCGTTTTCCCCCAGGAGGCTCCAGCACTTATCCAGACAATTTCAGCGCTACCCCATTTTGGCATCACGGACTCAAAGGCAACAGCTATTCATAATCCCTGTTTTTGTTATGTTCACAGGTTACTGACCCACACTGTATTTGCTAGGGGGGAAAGTCACAATGTCGTGCGAAAAACTGAATTACTATTTTTGTGGGGAATGGTACATGCTGCCAAATTAAACACGGGATATTGGCTCGTCAGACAACTACTTCGGGTAGGGAAGGCTTCTTCGGGGCACATCACCATTGGGGGTCTAATCACAGCAATTGCATTACATTTCAACATTCCAGTGGAACAAGACAATCCAATTTTAGGAAATTCACGCATTGACTTAGAATTGCTACAAACCAGTGGGGTGATCACAAAATGGGAACGACAATACTGCCTGGTAATGAGTGATGAGCTGAACATGTCAGCACAACCGCTGCCTAATCCAAAATTCACCAGTGTTCGAGGACTCAGTAGTTGGACTTTTTCAGTAGAGGACTGCGATCCAAACCCCAATCCCACATTTCCACCATTTGTCAACCCTCCTAGCCAATCCAGACCAAATGAGTTCGCACAACTTCAAGATTCCATTGACTGGCTCCAAGCCGAGCAAACCAAACATTATCAAGAATTCCAACAGTTCAGAGATGAACAGAGAGAGCACCATTACAAAGTTGAACAACTGTTGGAAGAAACATTGACTGTGTTTTGCACGCGCTCACAGTAGTATGTGAGTTTTTTTTTCCAATCTTAAATGTCTTTAACGTTTCCAGTGGGGACCATGGAAACATTTAAGCCTGGGAGATTTACTGTTTTACAGTCCCTTTTATTTAACTGTTTAAATAGTTTTTTTTTCTGATTGTGAGTTCCTTTTGTTTTAGCATGACATATAGCATGTAGCATTGCATGATCATTCTCACCTTAGATTGTCTTAACCACAAGTTCTAAACTTCACATTTTGAGCACGCCTCAGAGCCAATATACTGCTGGACTCATTGTGTGGTTGCACTATACCAATTATTTATGACTTTAGAATTGTTAAACATTGTCTCAACTTGGCATGTTGAAAACTTTCAACCAGAACAGTGAGCGAAGAACACCAAACACTTTTACCCACAGTACTAAGTGACACCATCATAACATATGTGTTGGCATTGATTAATTCTTGAAATAGTTATTTTTGTATGAAAAAAAAATTTAGAAAGGATAAGGCAAATTTTGTATACCTTTTAAAGCTTGTGAGCACAAAGCCAGATTTTTACCCTAGTTTCAAAATCTTTCCCTGACTAATACTTTTTTTTTTTTTGCTTACTCCTGACCCTGAAACCCTTACAATTACCAAATCCCCACCTAAACCAAACTAAAAGAGCACATTGAAGTGGAAGTGGGCTAGGGATCAGAGAAGTGAAATTCATTTAGGGAAGTGAAATTCATTTAGGGAAGGGAAATGAAAAACAAAACTCGGTGCACCAAAACTCTGAAGTCGCCTCTCTCAAGTTCTTGAAAACAACTGCATTGTTTTAAAAGAAAAAAAAAAGAGAACCAAGCAGACCACAGATAAAGTTTCAAAAGAGAGGGACTCATCAATACAAATTACAGGAAAAGCGGAGTCAAAAAGGAAGACATTGGGAATAATAGTTGTGGGCGGAATTATCACATGCAAGAAGGGAGTTATGGTTCAATGATTCCATTGTTCCTCATTCTCATTTTCAATTTTCTCTTTGAAGTTTGAAACCTTGTTTATCCAGAAAAACCATGTATTTCTTCATCAGCCAAATCCCATTACAACCCTTTAAAGACCTTGTGAATTTCTAATTTTTTCTTTCAAAAGTGACAGTGGAAAAAAGATATCAATGCTTATGTTCATAGAAATGATGTGTGATTGAGAGAAACACGCACCTAGAGAGAAACACTGTGAAGATTAATTTCAAACACTGATCAATAATACCCAAGTGATGATATGTCTTGCAATTCTTTAGTTACATGATTTAGTATGTGGGCAGTTCAAGTGAGTATAAATCAAGCGGGAAAAAGGATGAGAGGCGTGCTTGGAAATTATTTCCTTGGGAATTGGAACTTGAGTTAGTATAATCTGAGCTAGTTGTTTGCATATTTTTTTTATTGAAATTTCCTTGCTTGAGGACAAGCAAGGACTTAAATTTCCTTGTTTGAGGACAAGGAAGGACTTAAATTTCCTTGCTTGAGGACAAGCAAGAACTTAAGCCTGGAAGATTTTGATACATGTTTATGTTACCTCTCACAATTTTAAGCTAAATTAGGTCAATTTAATGTAGTTTTTGTAACAGTTAAACAATGTTTGTTTTATTTATCGTTGCATTTAACTTGTAGTATAGTTTATAGTTTTTATGTTTTGTTGAAAAAAGCAGGTGCAATTTGGAAATTATTTCCTTGGGAATTGGAACTTGAGTTAGTATAATCTGAGCTAGTTGTTTGCATATTTTTTTTATTGAAATTTCCTTGCTTGAGGACAAGCAAGGACTTAAATTTCCTTGTTTGAGGACAAGGAAGGACTTAAATTTCCTTGCTTGAGGACAAGCAAGAACTTAAGCCTGGAAGATTTTGATACATGTTTATGTTACCTCTCACAATTTTAAGCTAAATTAGGTCAATTTAATGTAGTTTTTGTAACAGTTAAACAATGTTTGTTTTATTTATCGTTGCATTTAACTTGTAGTATAGTTTATAGTTTTTATGTTTTGTTGAAAAAAGCAGGTGCAATTAGAACAATTTTGTTGTGGGCTTGTGTAGCTGGTATCACTCATAGGCTGCCAGTGGAATTTTTAACAGCTTTGCTTTTGGGCTTGGGCTGAAGCAGGGGAAAACAAAAGGCAGAAGTGAAGAACAGATGGCTGACGTGGAAGGAGTGGGGAGAAGTTTAAAAGCTGAAGTTGGAATGAACCAGAGGGGTAGAACTTTTAGGTTTTTTATTATCTTTTTAGAAACTTTGATGGAAGGCTAAATTTTCCCTATGTTAGAGGATTAATGTAATATCCTGTAAGACAAATTTTGAACCTATTTACTTTGATGCATTGTAATTTCATTTCATTTACTCCAGTACTTTATCTATGGTTTTTAATGTTTAATCTTAAGTAGTTATATTTGGGTTTTTAATGTTTAATCTTAAGTAGTTATATTTGAAAGAATGGATATTGTTTATGTGTATGGATAAGGTAAGTTGGGTTTTTGTTTAATTGGAAAATTATACAAGCTTAGCTAGTTTTTGTGTAGTGAAAGTTTATCTATCTAGGTTCGGTAAACTTTTCTTTTCCAAGGGATTCTTTTCCAAGGGATTGGGAAGTTGAAAGTGTAATGAATAATTTTACTTACCTAAGGGATTAGGAAGTGGATAGCACGTTTAACTCTAGTGGGTAAATTTAATTCTTGCATCAAGTAAACAGTCTAGGAATTTGTAAGAAAGGATATGAAATTAATTCTCTAACACACATTTTACTGTTAAAGAAAATTATCTTTTCTATTGTCATTCTTGCAAACTCTGATTACTCAAACTTAGAAAAAATTAATACTCTGGTATTCAACAAATATTCAATCCCTGAGGACGATAAAATAGTTACTTATGTAACGTTTGGTCCACTTACCAAAAGTATACATCAATTTCCTGCACGAGCCGCAGCATGGTACTCTGCTGCTGGATGTAAACTCTGATATAAATAACCATAAATATTCTTTTGTTAGCAAGAAGAAAATCACTGATTTAAAAATGCATGGAACGAAAATAAGGTTGTTGTAAAAAAGCCAAGAAATACATCACCTATACTCCATTTTGCATGGAATACAAAATCAATCCAATTTGACCACCCCTTACTAACTTTTTAAGTATGGAAGTTTCACATTTTCATAGATTAAATAAGAAAATGTAAAATAGAAAAAAGCATATTCATTAACTAATTACTATAACTTCCACTTACATGAAACATATCTCAGTCAGGTTGCATGAATTCTCCCAGGAAAAGCGTGTTATATGCAACAGATGAAATGTGAATTGTGTGGGAAGCAGGATCATGAGGGTAAAAGTCATCAGATGCTCTCACAACAGCAGTCTGCTTGGAACTATAAAGGCCATCAGTGTTATGACACATACAGGCAATGCATCCATTGTCAGGAAAATTCTGAGCAACTGAGGCCTCAAGTGCCTGATGATAGCTACGCGTGAGTGTGACCCTACCCCCGTGTCCACTACCTAGGGTCTCAATAATGTTTTGCACATCAACTTTCACTCCATCTACTCCACATGAAGCTAAGTAAGCATGAAGCTCATTGTAGAAATCAAAAACCTTCTTCGGGTGCACCAGTCCCAAGCCGTGTACAGACAAGCTGTCCATGACAATGTCTGGTTGGTTTCCTAGCACACCTGGAGACTGCACTGGATATGCCAAGGATGTGTCATAATGTTCCATGCCACTGGCTGCAGGCTTCACTCCACCCCAATAACCAGCTAGAGCATGCCAAACATAAACATATCTGTCCAGAATTCACAAACTTAACTTTGGTAGGCAACATATCATATAATTCTTCTCTTACATAAGTTTAAATATTCCAAAACACTCAAGTTTCAAGGTCCAAGTCCATACTTCACATTGTGACGCCGCTTTGCTTCATCTACAACATGCTTCAGACCTGAGATTGTGTCATTGCTCTGTCGATTCTTCTGAAATTTAGTATTTTCTTTAATGCCAGTCAACCTAGTAGCAAACCTGCCATCATAAGCATTCTCCAAAATATAAATTACAAGTGCTATAAAATGCTGAATTAATACGAAGTTTTTAAAATGATAATGGAAAATTGCTTGTAGTTATCGAAACATCTAAAATCGTACTGTGATCCTTCTTGTACAACACAATCATCAGCATCTTTTGTTTTATTTTCAATCTGTTGCCAACCATCATCAATGATGAGGAACCTTGGACATGTACCTCCCCCTGATAGGCTGAAGTAATATTAAACAAAGTTTAGTGTTTCAGTATCCAGTAACTTGACTCTTCTTCACGGTCATAAACAAACTAGCACACTACTATTTCTCTTAAATTACCTTTTCAGGCCTTCCTCAACACCCTCAGCTGTGACATCAGTATAGAAAGCATCCCATGTGCACCAGCCAAACCAGTCAAGAAAAGATGGCAACTTCAAAAGACCAACAAACATTAAGAAAAAAATATTCATCACATGGTAAGTACGGAATCCATTTTTGGAACTACTAAGAGGAGCTTCTTACTCTTTTCTTCTCCCGATGACGGAAAGTTTGCATGTGTTTTTCTACAGCCCTTTGGTGACATTCAAAAACGGAATCAGTAACCTTTCAGATGTCAACAAACAAATTCCAATGTTCACCAAAAAATGACAAATTCAAACCAATGCAACTTGAGCTTCATTGGTGTGTAAGTTAGACAGATAACAGATTAAGAGACGAAAGGGAGAGTTGCCATACTTGACAGCTTGGTTGATGACTTCAAAGGGGTTGGTACCAGCATGCATGTAGACCAAATGAAGGCCGTGATTGGTCTGAACGGCAGGATCTCCTGCAAAACCAAACCATACACCAAAAGGAAACATATCGTTTTGGTTCTTGGGGACCCCACCTTACATATACATTTTGTCCAAAGCTATAAACTCCATTTGATTGATTTAATTGATTGGTAGGAAGCCATTGAGAGTTTTCTCCATCCAATTACTATATTCACATATGATAGCTCCACCGCAGCATCTCTTCAAACTTGGGGAGCTTACTTCCAACCCAATAACAGAGTTTCTTATAGCTAATACCAAATCAACTTTCATGGCCAAGAAGCAACTCACCACTCTCAAGGCAAATCTCTATCTCGTTTTTGTCATTGCCTTGTAGAACAGCACGGAACTGGCCTTCCAGGAGAGGAAGCAGAACAATGTAAACTGTTGGAGAATTCTCTTGATAATCTTTACTCTCTTTGCTCTCTATAAGCATGAATTGAGTCTCCAATGGGACATCCCTCCCGCAGGTTCCCACTCTGTGAGTCATCCACCATAACTTAAACCGGAAACAACTCAAGAACCGGAGATCCCTATTCATAATAAACTTTAGTAGACAAGATAGGTAGATGTTGATTCATCAAGAGTCAAACAAATTTAAATTGTATAAAGCAACTAAAGCTTAGTAAACTATATAGCATGATAATTTATCAATAGTCAAACAATTTTAAACTGTATAAAGTTACTAAAGCTTGGAAAACTAGATAGCATAGTAATTCATCAAAAAGTTTAAATTGTATAACCAACCAAAGTTTAGGAAAGTAGATAGCATACTAATTCATCAAGCTGGTTTAAATTGTATAAAGCAACCAAACTTTAGAAAACAAGATAGCATGCTAATTCATCAAGCAAGTTTGGTTATCTTGCGCATGCATGATCACAACTACAAATAACCACGACATACCATATGTAAGAAGAAGAAATAAAGTTGTAAATGCTAGAGGAACTTACTCTAAGACACCCATGGGAAAGACATGCAGGCTTTTGCTGTTGAAAGCAGAGGCACCAATAAATGCACCTGTTACAAGGCCGTTTCCCGTTCCTGGAGTTAGCACAATGTTGTCTGGCACTCCACTCAGTATGATCTTGTCATGAACCACCAAGTTTCTATCACTAATCGAGATCATAGGTGTGAGAGTCATGTCGGAACACTTTACTACTGTGACAACAACATATAAAAGATTTAGAAGCACTAAACTAGTTCACTATCAGCCAAAATACAATTCTGGGGTACTTTTAATATATAGCGTAGTAACAAGATTCATACTTGAAGACTCTAAATGTTTCAAAGTACATATAGGTGAAAACTGGAGAGAAAAAGAGCTAAAACTATCGCATGAATATTGTACTAATGTGATTTGAATATTAACAGAAAAAAGTTAATGAATTCAGAAATATACAACACGTTATTGTATGGTCTGGATTACAATTTTTTTACACGTTATTGTACACGTTATTGACAGACTAAATGTACAAATTTTATAAAATTTAAAAACTAATTCATCAACCAACAAAATGATAACTCTTCATATAAAAACTGACGTCAAAGTTGACTATATAAATAAAAAATAAATACAAAACACTTTTTTTATTCATTTCCTATCTACTTTATTAGATGTGTTCGATGAGCAACAGTATCAATTTATAAATTATTTATTACCATTTTTCTATTATCTCTTACCTTAATTATTTTAACTAAATATTTCTAATTACTTTAGTTAGCAAATAATAAATACAGTTGAATGGTCTCTTTAACAAACTTTTATAAACATTATTTTAGACCTACATCTATAACTATTTATGAAATTAAATTAGTAATTTCAAATATAAATTAATGATATGCAACTTCCATTTAAATTTTAGAAAGTGAGAATGTGCAAGTAAATGCATAACAAATGAAATATAGAAACACAGTTGACGAAATTTTAGAAGAACTCTGACCTGAAGAAGAGGATTGGAATGGAAAGTGAGGAAGCTTGACGCAGAGGAGGAACAAAAGCAAGACGTTGAATCAGAATGAGTGTGTAACAATGCAGAGAGGAACACACCTTTTATCAGAATATCCAAGCTTGTTGCAGTTGCTGGAGGATTTTGAATTGGAACGAGAAGCGAAAGGGAGCACAGCTAGGAATTTATAGTGGGGTTAGGAGTAAAGGTCGAGCAAGTTCTAGGCTTTGGTGGATGAGATAGTGACACGTGGATGTAAAATCCCTAGTAGATGGAATCTTGGGAAATGGTGAATTCAGAGAGGGAATTTTTCGTTCTGCAGAAGTGCAATATGATGTGAGTGCAGGTACGTGTGTAGATTGGTCACTATCTTTGGTCTACAATAACGGTTTTATTTTTAATTTTGATCAAATATTAACTATTATTTTTACTTGTTTGAATTCAACAAGAGTTTATAATAATGTGCTGTTATATTATTAATATTTTTTGATAAATAAAAGTAATATATTTAGTGAAAAATATATTATTTTAGTTAAATATTTTACATCACTTATTTCAAATTTATATTCTAAGTTTAACTTCAAATTTTTTTATTTTATTTATTATTTGGTAGATATTAAAGTTGTTGATATATTAAATAAAATAATTTTTCTATTTAAAAATTTATGAGGTAATAATATTATTCTTGAGTTATTAAAATGTCAATGAATTATTAAGTTAAATAATAAATATTGAGGTTTAAAAATTAAAATAACATGTGAAAATGATTTCTACCTTCTCTGGAAGCACGGAGAGAGCACTCTCGATGATGATGACATCACATGAAAAACAATTTTGAAACTCGCAGAGAAAATTTATGTGATTGCAAATTTTGTTTCATTTGAGATTTCACCTAAAGGATACCCCAAAAATAAGGTGATGGAACATATAAACAAAAAAATATAACTAAATGTATTTTTATTAGTAGAAATTTTTTAATTCATATTTCAAATATATTTTAATTAATGCTAATGATAGTGTATAAAATGTAAATACTTCTTTTATTTTTTTTTTGAAATCTAAAAATTATACTAAAATTTAATTTATACTTTATGTTTTTTTTTACATTACTAAACTTTTGAAATTATAAAACATTGTAAATTTGATCCTTTTAACTGAAATTTACAAATCACTAGATTTAACAAATTAATTATCATTTTGATCCTATAATTAGAGATAAATTTAATTTATATGTTTTCAAGAAAGTAAAACTGTATTAACTTATAATTGTGCAGGAGCTAACTCAAGATTATATATATTTTTTAAGAACAAATTTAAAAAATTAAATGAAAATAATTTTAAATCTTTAAAAAATTATTTTATACAAATAAAAAAATGTTTATAATATTTTAATTTAATCAATAAAATACTTATTAAACCGAATTGCGTTCTTGATGTTATTATTAACTCGAGAGATTATTTTGAAAAATCTCAACCAAGTTAATAATAATGATTTAAAAAAACTACACTATTTAATAAAAAAAATTCTATTACTTAAAACTATAATTTTATAAAATTTGCGAAGGTATATTTATATATATATATATATATATATATATATATATATATATATAAGAATAAAATAAAAAATATAAATATTTTATTAAATTAAAAAAAAAAAACACCTTTCTAAACTTATCTAAAACCATCTTAAAATAGAGCTAAAAAATAGAAAATAATACTAAAAACTATACTTACAAAAATGGAGTATGGTTAAAAAAAAAAAATCTTTACATCCACATCTTTAAGAAATGTTTTGGGAACTAGCAACGAGTACTGCGCACAATAAATTTAGAAAAAATATCAAATGAAAAAATTAAATTTAAAATAATAAAAATAGTCAAAATAATTTATGATATTTTAATAAAAAATAATATAAATATAATTTTTTAAATAACTATTATGAATATAATAATTTAACTATGTTTAAATGAAAATATAAAATTATCTTGTAATAAGTAGAAACACTATATTAGCAATATTAAAATTTCTACTCGTCTTTATTGATTTTTGTTATAATAATTACTTCAAAAATTATATTCTAGATAACTTCAAATTAAGTTACAAGTAGAAAAGAAAATGAACTAAACAGATAAGGTGTGTGTGCGATTGTTGCCCAAGTCCTGGTAAGGCGTTTAGTGAACAGTTAAAGAAGTTTAAAATGCCAAATGATTATAATATATTTACTGTAACAGTTTAAAACTTCCATGCTCCATCCTCTCTCTTTTCTCAAATGAAGGGTATAAGGTTAACCAGTGCCCTAAGGTTAATAAATCTGTAAATAGAAAATTTGTAATATTAGAGTGGCATTTGAAATCACATGAGAGTATATGGTTACACTTTTCAATATATATATATATTTCCTTCACCAGTAACCTAAGGGCAGTGGTTAACAAATTTCTAAGAAAATTTGAGAAAAGAGTAACAATGAAGGGAAAAGAAGGGATGGCTTCTCCTTTTGGGTTTGCCCGTGTAAAACAATTTGTCATTTCTAAAGTCAGCTACCGCCATTGTTTAATTGCAAAGACCCGTCCTGAATCAATTTCTGACTTAGACTGGAAAACCTCTCTCTTGAATACTGCCTTGATGCTTTCCTCCAATCTGTGCCAGCCTTCATCATTGCAGCAAATTCCTCATAACTTATTCTTCCATCCTGCAATCACATGAACACAAAGCTCAAAGGGTTGTTTCAGATAAGACAAGATCTACAAGCAATATCTTCAAAATTAAATCTGGATCGAGAACATTTTAGACATTTTTAAAGATTCATCTTGGAGGTTCACGTCGCCAGAGAGGATCCACAAGTGTTCCCGAATGAGTGATAAGTCTAATTTTGCCGTCCAGACACATAAAAGAACAGAATAGGAGGTTGAGAATAAGGTATATCCCAAAGCACAAAAGACAAAAAAAATTAAGCTTGAGGCAAGGCTGTCTGTTCTCTTCGTATATCCACGTGAAATTCGCATCTCCCTTGCATGGGAAAGCTTAAAAGCCCAATGCACTCATGCTATGTTTGGAAGTTTTTGGGCAATGGAGAATTGCGTGGAAGATACTTTTGTCTGGTTGTTTAAGGAAAGGAAGGGGTTTTCATTTTCCCTAGTTTAATTAAAAGAGTTTAAATTAAGCGTTTTAAAAACCCATCAAGGTCAGCCTAATGGTAAAGGATTTGTTAGTTTATACAAGGTTTTAAATTCAAACTTTTTGCTGTCATTGTACACAGAAACTTAACATTTTTAAACTAGAGGGAAGAGATAAGTCATTAAATTTATTTTTAAAAATGTATTCTTCATATCTTTTTAAACTAGAGGGAAGAGGTAAGTTATAAGTACCAACGCAGAAATGACTTTTCTGAATTCATTAATATATTAAAACTGAATCTAATATAGTCAAAATGACAAAATAAACTAAAACTTTAAACTCCTATAAAATCAAAATTAAATAAACAAAAAGTGAAATATACTAACCTTATCTGTGTCCACATCATGCATAATTGATTTTATGACTTCGTCACCGTTTGTTTCAATCTCATCAGCTAAGGCATTGAGTAACTCCTCGATTTCAATATATCCACTTTGATTCTTATCAAAAAATTGGAAGGCTCTGTGAAGGTGCTCATCATGGTCTATCTTTCTCAGATGAATAGAAATGGCAACAAACTCTCCATAATCTAGGCACCCATCTTTGTCTACATCACCCTGTATTAAGCAGCCCCCATTCAAAGATTAAAAAGTTGAAGAAAGCTTTCTAAGGGGTATGATTGTAAAACAATAACTTAAAGTAGTAAATTCACATCATCCTTTCTATTCAGGTAAAATAGGAAAGAGTATCGAGAGGATAGAGAATGTCTGCTTGTAAAAGTTTATTACTTAAAAAATATACCTAAACTTGAACAGTGTGTTGGAATTTTTGAACTAATTACTCATATCCTGTATAATAAATATCCTAAGTTTGCAATTAGTTTGATATATTACTACGAAAATAATTTGAAAAACAAGAGAACAAACTACTTGTTTCTTCACCCATCAATTGTGGAATAAACAGAAAAGATTCCAGATAAAGTGAAAGTACTCACAGCTTCCATGAGTATTTGGACATCTCCATCAGGAATTTGGTGACCTAGTTTTTGCAACCCTACTCGCAGCTCATCCATGTTAATCTTGCCGTTATTGCCTGTATCCATCAGGTCAAACCCCTCTTTTATTCCAGCAACTTCTTCTGAAGACAAATGATCTGCAATCACCTGTTTACATGAAAGTTAACCGAAAAAAATAGATAAATTATAAATTGATATATTAATAAACAATTTGGAAAGTATTCCCCATGAGATTATTCAAATACGGTTTAGAACATTACCCTCAAAGCTCTTTTCTTAAGCTTGTTCATTACAGAAAATTGCATGAGCCTTGATCTAACAGTTTCTCCCAATGAAACATTAGGAGCTTTCTTTTCATTCTGTAACCATGGGTGATCTGCATTTAGTGAACAAGCAACGTTACCATCCTCACATTTTTATTACGCAACTTTTTTATTATAAATAGTTCATCTTATAAGAAAAAAAAAATCCACTTATACATATATACCTAACACTTCTTGTGCAGTAAGCCGGCGCTTTGGGTCAGGATCAAGCATCTTCTTCACAAGGTCTTTTGCATTGTCAGAAACCTTAGGCCATGGTTCCCTTCTAAAATCAACAACAGAACGAATAATTGCCTGAGCAACTCCCTGTTCAGTTTCTGAATTTAAGACAAAATATTCAGAAAAACAAAATATATCAGAGAAAAAAACAAGAAATAATTATATAATACAAATTGTACCAAAGCAATATATAATTATATAAAGTATTTCATCAAACAGAAATGAAAACAATATATTGAATTATTTAATGATCTATGAATTAATTGGATAAAAATGTTGATGAGTCCTGTATCACTAGCATTACAATTAGTCATCTCAGCACCTGATATTTAGAAGATAAATTAGCTTATTAGTTCAAGATTACTGGTCATATAGAAAGTGTAACCAGGAAAAAATATTTATTGAGTAGCTGTTCTGTTTATGCTGAACTGAAATTCAAAAACATGCATTACTTTTCTTCCAACGCAAAGAATTTGTATTACTAACTTACTATGGTACATGTTTATTGATAGTAGCATACGAACCCCACAGTGACCAAAAAGTGGATTCTGAGCTACTTAAGATCTAGAGACTTACATAAGCCACAAATATCATTCAGAATTCAAAACTAACCTGCCCAAAATGGAGGGACACCACAAAGTAAGATGTAAAGAATTACTCCAGCACTCCAAATATCTATTTCAGGGCCATAATTACGCTTTAATACTTCAGGAGCCATGTAGTATGGACTTCCAACTATCTCATTAAATTTTTCACCTGCAAAACAGGCCAAACTTCAGCTTATTGTAAAAGGATGGCTGCAGCAAAATGTTGAGGATATCGAGATTTAATAACTAGCCAAAGCATTACCTGGTTTGAAGATAACCGACAATCCAAAGTCAATAGCTTTAAGAGGTGCTGTCTCCTTCTTGTTTCCGAACAAAAAGTTCTCAGGTTTGAGATCTCGATGCATGACACCATGTTTGTGGCACATCTAAACCACCAAAAAAAGAATAAAAATTACAAAAGTGGCATGATTTAATATCAAACTTAGAAAAACCAATAATATATATATATATATAGAGAGAGAGAGAGAGAGAGAGAGAGAGCATAGGTGCATTGAAGAGCAAATAATCTTCATACAAACCAAGTAGAAAGTTAAAATGCCATGTCTATAATTTATTTGCAGGTTTGATAAGTGATATATACAAAACAGCTCTTTCATCCACAGAAATAAAAGGAAATGCTCTTTTAAACATGCAGAACCATACCAACAACAAGGAAACTCCATGAAAAAAAAAGGAAGCAAAACAGCACAAGAAAATATAGAAACCCTGAGTTTTCTACCCCGATCTCAAACAAAACACGATACGGCAATTATTTTTTGTCAGTTTTATGGTGTAGTTCTCCCCAAGGTTCGTATCACACCAACACTGAATCTCATACACCAATTTCGTAATTGCTATGTTATTTTCTTTCATTTCAAATTAATATCACTATTAAAATTTTAATTTAGTTCAAATTATTCATCATTTAAAAAATTAGGAAGAGATGAAGAAATTTTTTTTTTCCTGATCCCCTCACAAAAGAAACTGAATAAAATAAAGTAATAACATAAAATTACAAACATCAGTTAATTTAATACCTAAAATTTAAAAATATTATTTTAGTATCCGAAATTTTTAGTCACTACTGGTGATAACATCAAAATCAATATCAAGTAATACTCATTTTAGTCTTTTCAAAATTCCAAGACAAACACTAAACCAGGCAATATTTCAAAATTTCAGAGAATAAAGTAATAAACTAAATCATTATTTTTTGCTGGAAAATATTTTAAATTCCTAATCTATCAATTACTAGAATCATAATAAAATAAAATAAAATAAAATAAAATAAAAAATCAATGCAAAGTGCTTCTATTATTCTTCTATAATCAGAGTTAAAATTTATGCTTGTACGTATAGTAACGAAAATCTCCATTATGCAAATTTTTGAAGTTTTATTGGAGAAGATGCCGAAAATACATTTCTTTTTCATTTTATAATCTTCTTTTTTTTTTTTTCCTGCAAGTTCGAAACCGAGAATAGTACCAGGCCAACCACCCTCCAACGGCGTGCGGTGATACTAAATTTAACCTTTGTACGAAAAAAAACACGAGTTAATGATCATGCAAAATCGTGAACAGAAAAGATATGGTACCAGACCTGAACGATTTCGACGATGGTTTTGGTGACGGAAGCTGCGGCGCGCTCGGTGTAATGGCCGCGCGCGACGATGCGGTCGAATAGCTCGCCGCCCTCGCAGAGCTCCATAACGAGGTGAACGGCATCGTCGTCTTCGAAGGTGTCCTTGAGCGACACGACGTTGGGATGTTTAGGCAAGTGGCGCATGATCTCCACCTCCCTCCGTACATCCTCGATATCAATCGCGGTTCGCAGCTTCTTCTTGGATATCGATTTGCACGCCCACTCCTCCTTCGTCTCCCTGTCGCAGCAGAGGTACGTCACGCCGAACTCTCCCCGGCCCAGCTCCCGGCCCAATTCATAGCGCAGCCCAATGTCCCGGCCCGTGGGCTCCTTCAGCACCACCAGCTTCTTCCCCGCGCCATCCCCGTACGGATTCCGCTTCCTCTGTCTCCTCTCCTTTCTGTGTTTCCCCAAGGGCACGACGCAACTGTTCCCCATTGATCCAATGTGTTACAGGACACCTCGAATACGGTGAATCAGATGCGTCAAAACGAACAATATCTGGAATATCGCGAATCAATCATGTCAAAAACGAGCAATACCTCGAATCGTATGAATCGCACGTGTAAAAACGAACAATGTTTGGAAAATGGTAAAACCAAGCGATGAAAGATTGTTGATAGGAACGGAATGGGAGGGTTTTGGAGTGTGAAAGATGAAACGCGGACGCAGGGTCCAGCGTCCTCCTTCTTCTTCTTCTTCCTTAACCCTCTTTCTTTATGCTTGTTTTTCTTTTCTCTTTCTCTTTAATGGCGTGGAAAATGAGAGAATTTCCTATTTTGTCCTCTTCGATCTTCGTTTTGTTTTTTGCGGGTTTTATTTTTGGCAAACGTGATGTCATGTGTCACTATCTGCCTACCACCATTAAAACTACCTTCCTCGTTAAAAGAAACTTGAATTAATTAATTCATTAATTTATAATATTGGAAATGTTAAAAGTGTTGGTGGGGAATGTGTGTGTATTGGTTGGCAAACTTTGATTTGTCTGTTGCTGTTGTGTGGATGGAAAAACTAATTTATTTTAATTCTGAATTTCTGTCGAAAAAACAAATTAAGGATAAAAATAAAAATAATTATCTATTTATTGATCTTTATAAACATTGTATCAACCTAATTATCTAATTAATTAAAAAATCTGTTTCTAAAGAATCTATCGATCAGGAGAAAATAAAGTTGTATAGTGGTCACTGTACAATTTGCATTTATAATGGAAACAAAAATCTAAAAATTTAGCTATAAATTTATCTACAACATCTTATAAATTTTTTTATTAAAATATATTGAAGTAACAGTAAAATTTAATTTTAGATTTTAGATTTTTTTAATAACAGTATCTTTCTTATTTATGATGAGTATTATTCTCTTCTTTATTGATAATTATAGGAAAGTGAGCCTACAAATTAAATAGGAAATTTTTTTTTCTATTTCTTCTAGAAATTAGTTACGTTAGTTTTGACTCTTGCAAGTCTAGAAGTTGACATATCAATATTTTAAAGTATTTTTGTTCAATACATTTTTTTTTTAAGCAAAAGAGACTTTTTCTTTATTTTCTTATACTTTAAATAGATGTCATTATTTCTCTGGAAAGATAATTTTTTAATTTTAGTTGATAAATCTAAGTTAAATACCAAGCTTAATTAATTAGTATGCTTTTTTTTAACTAGAAATTCATAATAATATTGATTGGAATAAGTAGAATATTAATATTTAAGAAGGAGAATATCATCTCCTTTATATTTAAAGTCTAATACTACTTATTAGGTTTAATGATATATAATTCGTATTAACAACATAGTAAAAAATATCTTCATTTTGATATTCTTTGAGTTTAATACTATTTATTAGTTTTAATGATATATAACTAGTACTAATTTGTATGTTTTTATGAAATTGTGATAAAACAAAATAAGAATTGTAGTTAATTATGGAACTCATTGTATGGTTATGGTAACGATGGCTAAATAAAAAAATGGATTATAAAGTTTAAAGCTTTGAGTACATGTTATCTTTCTATTAAAACAAAGAAAATAAAAGCTCAAGATAAAGAAAAATCTCACGAATGGATTTACTTTAAAACTAAATTATTCCATTTTTCGTTTGAATTTTGAAACCTACGTTTGAATAAAAAAAATTCTTTGATTCTAGAACCTTGAAAGGACATTTTTAAGGGGTAAAACAGGAAAATTTTGGCTTTTTCCCTTTTCTAACAAAACGATGTTCATGTCAAAACTGAAGTTTTCAAGTTTAAGAATATTTATATATATAATTTTAACTTATACACAATGTTAAACGTTTCTAGAAAATTTACTTTGTTTTTTATTCTTAAAGTCAAAATACTTGGTTATTAATTTTTACATAAAAATTGATTTTTTTATTAAAAAATTTAGGATTTAAGGTTTAAAAATAATAACTTATTAAAAGTTTATTACCATTCACATACTTTCCTCAATCAATTGAACTAAACTCTTTTCAAATTTTTATTTATAATAAATAATTATGTTTACAAACATTTCATATATTTTTTATATTAATTTATTTATATATCATAGATTTGAGGATTAAATACTATTTAGTAAAAAATATTTTTATTTGTTATCACTTATTTTTCAAGTCAATTTTTATTATAAATGTATGAAATTTATTATTGTAAGGTGAAACTAATAATTAATATCTTATTTTTTTTTTAAAAGAAGCATTTACAACATAAAATAAAACTTTTATATAATATCAAGAATGGTAAAATATAGCCCTAGGTGTTGTATTGCTATTTGGCAACCAATATGAAGAATTAATATCTTCATGTTCCTTACTGCTAAAATATAGACTTTACAAAGCAAGTAAACAAAATTCAGTGTCCCTTTTAATCAACTGTGACCAATAGCTATAATGAATATTGAATAGCCTAGCCAGCTCCTATATTATTCTGTTGCAGCTTTGGAAGAATACATGATACACTACATCAATGGTAGTGATTTACTTCTTCATCAATTTAGCAGCAACAGCATTGATGAGTTATGCAGCTTCAGCAGTGTTAACTGCTTCACAGTGAAAGTCTCTCTACCTTGTTTTCTTTGCTATTTTTGGATTCTTGCACATTCGGATACTTGCGGGGGTGACCTCTACAAGTTCATCTTCTTGGATGTATTCAATGCAGTCATCCAGACTATAATCCAATGGTGTATCAAGAATCACTGCACAAGGAAATATAGTAAATTAAAAAACTTTCTCACCTGTACTCTGAAAAGTTTATTCAACAGCTTTGCAAGAACAGTTTTGTTTTTTATTTAAAGCAAATTGTTTGCAAGAATCATAATAGAAAAAAAGAACTAAACAATAACACAAAAGGTTGAGGCTATGTTAATGTTGCTCCTGTAGTCACATCAGAATTCTTATTAAGGTCTTTCTAAAATCTATTAAAAAATAGTAGCAAGGCAAATAGCTTGATATAAACCAAAGATTATTAAAGCAGCAGTAGAAGACAATGTTGAAATTATAATCAATTTAAAGAGTAGATCATTTGAAGACAGTTGAATAGTAAACCATCTTATTTGAATGTGTGTTTCATATAAGATAACAAGGTTGCACTGGAGCAGCTTGTCACCTGTTTGTTCCTTGTTGGAACGAATGTTGGTAGCAGCTTTCTTCTTACAAACATTCAAGGACAAGTCCCCAGGTCGCTGATGGATGCCAACAATTTGACCTTTATAAACTTCCACACCAGGGCCAATAAACATCTGTCCCCTCTCCTGTGAACTAGAGATTGCATAAGAAGTACTTGCTCCATCCTCAAAAGCAACCTGAAATTCCATAAATTCATCATCAATGAATGGAGGAAACAATGGAATTATCGAGTACCATGCTACAAATAATCACGTTGGTAAGTTTCTATCAATGCAGACATTACCAATGAGCCTTGATCACGAGTACTAATGTCACCAGCCCATGGCCCATAGCTGTCGAAGACGGTGTTCAGAATAGCCGTTCCTCGAGAAGCAGTTAAGATTGAATTCCGCAATCCAAGAAGGCCACGGGTCGGGATCTTATATTTGAGTAGTGTAGTTCCTTCCGATCTAACACAGAAATAAATGTTGTCAGTATCAAATCAAATGTTATACAAGTCTATTTGATAAAAATGCAGTTCTTCAAGAGTTTTTAATTTCAATTATTACCAACAAATATATTATCATCTTTTATATGAATTTAATCCATTAATCCAAAACAATACGAGATGCAACTCCGAATTTACTATCAACAAAGAAACTCCTTGTCATGATGATGATTCTCTTAGAAAGTTTGCTTTACTTCAATGCTTTTTGTTCCTATAACAATTGTGGTGCTAAATTATATCACTTTCTGTTAGGGTATAAAGGGAAGGAGAAGTTAGGAAGATAGTTAGCATATTAATAACTTAGTTAATTGCATAAGGTGTTGTTTAGATATAAATAGAGTGTGAAGGATAGGAGAAGGGTGTGGATATTCTTTGTAAATTGAGCATTAGCTCTTTGTAAAAGGAGGAATCCTTTGTGAAGGGGAAACCCTTGGAGGAGAGTCTTCTCCTATTTCTTGTTCTTTTCATTCTATTCAATAAAGAAACTTTCTTTTATTTTTCTGTTTAATTCTTGGTTCCTAACAATTGGTCCGACCTGCCGGATACAACCTAGAGGCGTTATGGAAGGAAGATTGGGAGTTTTAGAAAGGTGGGCAGAAAGGTGGACCAGCGAGCAAGAAAAAAGTAAACGCAGAAGTCAAGAATTCCATTCAAGAACTCAAAGAAATGTTTAAAACATTCAAGAAGAGTGAGAAGGGATCCGAAAAAAGTGAAATCATGGAAGGAAGAATTGCTGTCTTGGAAAAATGGGCCAGTGAGCATGGGAAGACCTTCTCGGAAATACAAGATAATTTTCAAGAAATCAAAGACTTGTTGAAACACTTCAAGGAAAAAGAAAGAAGCTCGGAGAAAGGTGAGAATTCTACAAATGGGGGAAGAAGAGGATAAAGGACGGTAATTAGTGAGGAATCTGATTCAGATGGTAGGGAAGAAGAAGTGCAGCCTCACTTGATGAAGAGAGTGGAGCTGCCAACTTTTGAAGGAAGTGATCCAATTGGTTGGATTGCTAGGGCTGAAAAATTCTTTGAGGTACATGAAATCGATTCTTTTGATAAGCTGCAATATGCATTCATGAGCATGGAGGGTGTGGCAATGCATTGGTTCTATTATTGGTACCAAGATAACTTGAATTTAGATTGGGAATCTTTTTCAACAGCTTTGATAAAAAGGTTCAAAGATATCTATGACAGCCACATCTTTGAAAGATTGACTACCATGAAGCAAGAAGAGCAAATTGAGATTAAAACATGCAGCAAAATAATGGAAACTTCCACAATAGTGTATAAAGATGGTGACCCACATCTGGTTGAGCAAGAAAAAAATAGCATGGAGGGAAGCAGGTCAAAATGCATTGCAGCAGAGATTAGTTCTTGGATAAGAAAGATGGAAGTACCCATATTTGCTGGAAGCATAGAAGGGGAATTTGATTCCCAGAATAGCAGTTTTAAGAGTGATAATGATCATTTTCTATTCTTGAAATCAAAAAATAGAAGTAAAGAAGAAGACTCAATAAAGTATCACACCCTTGATAGTGCAGAAGAAACCAAAAATGAAGAGAATTTAGCAAGAGAAGCAAAGATTATGTCATCAAGAAAGACTAGGAAGATGATGAATTTCCATATAAAGAATCAGGAATCATTGTTGGACCCAAATCTGATAGGGAAGGTGGTTGGAACAACAATGGCATTAGAATTTTGGAATTTTAATTTTCTTGGTGATTACAACTTGCCAATGGAGACAATGCAGAAGGAAGGTTTGAAAGCTGTTATAAAAAATCCACTCTCATTTCCACCACCACCACCCAAGCCACCTGATCTGAATTTGAATGCATTAGCCCCTGGTCCTCATTCCTATACCAAAAAAAAAAATATCACATGCAGACAGAAAGGGTAAATGAAGATCCTGGTAATAAGAATAAGCAATGGGATCAAGTTTCTACTACACAACCTTGAGGACAAGGTTGATTTTTTAGACAGGGTGTATTGTTAGGGTATAAAGGGAAGGAGAAGTTAGGAAGATAGTTAGCATATTAATAACTTAGTTAATTGCATAAGGTGTTGTTTAGATATAAATAGAGTGTGAAGGATAGGAGAAGGGTGTGGATATTCTTTGTAAATTGAGCATTAGCTCTTTGTAAAAGGAGGAATCCTTTGTGAAGGGGAAACCCTTGGAGGAGAGTCTTCTCCTATTTCTTGTTCTTTTCATTCTATTCAATAAAGAAACTTTCTTTTATTTTTCTGTTTAATTCTTGGTTCCTAACACTTTCAAAATAGAAGCAAGGAAAGAATTTACACACCCAACTCCTTGCATATCAAACATTTGTCCTCGTCTCTTGCCAAGAAGTTCAACTACAGCTCCCATGTGCTCTTCTGGCACCTCCACAGTTGCAATCTGCAACAGATCCTCTTGTTAAAATATATAATGAATGGGAAAAGAAATTTATTCTTTGTTGATGATGAAATGTATAGGAAGAAAAGAAAGAAAAAAGAGAGAAATAAAATGCAAAAGAATGTATTGTTCTTATAGATAAAAATGAAATATAAAACTAAGGAATTTATCTTCACTTGGTTCGGATGTGTACAAGCGTGATTAGAAAGAAAACAATTTGTAAGAGTTTTTTTCCCTCTAATGCAGGGAAGAAGAGCGGGAGATGCAGAGGATAGAAAAGAGAAGATAAACTATTTTTGTGGTTCCACACCCAAAAGGATAGAAATTTGCCTGGGCCTTACAAAAATGAAGATATATTGTATGAAATCATTTTTGTATAACCAACGACGTTGATTTTGCACGTAAAAGGTACTTAACATAAAAGAGTGATTGAGAAATTACCTCGTATGGTTCCAACAGTTGTTCATTCACCTTCTTGTTGATAACTTTGGGAGGCCCAACCATGAATTCATATCCTTCTCTTCGCCTGCAGATGCAATATTATTTAAAGAACTTGAAGAATAATTAATGAGAAATGGAGTAGTCATAATACTCACATATTTTCTATGAGTATAGTGATATGCAAAGTTCCACGCCCACTGACAACAAATGTATCCGCTGTTTCACCATCTTCAACTTTCATAGCCAGATTTCGCTCAAGTTCACGATAAAGCCTATCTCTTAAATTCCTACTAGTAACATACTTTCCCTGAAAAATTACAAATACGTTTTAGCTGATCTCTTACATAGATGTGAAAAGCACAACTTCCACTATTACTAAGAAAGAATCAGGATATCAACACAGAGAAAGAGATAATTCAGAATATTTCTATGGCAAAAGCATTCATATACCTCACGGCCAACAAAAGGTGAAGTGTTTATGGAGAAAGACATTTTCACTGTTGGTTCTTCGACCTTGATAGAAGGTAGTGGCTTCCCAGATACTTTATCAGCAATTGTCTCCCCAATCTGAGTACAGAATTTTGAAGGTTAATAAGGTTACTGTAGTACAAGACTATGTATTTTATCCAAAAACCTTAATCTTTACCTGAATGTCAGTAATTCCACACACTGCACATATATCACCTGCCTCCACATTATCAGCAGGAACCCTACTGAATTTGTCATACACGTAGAGCTCACTAACTCTTCCAAATCTACATGAATCATCTGAAGTACATACCTGGAGAAAATCAACCAATAAGTGGTATGCTGATAGAAATGGGATTAGAATATAGAATTAACTGATATTTTATCGATCAATTCCTTATTCCCAATCACAGATTCAATGAACAGTATCAAGACTAGAATACTGTACAGAAATAATGTAATTTCCCTGGATGCTTGAGAGATCTAGGACTCTCCCACATCTACCCACTTAACAATATCACTCAATTACCACTAATACTCTCTTTATCCACTATTATATTTTCTACTGTTGTCATAAACTAACTATTACAGCTAGTATACTGTTTCCCCCCTCTTACTATCATAAGCAAACTAAACAATCTATTTCTTACAATGGATTTTGAAACAAAATGGACTCACTCACTTTCATTCCTGGATAATCTCTACTCCACATTCTCCAAAAATTAAAATAAAAGATTGCGTTAAAGAAGTGAATCAGACACTTAAAATGTAGTTGTTATAAAGTAAATAAACTCCACTTATCATATGCAAGCACAGATTTTTATCCCTAGTAATATAAACTAAATTTAAGTAAAGGGTAACATGTGAACAAGGAGGAATTCACAAAATGAAGGACAAAATTAAAGCAAAAGAAATACTCACGCGAACATCCATGCCTTTTGCTAAAACTCCAGCTTGCACGCGCCCGATTGCTATACGCCCTTTATGTTCATCATACTCAATATTCGTCACCTAGTTGACAAATAAGCATATGTAAGAAAAATGAAAAATTTGATCTTGTATACGGAAATGGCATTATCCAAGTTAAGGAGAAATTAGACAGGATTTTCATTGTGTATTTTTTTCAAAAATAAACTGGTGAAGATCTTCTTTTACTTCTTTATTTTCTATTTCCCCTAAGGTGGTAAATTAGTAGGACCAAAAATATACTAAACATTAAGAAAAGATAAATCAATAGAAAAGAAAAAAAAAAAAAAGACTAAGAAGTAATATAGTTAGCAATTACTAACCAGCATTTGAAGTGCACCATCTTTGTCAATGCGTGGTCCAGGAATGCATCTAATGATGGATTCAAACAATGGACCAAGGTCTTCTGCCAGATTTTCTGGAGACAACCCTGCTTGCCCTTTTATACCACTTGCATATATCACTTGAAAGTCACACTACAAGCAGAAAAAAAAAAACATTACAAAACTAGATGCCTACCGATATTATCTTTCATAATACTCAAAACATTCTAATCCTTCAAACAACAATGATATGTTTAAATTTACCAGCAGACACCATTCAGAATCTAAAAGACTTTTTATAACATTCCCAGATGTAATTGGGAATAAAGAAATCACAGTAGAGTTTTGACTACATACAAACTTCCATGCCCCAACCCAATTTGTAAACAACACACAAGACTATAACTAGTTAAGTTATATATACCTGTTCGTCTGTGGCATTTAGTTCAATGAAGAGTTCAAAAGTAGAATTGACAACAAAATCTGGGCGAGCAGAAGGCCTATCTATCTTATTCACAACCACGACAACTGAATGACCAAACTCTAAAGCCTTCTTCAAGACGAATCTTGTCTGTGGCATTGGTCCTTCAACAGAATCTACCTATAAATACAAAGAGAAGCTTGATAAACACTATATATTGCAAGAAGCCACATTCTAGTGAAGAAAATTAAGTATTTTTATGCAAGAGAATAAGTATCAGAAATTTCCTAACAGAGGAAAACAAACTACCATTGTTATAGATATAATATCAACCCACCATTGTTATAGATATTTGTAAAGCCTGAGTAGTAAAGAAGAAAATGGTAACAAATTTAAAATTCCTTTTAAATTCAAAACCAATATTGACAATATGTTTGGCATCAATACAAGAAATGATTACACAAGTTTTTTCAAAGCTTGTGTGTTCTTGCTCTTGATACTAGTTTGTATAAGAAGTGCAATTTCATGAGAGAAAACCATCTTTTAGTAGTTACCAATAGTCAATATCAGTCATCACAGTTAATTCAATGGTGCAAAAGGATGCATGATGATCATTAAGTAAATGGGAAAATAGTAGGAGTACCACTAGAAGGATCCCTTCCACCATATTTAAGATACGCTCCACTTCACCCCCAAAATCAGAGTGACCTGGAGTGTCTATTATATTGATCTTTGTGTCTTTATAGGTGACAGATGTATTTTTACTCAGTATTGTGATCCCTCTTTCGCGCTCCAAATCATTCGAGTCCATTATCCTCTCCTGAACAAATTGATTGTCACGAAATACCTGCACCAAATTGAACAGATGAATACCATATCAATATTACCCTTCATTCCTTTTTATGAGAACAAACCAATTGGTTCAAGTTAACAAATGAACTAAAACTACACATCAAAATAGTAATAAAACAAATTCTCAAAAAGAAACCCGTTGAAACTAAATTCACAAAATGAAGATAGCAAGAACTAAAGATACAAGTTAAGCATAAACTCTATTTACTTCAATTGAAGCCATATTCCATGTAATGAACAATACCTTAGTTTGTTTGAGCATGGCATCAACGAGAGTAGTTTTTCCATGATCAACATGAGCAACAATTGCTATATTTCTCACGTCCGCTCTTCTTAGCAATTGCCTCTTCTTCTCTAAGAGACAAAAAAACAAACAAGATAATCAAATAAAATGACATCGAAAAAGAAAAAAAAAATGCAAACCAAAATCCAAACTCAAAAGGCCAAAGGTCTTGCTAACCACTGCACTAATTAAGGAAATAAAAGGAGAAAATTTATATTGAAATCATATAACAGCTGATTAAAAATGATAAAAGAACACATTTTTAGGTATCTCAATAAAAATTAAAAAAAAAAAAATTGTCCTAATTCCTTAAACAATAACAACAATTTGTCAATAATAAAATCGAAATATAGAGAAAAGAAGAGAGTGTGAATTGATTTACCAGTTTTGGGTTCTGTGGCTTCTGAAACGGAACATTTAATGGGCCTGCAAGTGGAGGAAGATAATCTTTTGGCGGCGGAAAAGGAAGAAGATAAGGGTAGGCCAAGAAGTTGGGTATGGAAGAAGGGTTGAAAAGCGGATGTCTTTGGAAGAGTGGTGTTGGTGGGGAAGAGGGAGGTGTGAATAGTAGTAAGTGCAGCCATCTTCTCCATTGCCCCTCACTCTCTCTTGGTTGGTTTACACAGAAGAGAAGAGAGGGATGAGGAAGAAGAAGGAGTATGAGTATGAGGCTAATAATGAATTGGTTTTGTTATTGTAAGTTCCGAAACAAAACCAAGTAGAAATTGAGTGGCACAGGAATGGATACTGATTAGTGTGTGGGAAATGGCTTCTAAGGTTTCTCTCTCAGTGTGTCTCTAAGGGCCACTTTTTTCCACATCATCCAACCTTAACCTTTTGATAAAATATGAACTAAAATATAATCATTCAAAATAATTTTTATTTTATATACCCATCTTTCATTTTATATATTTTTAAATGTATTTTTAAAATGTAATTTAATTTTTATATATTATTATTAAATATAATTTAATCCTAAAGTCATCTTGCATGAGTTCCTTTTATAGCAAGTGAAATCCATTTTTTATAAATTAAAATTAATTTATATATACATTTAAAATAAAATTTAAAGAAATTATGTAAAAGAATTTTTACAAATTAACTTATGTAGTTGCTATATTCAAACATTAAAACCAAATCTAAAAACAAATTCATAGACCAATTTTTAAACATGTTCTTTTATTTATTTTTTCATTGAAAAGAGAAAATCCTATCTAATTTTGATAATGAAATGTCAAAGCACACATTGAAGTAATTTTTAAGTTGATTATCTAGTGTCAAAAGTTTAATAAAAGTTATTGAAGAATAAAATTGAGCAATACAAATCAACTTCTTATCAAATGCAAAAAATGAATATTTTGAATTTAAGCATGATACCTAGAAAATGAATCAACTGGATTGGGAGTTAAGATTTTGTTTCATACATAATATATATAAAAAAAAATGCTCTAATAAGTGAAGCCTTTACTTCAGTTTAATTTTGTTTTATTGTATATTAATAATTTACTGAAGAAAATTTAGTGGAGCAATTACATATCATAAATTTTACACTATGGATGCAATATCATTCAGATGATTGTGTTGAGTTTCAAACCACTTGTTTCAATGGTTCACCCAATTTTTCAACCAATTGTTCCACCCTCCATTCTTCCTTCTTCTGCATGCTCTTGGCAATCCCTTCCATTCCATAATGGCTTCCATCCCACTTTCCCTAACCCCTTACAAAGCCGCAAACTTGTGACACCCCAATGTTGTGTTGTCTTACCCTGTAATCAGAACAATACTGTTCTGCTCAATGACTGGCTTCAGCTTCTTCAATTCTCAATTGGGTCACAGGATTATATGCTGGCAAAGACAATTCATGGGTCTCTAATCAAATCTGGCTGTGAAGGTGACTTATTTGTGGACAACAATCTTGTGAACTTGTACTCAAAATTCAACAACATGGCTGATGCTCAGAGGATATTTGATGAAATGCCTGTGAGGAGCACTGTCACTTGGACTACCCTCATGAAAGGGTATTTGAAGAATGGGGATGTTGAGTGTGTTTTGTGTATTGCACGTGATATGTGCATGGTTGATGAGAAGTTCAATGAGCATACTTGTTCAGTGGTCCTGCAGGCATGTAGGTCCTCGGAAAATCGTTTTTTCGGCGAGCAGGTTCATGCTTTTGTTGTAAAAGGTGGGCTTCAGAATAATGTTGTTGTGGCCACTTCATTGGTTTCTATGTACTCTAGAAGTGGCCACTTGGATTGTGCAGAAAGAGTGTTTGGTGGCATAAGTGATAAAGATGCTCAGTGCATAAATTATATGATTTTGGAATATGGCAAGGCAGGCTTAGGGGATAAGGCATTGCGGATTTTTGTGGATATGCTACAATCTGGATTGAAACCAAATGAATATACGTTTACAAATTTGATCAGTGCGTGTGATTTTAGTGTAGGGTTAAACGTAGGGAAGCAACTACACGGGCTTGCGGTAACGTATGGTTTTATGTGTGAAACATCTCTTAGAAATGCAATTATTACAATGTATGGGCAACATAGAATGGTCGAAGAAGCTGAGCGATTGTTTGCCGAACTGGATGAGAGGTCTTTGATTTCCTGGTCTGCACTTCTTTCAGTATTTGTTAAGAACGGCCATGCTGACAAAGCCTTTGATTTTTTCTTCAACATGATTCAGATTGGTGTGCCTCTTGATTCTGGTTGCTTCAGCACTGTTCTTGATGGGTGTTCAGAGTGGAATAATTTGAAATTTGGGGTTCAAATTCATGGACTCATAATAAAGCTTGGTCATGTCTCTGATGTCAATAGTGGTACTGCTTTAGTAGATTTCTATGCTAAATGTGGAAGCTTGCAGTCAGCAAGAGAAATTTTCGACAGGCTCCGAAATAAAACTATTGCTTCATTTAATGCCATTCTTGTTGGATACTTGAATTCGAAGGTAAGAGATGATGAAGAGGACCCTATGGGTTTTTTCAGTAAACTAAGATTCAATGGCGTAAAACCTGATTGTATAACATTTTCACGGCTCCTTTGTTTATCTGCTAATCAAGCATGCTTGGTAACTGGGAAGAGTCTCCATGCTTACTCAATAAAGGTGGGACTTGAAGATGATACTGCTGTAGGCAATGCTGTAATTACTATGTATGCTAAATGTGGCACTGTTCAGGATGCTTATCAAATATTTAGCAGTACGAACCGCGATTGTGTTACCTGGAATGCCATAATTTCTGCATATGCCCTTCATGGTGAAGGAAACAAAGCACTTTTGCTGTTTGAAGAGATGAAGGAACAGGGTTTTGCTCCTGATGAGATTACCATATTGGCTATTCTCCAATCATGTAGTTACTCAGGTTTGTGGGAAACTGGGTTACACTTATTCAATGAGATCCAATCAAAGTATGGGATCAGGCCTGTGATTGAGCACTTCTCTTGCGTGATTGATCTTTTAGGTCGAGCCAGAAATCTATCCAAAGCCTTTGATATCATCAACAAAAGCCCATTTCCAGATTCAATTTTGCTTTGGAGGACTTTTGTCAATGCCTGTAAGCTGTGTGGTGATTTACAACTTGGAATGTGGGCATCCAGAAAATTGCTTGATTTAGCCCCGAATGATGCCTCCTCTTATATACTTGTATCAAACATGTATGCTGAAGGAGGCATGTTCGAAGAGGCTGCAAAGGTGAGAACGGCTATGAATGACTTGAAACTAACTAAAGAAAAAGGCTCCAGCTGGATTGAGATAGATAATGAGGTTCACTATTTTATAGCAAGTGGCAAAGACCACCCTCAGAGCAGAGAAATTTATGCAAAATTGGATCTGTTAAAAGACGAACTATGTTGGAGCTGCAGAACAGAAATAATCTTGAACTGATATTAAATCCCCTGTGACACGATATTTTAGATTTGCTACAGTTCATTAGCAAGATTTCAGCAATATTCCGAGGATTAAGGGAGGATTTGCCAGTAGATCACTCTTCCATAACAATTTTGCTACAGTTGCACCATAGAAATTCTGTATACCCCTCTAGCCAAGAAAAGGTTGGAAAAACCAGGACATCTTTTGTAATGTTATTGCACAGTGAACTGCCGGAAGTTTTTGAGTTAGAAACTGGTGCAGCAGCTTCTCTAGTTCTTAAATGAACCAAATCATTTACATTTGTACATTTTGTAGAAAATCCAGTACTTGACCAGAAGCTCATGCATTAACTTCAAGAAAATGAAATCAGGTTCTAGCATACTATGGTGTTGGTAGAACTTGACTATTCTTAGTTATTTTAGAATGCAGCGTATCATGGATCTAATTACTGTTTCAAAATATAAACCAGTTTCTGCATAAAAATGGAAATATATCCTTTCAAGCCCTGACTTGCGTTCAATCTTTAAAGACAAACAAGCAAGCATGAAGGAATTGTTCAAAATATCTGTGAAGCCCATCAAAGATAAATGAAGCATATTTGATTTTCTTCTGGCAACCCAACTGAGAATTGATATACTCTGCATAAAATGTCACTTATAGTTCTATTGCCTGACCTATTAACAAGTAATATTGTATGTCCGAAACTACCATGTATCCATCAATCTGTTTAATCTCTGTGACGTATAGTCGAGTTTTATTGACTCTTGTAAATTGAAAAAAGTAAGTTACGTGAAGATTGACCGAAAAATAATTTCTCATAAGTGACACACAGATTTGACAAGAAATTTAAGCTGTGTCACATAAAGATTGACCGAGACTATAAACAAGGAATAGTTATTAAAACTTCTATATTTCTTATGGAATTTCAACAATAGTGTCAGACTACATAATCATTTATCGTGAGTACCACTACTGATACAAGATTGTCAAAACGTGGGACCAAGGACTTGAAAATCTCATTGGACAGAGGAATAGGAGAAATTGGAACATTATGAATGATGTCTTGATCATGTTTCATTGCCAAGAATCTTCTCCTTTTGGGTGTCGATGAATTTATCAAACTAGACATTGTATGTAGCTTTATTGACAATCGGTTCCATGCAGACACTCAATCCTTTTCTAGACCAGTATTGGTGAGAATTGCCTTCCACTGGAGATTCACGCTCCAAATACAAAATCACTAAAAGACAAAAATTGTTTCCACTTTTTTTAACTTTTGCTCTTGCTTTTAGATTGAAAGCGTGAAAACTTTAGTTACTTAAGGTGAAGAAATACTAGCCACATCACTGCGCAATTTCCGTGCAAAGTTTGAGCATCAATTATTCTCATACTTTTTTTTTTCTCTGGTCTACTAAGTTGTCCCATGTCTAATCTTTTCACTTTTTAAATAACTTAGTTCTTAATTTATTTATAAACAAGATTTAGAGCAGAACTTCTTTTAGTGTTCTTCTCCAACTAAAATTTAGACTTTTACTTTAATCCATCATTAAAAGTTGGGTCAGTCAACCATGTATGCCATTTGTTTCGATGAGCAATACATACCAACGTAAGTGTGGTTTAATGAACTTATTAAGAGTAGCTTTTGTGTGTTTAGATAAGTGATAAGTGAAAATAAATTTAAATCTTTTAAGTAAGATTTGAAATTCAAGCTTTATTGATGAGAAAAACACCATTAGAAGAAGCAATGTCATTAAAAATAATAAATCAAGTTTCTTTTTATAAAGATTAATCACCAGTAAAGTTGATGGATATTAAGATATATATGTACTGGTCTATTAGATTGAAATAACTTAAAGTTGCTTTTCAATCTTTCACGTGAATTTCAGATGATGCAACGGGAGTGTGTTATTCCTTGTATGTCTTAGCATGATCTACAAGATATTTTCTCATAAACTAAACAATTATTTCTTTTTTGCTGTGTTGGGACATGAAAATTAACAACTGATTAGAAAGATTAGTGAGGGTCACTTTGGTAACCCAAAATCCAAGACTGTGGAGAAAATGGCCACAATGTTGGACACAGTTACGTGTCGGCAATGCATTTGTAAGTAGTGGAGGCCAACTAATAACAAAAAACCAAATTTATTAATGTACAAAACGTTAATCAGAAGCACAACCAACCAAATGATCATCATGTCGATTAGTTTTAATGCACTGATGAATCACTCAGAAACACTCCAATTGGTTTGTATATAATATCTGATGATAATATACACCCTCATATCTTCTTTTTCCTTTATACTGCTTCTCTTTAACCCTTTAAGTTAAATTTAAAAGGAAAAGAGACTCTCACCACCACACTATGTCGTCTATTATGCCATAAGATTTTCCCTCTCTATGTTTCTCTTTTTGGTCATATTTGTCTAAAAATGTGGTTTCAAAGTATAACATTTATTATTGTACATCTTAAAAGAAAGATCTTTTGGTAGGTGCTCTTCCAACTGCTCTCATAAGGTTGGCAATCTCCAGAACCCTGGCTACTTTTGTGCCCCTTTTAGCCTCTGCTGATGCCTTCCTCTCCTCAGCTTTTCTATGAGCTTTTGCCACCTCGTTTTGCATTTTCTCCAGTGCTCTTGCTCTTTTCTCCTCCAGCTTCCTCTGCACAATCAGTTCAAATTTTTGGTTATTGATGACCAAATTTGTAATTACAAACAATGAGCACTTTGTTAGTCAAAGTTCTGTTTCACTCCCCAATAGAGTTGGTGTAATGTAGGATGAAAATGAAAACTAGCATCAAAATCAAATCATTAGACCACTTGCTTTTTGCTGGCGGCTACCATATTTCTAGCTCTTTGCTGTTATCACTGTAAAATTAGCCTTGAAGATAAGGCCATGGATGCAATCCAAATGAGTCCTTTCATATATTAACATGTTATTATTTTATTAACCGAATGAATATATACTTCTGCTCATAAAAAATGCAGAAAGAGCTTGTATCTGGACGATGGTATTTTTCTTTCAAATTGGCGTGACAGCCTCCCTATCCAAAGAAAGGAGCAGAAAAAACGGAAAAGGAATGGCTTAAGATGGAGCAAAATCCTAATTCAACTTTTCACATAACATATTTTTCAACCTGAGAAGACTTTGATTTTTATCCTGCATATGATCAAGATCAAGCCCTTGAATTCCATACTAAAACCATAAATACATATCAAAATTCAAAGGATATCTGCTACCACTGACACTTTTGGTCAGGGAAGATAATAACAAAAATGAGGAAAAGAAAAGAAAATGTAAACTGACAAGCAATCTTGACCTCGTTCAAGCATTCATAATTTCGTATATAGAAGTAAATTTCTTTCCCAACCATTCCCACAGAACATATTGAATATTGATCCATGATCCAAGAGTCTAAATAACTATAATTAAGCAATCATAAGGGTATATCAACCCTACCCCCTACATGTCAACCATTTCCAATCTTTAATTTCTGTTAAAATAAAAACCCACTTGTATGAAGACCCAGAAGAAATTAACCATGGACTAATCTAACGACTCAATTTTACTCTCGACAGTAATCATCATAAATAAGCACCACCATCACCCTAAAATCAAATCCAACTCATCATGATCACTAACCAACCCACTAACAGCCCCCAAAGAAAAAAGTAACTAAAATTCAACTCAAGGGCTACTATATATACCCTTACTCAGGAACTAAAAATCACCTTGTTAAAAGAAGTAAACCCCTTATTAATTTTTTGAACTTTGAAGAGTTAGTCTCTGACTCTCTTCTTCCAAAGTAATTCGTAATTCATATATAACATACCTCAATTTTCTTCATCCATGAAGTTGCTTTCTGAACCTGCTCATTCTCCCACCCATTTATAACAGCATCTTCCCTCTTGAACCTGTTGTTAATCTTAGCAACCTTGGCGTTTTGCCAAGCTGTTATCTTTGCTTCAACCTCCTCCTTTCTCACCCTCAGCACTGTCACCTCACTCCCGGCAGCACCAGAAGCTGAAGAAGAAGAGTTCCCTCCACGCCTTGGAGGTGATGACGAGGAAACACCCTCCAAAGGGTTGGTATCTGCCACAATCGCCAAAGGGTTAGTCTCTTCCATCATCAACAACTCATCCTCACCAATCCTCCCCAAGTTGTTGCTATTGTTGTGGTTGTTCATGCTGCTATTAACACCTCCTTCATTGCCATGCATCATATTCACACTCATGGGACTAGGGGTGGTGGTGTGATCAATACTTGAGCCTGCTAGAACGAGAGCACTGAATTCCCTACTCATGCTGAAATTCTCGGTGGAACCACCTTCTATGGACACAGAAGAAGAGTGGTGGCTGTGTGTGTGTGTCTCCCAGTTAGGCTCTCTTCTGGGGGGTGGAGTCAAGGCATGAATTTCTCTGATTTGTTGTTCATTATCAGTATACTCGGTGTGTTCCTCTGTGGCATGGCTTGTGGAAGGTGTTTGATCATTCAGCATAGGTGAGGGTGTGTGTTGTGGGGTTCTGGTGGAGTCAGAGAAAGTGAAGGGAAAAAGTGGAGTAGATAGTGAGTAGAGACAAATTCAGGGGTTCAAGCAGAGTAACATGGTTTACTTGTTTATTGTGTGTGTTTTCTGAGTTTTTAGTCCTTTTTATTGATAAGTGAAAATGGTGGAAAGGGATGAGTGTGTATTTAATAAAGAATTCGTGTTTGATTATATACTCAGTATTAAAACTCATCGGATCAATAATAATTATGAACTAAACTAGTTCACAATGAGATGAATTAGAGAAAATACTTGATAAAACTAAAAAGATTACAAATTTAAATTAGTGTAATTAGTAATTAACGATAAATTAGTATGACAGCAATTGTTTTCTGGATTTTTCATGTGATGCAATTTTGTTAGAACAACGTAGAAAGGGCTAGTATCCAATGTTTAATGGAGCCAAATTTTATTGAAAGATTAAGACTAATAATATAATATAAGAACCACGACACAAAACATTATCTTTAACATAATATATATATATATATATATATATATATATATATATATATTTTTTTTTTTCTTTTAATTTGTCCCACTATGTATGATTTTGAAAGTATATATCAATTTTATCAAAAACTAAATTCTACCAAAAATATCTGGTTAATCATTTTTATAAATCTTCTTCGAAATCACATTTTTTATCTACTAGAAAATCTTATTTGATTATTTAATTTAAAGTGTCCAAATCTGTGAAAAAAAAATTGAAAGAAACAATGTATTAAAAAAATAATTGGTGTATTTATCGTTTGGAATGCAAACACTTGGCAATATTCCATTTTGAATTTATTTTTTTTAATATACTGTATCGCTATCTCATGATGAAGCAATTTTGATTGCCAATATAATAAAAAAAAATCCACGTTTTTTTCCTATTCAACAAGTTTTGAATTTTAATTTGAAATTGAAAAACTTAAAGGTTAATTTATAATTAATAGATATTTATAAATATAATAATTATTAAAAGTCGTTTTACAATTGAATGTTCTATTTATCTTTATCAAAAATATGATAATAAGTTTATAATATAGATTTTAACTATTATGAAATTATATAATTCATTTGTAAATATAAGAAAAATTGAAATTATAATTTTTATAATGATTATTTATTATAAATTTTTATTTGATACTTTTTAATTATTATTATAAGATTTGTGATTCTTATAATAATAATCACAAATCGATCGAAAATAAATCTCATTTTATTTATTACGTTTGATTAGAATTTTCTTTTTTAATGAAAAGTCGAATAAACAAGATAAGAATAATCGTAATAGAAAGTCTGGTTCTTTTTATTTTTGGTAAATTTATTCTGTATTGTTAAAAAAAAAAAAACGTTTAAATTAATTTCTAGCGTAAGTTTATACTTAAATTTTAAGTATAAAATTTTCACATTGTATGAAAAATTATAATCTATTCGTATAAAATTGTAAGTGGTTATTTTAGAATAAAAAAGATTATTGTACATGATAACATGAGATTAAGTGATAATTTGTATACTTCTTTATATTAAGTACATTTTAATTAAATTCTTCAAATATATATTAATAATATAAAGAGTTATCAATTATTTTATTTTTTTGAATAATTATATCAAGAGTTTAATTGTCATGTGTTGTTAATGTAAATAGTAGTACACTGTTAATTAATAAAAAGCATTTTAAAATATTGTAATTCAACTAAATCATATTTAAGATGACTTTTAATAAATTAATCAATAATATAAAAAAATAATTTTTATGAATTAAAATTAACTTATACAAAAATTTAAATATAATATGAAATTATATTTATAAGTTTATGATTAACTTATGTTCCAATACATTTATGAATCCTATAATATTTAGAAGTCGATATTAAAGATATTGTATATACTCTCATCTCTTAACTCACCAAGACACCTATTAAAAGTAAAATTGTGACATGATGAGAACTATGAAACGAGTAATACTTCGAACGTAAAAATTAATCTAACGATATTATCATAGTCAACCTGAAATTGAAATACCATTATTCTATATCTCGGAATACAAGAATGGATCTTAAAATAAAATCAAAACATTTTTAATTTATACAAAAAATATATAAATAAACGTGATTTCAAATAAAATTATTTATTTATATCTTTTAAAAAAAATTAAGAAGAAACTTAATGAAATTGGATTTAGATTTGGATTTGTTTGTTTGGAGTTATTAAAATATGCATTTATCCAAATAAATGATTCCTCCAAAATTTAAGAAAATTTTCATGACCAATACCAAACCTTTAGTTAGATTAGGGTTACATTTAGAAAAGATAAAGAGTATATTTGATTTGATGAGTCAGAAGAGAAAGAGGATTGGTCCATAAATTTCACTACAAACAAAAGAGGTTGAAAAGGCTTATCTTCAACGTTATTTTCTTTATTTGTTATAAAGTTCCACAAAACTTGTTTTTGTTTTTGTGATGAATGCGTGTGTATTAACAATATCTTCTTCCACCATATTCCATTAAATATAATTTATTATAAGTTACTCATTAGTCAAGGGTTTGAGAGTTGAAGCATAAGTAAGATCTCAAAATTTTAAAAATAATAAGTTAGACTTTAAAAATATCTTTTAAAAAGGAAAATTACATTACTCTAAAATCTTCTTAAATAATATTTATAGTTCTTTTCATTTTAAAATAGATATTTAATTTTAAAATAGATATTTATTATTGATAAAGTAATATTAAACAATGTTTTTGCAAGCATATAATTTTATATATTTTTATTGAATAAATTTTGCTCTTCTTAATTTTACTTTATTATATTACTTTAATTAAAACCAGAATTAAATCATTATTCAAAGAATAAATTGATCATAGAGATTCTGAGAAGGAAAAATCGGTGGTTAAAAAGAGATAAAACTTTGGTTTAAATTTGAAGTTAAAAACAATGTTTTATTCTCTAGTATAATTGATTGGAATCACAATATTAAAATATATAAAAGGTGAAGAAATATCTCCACTTATTCAAGATTACAGAATAGAAAGATATTACATTAGAGTGTGTTCAAGATTTGAAGAAAGAGTTCATAGAATTTTTCTGGTATCAAACCTAAGTTTCCCCATCCCAAAGGTTATCAAAGAACACCACTGGCCCGTTGTTGACACGAATCTGCTTGATTTGATCAATCTTTTCGTGGTCTTCTCTTGTAAGAGACCAATCAAATATTTCCAAGTTTTGTTTCATTCTCTCTTTGTTGTAGCTCTTCACTGCTATAGTCACACCTTTCTCATACAACCATCTAAGACTTACCTATCATCCAGTAGTTAAAGAATCAAAATCTAAACTACAACATTATTGAAACAATGATCATTTGATTCATGTAGTTGGAACTGGATTCCTCTATCCAGAGTTAGATACTAATGCTGCTTATTGTATGTAAGTTTAAGATTAATTCACCGGTCTACATATATCATATGCTATGAGAAAAGATGAATTCAACTAATGGAATATGAAAGAATCTGAAAATTGTAACCTGAGCAATAGTTCGGCCATGGGCTTGTGCAATTTCCTTGAGTATTTCACTGTCCATGACTTCATTGGAACCCCAACTAGCCCCTTTGGCTCCCAGAGGAGAAAATGCAGTTATGATTATACCCTTTGCTTCACAGAATTCTCTTAGCTTCTTCTGATTCCAAGCAGGATTCATCTCCACCTATTTGGTGACAGTGTCAAGTAACAGAGTATGGTCAAGACCTGTCAAACTATATTAACATAAGAAATGACCAAGATGAGTTCATGGGCCTACTTGATTGACAGAAGGAGGAATGGTAGCAAATGAGAGTAGATCTTCAAGTTTCTTGCGAGTGAAGTTGCTGACTCCTATGGATTTTGCAAGGCCTAGTTTCTGGCATTCTTCCATTGCTGTCCACACACCCTTTAAGTCAAATGTTGTTATTAACTCTTCACTATAGGGAATTTCCCAATCTCCAGGTTTCACACTGATGGGCCAGTGGATCAAATAAAGATCCAAATATTCTAATTTCAGCCTCCTGCATTATGTCATAGAAAATCTCTTATTGCTTAACCAATATGCATACACCATGCACCATGCTGAAAATTTCAAGTCGACTAATTATATAGCCAAAAAAACGTATATGGAGGATAATCCTTACTTTTTGAGCTGGCTTTTGATATTAAGTTAGGCTTAAATCAAAATTCTAAGAAGATATAAATGAACTTATAATGAAAATCTCACAACCAGTCACCAAGGCACAACTTTACTTTTACACCAGGTTTTTCCCTCATATTGATTCAATTAGTCTGAGAAGAAAAACTATTTATTTGAACCCAAACGCTTGAATTTGGGAAATGGATCATAACCAGTTCCATTTTTAACTTCACCTCTTACTGTATGCTTGTACTTTATTGTCCTACAAAAATCAAAGATTGATGCAGGTAGTGAAGTATATTTATTTAGTTTTTGCAGTTTCTGGTTTGGAGTGAAAATTTGGTTAAGTTGCTGAAAATAATAGAAAACGAAATATTCATCTGATCTTTAAGAAAAGATACATGGAACTCTAAACATACCCCATGAAATTGATCATGGAAACTTGAGAGAACCGATATATTTATGGGATCCAGAGAAGATGATCATGGATATTAGAGAACCAACCTATCAAACTACTCATCGCATCTTAAGGGAAACATTTCTTACTAAAAACAGAGTACAATCACTGAGAATACAAAACAGACGAGATTTTCTTAAACATTAGATAGAGTAAGAAATTGAAGAACTGATTGCATCCTAAACACTTTTTTTTGTTTTGATGTACTGAAATAACCCTCCAAATGATTTTGATTTTCCAAAACACATATATCTTAAAAATTACTTATAAAACAACCATAACCACAAATGAAAATCATATTGGCACGATTTTAACATGAAAAAGGATGGAGTTTTGCTTACTGTAGAGATTTCTGCAGAGCAGGAAGAACAAGATGAGGAAAATTGTCAGTGACCCAGAGCTTAGAGGTGATAAAAAGCTCCCCCCTGGACTTGATTAGACCAAGTTGAAGAGCTTCAGCTATGGCTTCTCCCAAGGCATCTTCAGATCCATAGACTGATGCAGTATCAAAGTGTGTGTAGCCCAGTTTAATAGCTTCAATTACTGCCACTTTGGTGGTTTCTGCACTGCTTTTGTTTGTATCAGCTGCAGTTCCAAATGCTATCACTGGCATGCTGCATCGGTTGGAAGAGGAATTTAGCACAACTTGGGGAATTTTGGTGAGAGACATGGTATCACAAAACTCGTAATATTTTCTTTACTTCAAAAATGAACATATGCTTGATGAGCAAGCACAGCCACCTTGCATCTCTTTATATAACAGGTCATGTTTGAAATAATAGAAAATAATTCAAATACAGACAACTAAATTGCGTACATATGTAGTAAATTTGTTAATCACTAATTAATTAAAAAGATCATTGTAGAATGATTTAGAGTATTAAAATAAAGTAACTACATGATAGATCACGATGAAATAATATCAATATTAACCATTATACTACTGCGACTATATATACAAAATTAATCATGTTACATTGTTTAAAAAAAAAAAACCTACTCCAGTAATATCATTTTATTTACAGTTTTTTTTACATCCGTATGTAATCCGATAATAGATAATTTACTTATAAAAATTAAAAGAATTGTTACTAGTAATAATTGAACTTAGTACTTTAAAGTTTAAGATTGATATTCTAATTACTAAATTATTAGGATATTATAATAATAATTTACAAATAAATTATATTTATATTTATTCATGTAAATATATAAATATCAAATATATAAATACAAATATATTTATATTTTGATATATTTATATATTTACGTACTTATATATTTAATGGTTAGAGTATCGATTTTTAACTCTAAGATATTGAGTTCGAATTTTGTCAGTTATAATTTTTTTTAATTTGATATAATTTTCTTACAGATAATAATTTTATAAATAATTATCTATGAATACAGATGAAATTATCTTTACAAATAAAAATTTTGTAGACTACTAAATTTTATCAGTAGGTAATATCTATATTTAGTATATAATTTATTTACTAATCTATATTTTGTTGATAATAAATTTTATTTTTTATTTTTTTAGTCGTCTGTAACAATTTTATGTATATATAAATTATAAGCGATCACAGGAGCGCGCAGAACAATTAGACACAAATAAATATTAGAGACTTTAATGGCGACTGGTGGTATTTTCTGGACCAGAGAAAGAATGGAAAATGAGTTCTTAGCGCCGCCTTTCACATAATAAAAAAGAAGAAGACAGTATTCATTTCACAATCTTATTCCAAAGTCATTTTAATTTGGACCGTGTGGTTAATATTTTCTTACAAATATAATTTTTTCATACTTATATATTAAAAAATATATAATAAATAATTCTATGTTTTTAATATTTTTTATTTTCGAATATCTATTATAAATATAACAAAATAAACTAGTCTTAACCGTACTTTAAATATGTATTGTGTCAAACCAAAAACAAAATAAAATAAAAAAATTGTTAGGTTACTTGTATAATTATTCAGTATTTTTTTAAGACAAAAAGAAATTCATTTAATAATATTCATTTAGACTCACAAGAGACAAAATAAAAAACAAAATCAACATAATTTTATATTCAAGCACGTAATATTAAACGAACATAACGTATGAAATATTTTTTTCACATCTTAAGAGATTTAAAAAAATGTTCCCTTAATAAATAAAATATTTAGATAATATATTTTTATATAATTAACTGTGTATTAAAAAATATAAATATAAATATAAATATAGTATAATACAGTACGATAAACAATAAAAAAATATTAACACGTGGTATAAAACATGAGATACATTTTAATTAGAATGTTAATAAATTGACACTCTATACTCCGTATTTATAATCATAAATATTAATAAAATAATAAATAATATTATTATTGTTTTAATAGAATTGCAAAAAATCTTTTCATAACACGTATTTTTATTTCTCAATGATATCTCACAGTCTCATGAAATCATTTTACAGAAATTAATTGGTATACTATTTTTATAAAATAAATCAACTACGTTATTAAATAATTAATATTACGAGTCTCCCTTTATTTAAGAGTCAAGATTAAAAGATAATTTAAATATATTTTTTTGTTTTTAATTTACTAATACTCATTTTAAAAATAAAATTACACAAGAATTTCAAAAAAATAATATTTCCTTTTGATGTTTCCTTTTTCGAAAGAAAGGGAGTGAATTTTCTTAATATTTTATTTAACTAAACTTTCTATTCTATCGACAAACAAGGATGAATGATAGTTTTTATTTCTGTTTTATTCTTTAATTATTTTATCTATTTTTTAATTTAATTTATTTTTATGATAGTAATTAAATATGGTGTTTATGAAATTGGAGGGAGAAGATTAATAGATCGAATTCTGATACGATTTTAAGATAATTAAAAAATAAATTATATATAAAAATAGTGAGTATGTATTTGAATTTAAGTAGCACTGGTATATAAAGATTTTAAATTTTATGTATTTTTTTGGATGCAGACTTTTTTTTATTATCATATAATTTATGGGTAAATAAATTTAGTTTTACAGATTAGTCAAATTTATAATTTTTTTAAGTTTAAATGAAAATGCTGAATATATTTTCATTGTTTATTTATTATTTACACTATATTTTATTGTAAATTAAGTAAATAAATATTACAAAAGTGAAAAATTGAAAAAAATAAACTATTTCATGTATGAGATCAAACATTGGTAATAAAAAAAGTTAATATTATTTTTAAATTTTATGTAATAATGTTTAATATAAATTAATATGCAAATAAGGATGTATATTTGTTTTCACTTTCAAGAACATCTAACCATTATATACAAGTCCTTTGAGATATATTCAAGACTTAATTGGAAAACTTATAATTAAAATTATTTGGATGTACAAATTATTTTATAAAATGATCTCATATAATTTATTTACCTTGCAATTTTTAACTTACTCAAGCTAATTTTATTCCATAAAAAAATATATTTAAAATAAAATATTGATATGAAATTATGTGATTCTTATTCTTTACTTAAACGATTTGAGGTTTAGGTATGTAATAAAATCAGGATGAGAGGGAAATGTCACCACCTTGTGGGTTTAAGATTTGCAACTATTTTAATAATGAATTATCCTTACAGTATCACAGTTTTAAAAAATGTTTTCAATTTTTCTTCAAAAAATATTGTTACAGATTTTATGCATTTTTTTTCCAGGAAAATTATATAAAATCTTACTTTAGAGTGAATATAACTTTTATTTTATAGTTTTGGGTTTAATGCGATTATTTATTTACTTCCATTTCTTTTGTGTTCATCATCTTTTACATATAACTGTATCATTTTACATAATTTTAAATATTTTAAAAAATATGATAGGTAAACAATAATAATTGGATATATAGAAAAATGACTTAGGATTTAAATTTACCTAAATTAAATTGAATTATAAAATTATGATCCAACCAAACTCAAATGGATAAAATGTTGAATTCAATAGTACTGTTAAGAATTATTACTTATTTTTGTATTTATTATTTTATTTTCAAATTATTTTTTTAAGAAATAGGAATAATAAATAATATATATATATATATATATATATATATATAAAAATTCTTTTAACTCTGAATTGTAACAAAATCTTTGGTAGAAAATTATATTAAAATTTTATTAAAATAAATTTGTTATTTTTTCGTAATTATTAATGATTAAAATAATTTTATATTATAATTTAAATAATTGATTTGATAAATCTAAAATATAATTTATATATTTAATGATATTTATTTAGAGTTTAATTCACATGTGTCACGTAATGCTAAGAAGTTATTACACTCGTATTTTTATTAATTATTTTTGCTTAATTTTAAAAATATTTTTTTCTATTTACATTTTTTTATAAGATGAAAAATATGAATTTAAAAAATTTTATCTGTTTGAACATAAGAAAAAAAAAAGTTGAACAGAACCGTAATTGGCGGATAAAACCTAATTCAAAAGATAAATAAAATTATTATTCGAAATCCACAAACCAAATTAAAAGAACAAGTTCGTAAGTCACAAAAGCCGGTCTTCCCAGTTCTTGAATCAAACGCAAAAGAAAAACCGGTCCGAACCCTTCTTTCACCCTTTGCGCCTACAAATATGAAAATTTGGTTCTTAATTTTTGTTGCACCTTCCTCTGCCGCCTCTCTTGTCTTTTTTTTCTCTCTCTCTCTGCGTCCCAAACTTTGTTTGTTGTTTTCATTCTTTAAATCCAAAGTTGAAAAGGTTGTCAACAAGGAAGACACCAGTTGAACCTCAAAGGAGCACACAGTGCCACCTCAAATAGATCAAACAAACCTTGTTCTTTTCTGGGCACAACCCTGAACCTGCTGCTATTATCATAAGGTAACAACATTAACATCAACATTGTTGTCCTCTGCCTCTCAAAGGCCTCACTTTTTCGTCAATGTGATCTGGGTTCTCCTTGATCCTCCCTTGTTCCATTGCTCTCTTTTTTTTTTCTTTCTTCTTTTTCCTTGATGAACTATCTTGTTCGTCAGGGTTCATTGTTTTTTCAAGTTGATTTTCTCTTTCTTTTGTTAGAGGGTAATCCTTCGACCATGATGTGGGGTCAGAGAGATATTAAATGAAGACCCACTCTGGTTAATTATCTTCTTATATGTGTGGGATCAGAATGATTTTGAATATAAACCTTGAATTTGTTGATGAACTGTATTAAAATCTCATTGGGTTTTTTTGGCCTTTTGTTCTTTAAAGTTCTCTTCTTCTTCTTTTTTTTTTTTAACAATTAATGTTTTTATGTATACTAGATTCCTCATGAGATTAATTCTTGTTTATACGTTTTGATCAGGATTGGATTCTCCAAAGACTTCTATATGGTAAGCTTTAAGCATCATTTTTTTTTCTTGAGGGATTAGGATGAATGATTACAAAATCAGGAATGTGGTTGGCTTATGATATTGGATCAAAATGGGGTTTTGATTTGTGTATGTAACCCTTCTTTGTTTGTTGTGATCAATAGGGAGAAGCACCTATTATCGCTCAAGACCTGCAGAATGGCAATGGCAATGGCGTTGAATCAAAAAGTGGGACTTTCGAAACGGGTACTATCATTGGTGATAAAAAGGTGTTGATCATACGATATCTGTTGTAAATGTCATCTCTAATGTGTTACAATTTATCAAGTTGATTAACTCCGAGGTAATCTTCTGACTAAAACAAAACACCGACCTCCATTTGTTTGACAGTATGTCATTGGTGGAACCGATGGTGAAACTTTATCTGTTAAAGTTCAGTTTCTTGACAACAACTGTCTTGGCGAATGGTAAGCTTAAGGTTCTTTATCTCAGTTTTTTTTTTTTTTTTTTTAAATTGTTTCTGATTTATCCATCTTAATGTTCAGGGTTCATGTTGTTGAACTAGGCACCAAACCCATTTCATGTAATGGTCACTCAGCCGTGCTTTTGAAAAACAGAATACTAATTCTTAAGAAAAATTCTAACCCAGATGACTGTATATGGTTTCTGGAGGTTGGTGTTTTCAGACCCTGGTCCTTAATAGAATTCCAAAGTGCTGTTATTTTGTGAAAACTCTGAAACATTCTTATTAGAGTCCTGTGATGGCTTAATTGGTGTTAAGTATTTTTGTTTTATTATTATTGGCAGGTGGACACTCCATTTGTCAGGCAGCAGCAGAAAAAAAATTCGGGGACTGAGGTTGTAGCATGGAGTAAGGGTGTGATTGGCAATGCCGAGAAACCTGTTGTTATCAGTGGTCCTTCGGGAGTAGGTAAAGGAACATTGATATCTATGCTCATGAAGGAGTTCCCTTCTATGTTTGGCTTCTCTGTGAGCCACACAACCCGTGCCCCCAGAGGCATGGAGAAAGATGGGGTCCATTACCATTTTACTGAAAAGAATGTTATGGAGAAAGAGATTAAAGATGGAAAGTTTCTGGAGTTTGCTTCTGTCCATGGAAATCTATATGGGACCAGTGTTGAGGCTGTGGAGGTGGTATCAGATGCAGGGAAAGTAAGTTCCTTATTGGCCTGATTTTAGAATGTTGTAAATTTATACAAATCAATCACTCTCTGAGTATACCTTGCTTTTATTGTTTCTTATTTCAATCAAATTGCTCTTAAATAATAATTATGTTTTATCAAAATACTATCAGTAATCTATTGATTTTTTTTGAGCACTTGGAAGATCTGAAATGTTTGAATCTTTTTAACCTCCTTGGTTGTAATTGTTACAGCATGCACAATGCAACCCCATAGTAGAATGTCATGTTGTATTGTCATTGATCTGCACATTGATAAATTTTATCCTAGAAAAGAACATGATTTCTATCAAATAATAGCCTTTTCCTATTTTTTCCATCTTCTAAAATTTAAATGTTATAGGCTTATACTTTGATCTACTCAAGCAAAATCAATCTTTAAAACTAAATCAGTGTTTTATGGCCTTGCCTTGTGATGGTAATGAGATTGAGTTTTCTGTTTGCCCTCATACCAAACCAACCTTGTGAGCATTACTTTCCTTCAGATATGACTTTACCTTTTTCTCTTCTGAGATATTGAAATCTTTAATTTTACATTTTGTTCAGAGATGTATTCTTGATATTGATGTTCAAGGAGCAAGATCCGTGAGGGCTTCTTCTCTAGAAGCCATGCTCATCTTTATCTGCCCCCCATCAATGGACGAGCTGGAGAAGCGTCTTCGAGATCGGTGAGTAATTATTTCTCATTCGTGCTCTTTCACTCTCAAAACCCTTCCCACACTTTCAAAAGACTTCAAACCGTGATGTTTTGTGCAGAGGGACAGAGACAGAAGAACAAGTCCTAAAACGATTACGAAATGCTAAGGCTGAGATTGAGCAAGGGATTTCATCAGGCATATTTGATCACATCTTATACAATGATAATCTTGGGGAGTGTTATGAGAATCTGAAGGTAACTATTTAGCTTGTAAAACTTTCCTTACATGAACTCATTTTTCTTTAACTGTTAAGCTTGATTTAAAGCACCTATTGGTGCAGAAATTATTGGGACTTGATGGATATGCCACTCCTCCCAAGTCTGGTAAGAGTTTTCCTAAAGCAGATAAATTTGATCTTAGCTTCATATAATCTTTCATGATAATAATTGGTGTTTAATTTTGTCAATCCAGTACCACAAGAGATAAATCTGCCAAGGGATCATTCACTGTCAAAAATTGATGACAAAATCATCATAAATTCCACCTCTTCAAAACCAGAAAAGGAGTCAAAGAACTTGTAAGCCTTGCACATTTAATTTTGGTCTTTGCTCCCAACAATCATTGACGAGAAAATAAACTATTTACTATGCATGTGCATACAAAATTTAAGTGTTGATTTTCTTATCATGACCCTCTCTTAAGTCACTGACCCTTTTCTTATTTAGCAACCAATGATGTGATGAAGTGCTGACATTGTATTTTGCTTAACAGGATCATGTTAGATGTCTCCTCACTTAAAGGGGGTGCACCTGGACGGACAAGGGGACTTAATTTTCAAGTCATTGACTCGTTTTCGGAAGGCTTCAATGGCAATGGGAATGGACCAATTTAACCTTCAATGAACCTGGTCAAACTAACTTTGTTTCTCTCCATTCATATTTAAAAATCATTTAAAATTTATTTGAAACAATAGGTCACAGAAAGAGGGTGAGGCACTAGGTTCATTTTCTTGAGGTATTTCTTCATGTCTTGTTCGTTAGGCGTTATGACAGTTGAAGTATGATTTGACACGTTTGAAACCATTGTTTTTCCCTACCCAAATTTGAATGTATGATTTTTAGTATAAATCACCAACAAAAAGTTGTAATCTTTATAATCAATCAGTACACAAATTATTTGGTATCTCAACAAATCACGTGGAGGAGCACTGCCCTATGATTGGCCCTATAATTGGAGGTTCATATCTAGCTAAAAGATACTCACATGCATGTGTGCACAAAATTTATAGGCCAATCAATTATATTGACTATCAAATTCAATCTTAATATTATTAAAAATAGTAATATTATCACTATACTTACTATAACTTTTAATGCAGCACTAATATAATTTTTAACAAAATCTTTCAAATATTTGATTCACTAAATAATGCATAATTTTGTTAAATAAAATCTAGCAATCCATCAAAAAGACTGACATAGTCGATAAACAACTGAGTGTTTTAAGAATGTTGTTTTTTGGCATTGTCATTAAGTGAGATTGTACTGATTTTGAAGATATTTGGTCTCTAATTATGGACACAAACTAGTTAAATTCCGAGGTGGCAGAGTGTGCATCCCATGAAGTACAATTTTGCTTGGTCAGTGTCGTTCTTCTCAGCCAGCCCCACCTATGGTCACATTAATGTCAAAATTTGAGGATCAATGGCTCACATTCATTTTGTTTAAATTTATTGGAAACTATAAAATTGTGAGTGTGTGATTCACAAAATTTTGAAACTTACAAAAAAAAAAAAAGTGTTTTAAGGCATTTATGTCCACGTGAAAAGGTTAAAGTGAGAGAGTGGTGGGTGCAAGTTGTTTGGGGGACCCAAGAAGATGGATGGGGTGGTTTATATTCTACACCCTTTCACCACTCACATGCTACTTTAATAATACAGGGTTTGTTTCAAAAAAACTTATATTTTTTTAATGTTTTAATTTTTATATTAAATAACTTTTTTTCCTAAAAATTACATAGGATTTGTCATAATTAGACAAGAATCTAGAAGCTTGCAAAAATTATGTTATGTTTGTTTGGTATCATTAAATGATATTTCCCTAACATTTGAATCTTTAAATATTTTAGGTTACATCAATTAATTCTTCTGATTAGATGAAGCAATGAATGTAGAATACTTGCCAACATTAACTTCAATGCCATAATTAGAAATATGGAATGAATGGTTGGTGGTTGAAAGATAAAAATAGTAATATTATATGCTTTAAGAATATTTTTTTGTATAATTATTTTTTAAAACATTTATTTTAATTGTTTTGTTTTGTTTTTTAACTTATTAAATATATCTATTTTTTTATTAATTACATATTATATTTTATCTCTCATATATTAAATAGTGTTTTAGGAATAATTTTTCAAACACATTCTTTATACTTTTAAAGTACTTTTCTAACACTTTTCATTTTCATGTTTATATTTTTTAACACTATTTTATATTCTCAACTAGTTAAAAAGTATATTTTCTCAAAGAGTACTTTTTATAATTATTTTATTTTTCTATATTCTAAAACACATTTTTATCTTCTCAAACATGTTGAATATAGAGAAAATAGGGTTTGAAATTAATTTCTCTTGTGTATAAATCACACATAGGGTGATCTATTTATAGTAGAGAGATACAACTAAAAGAGTAACTGAAAGTAACAGAATAAACAGAAGATATTGTTTGATATTGTGGTTACCAATATCTAACAATATCTTAACAATATCAAATAATATCTAAACAATATCTAACACTCCCCTCAAGCTTGGAGCATACAAATCATATGTGCCAAGCTTGTTACAAATATAATCAATTCTAGAACCCAGTAAAGATTTAGTAAAAATATCTGCTAACTGATCATTTGAGTTAACAAACTCAGTCTTGATATCTACAGACATAATCTTTTCTCAAATAAAATGACAGTCAATCTTAATGTGTTTGGTCCTCTCATGAAAGACAGGATTAGAACTAATATGAAGAAGCGACTGATTGTCACACACAAGTGTCATTTGAGTGACATCTCCAAATTGTAACTCTCTAAGCAATTGCTTGAGTCAAACAAGTTCACGGGAAGCTGAGGCTATAGCTCTATATTCTGCTTCGCACCTGGATCTTGCCACAACACTTTGTTTCTTACTTTTCCATGAGATCAAGTTACCACCAATGGAGACACAATATCCAGGATGTAGATCTTCTATCCGATGGAGATCCTGCTCAATCAAGCATCTCGAGTAGCAAACAACTCTTGTATGGTTATTAGAACCATATAACAATCCTTTCCAGGAGATCCTTTAATATACTTCAAGATACGAATGGCTGCATTCCAATGATCTTCACATGGTGAATTAAGAAATTGACTTACCACACCGATCGCAAAGGAAATGTCGGGACGAGTAACTGTAAGATAATTCAATTTTCCAACCAATCTTCTATACTCGCTCAGGATCAGATATAGGCTCCCCCGATTTGGTAGAAGTTTAGTATTGGGATCCATGGGTGTATCAACAGACTTTGAACTCATCAACCCAGCTTTCCTCCAAAATATCTATGACATACTTCCTCCGAGATATAACAATACCATCATTGGATTGTGCCACCTCAATACCCAAGAAATATCTAAGTTTGCCAAGATCTTTGGTATGAAAATGGTGACAGAGATGTTGTTTCAACTGAGAGATGTCATGGTTGTCACTACCTGTAAGAACAATGTCATCAACATATACTATCAAGTAAACACATCCAGCACTCGAGTGTCGATAAAAGACAGAATGATCTGATTCACACCGAGTCATACCAAATTGTTAAACAACCTTGCTAAACTTTCCAAACCAAGCCCTAGGAGACTGTTTTAGGCCATATAGGGATTTGCGAAGACGACATACCATCCTAGAAGACTCCCCCTGAGCAACAAACCCAGGAGGTTGCTCCATATATATTTCTTCTTGCAAATCACCATTGAGGAAAGCATTTTTAACATCCAGTTGATAAAGAGGTCATTGTTGAAAAGCAGCCATGGCGATAAATAAACAAACAGAAGCCATCTTTGCCACAGGGGAAAAGGTATCTCCATAATCCAACCCAAAAATTTGAGTATAACCTTTGGCCACAAGACGAGCTTTAAGGCGATCAATAGTACCATCGAGTCCAACTTTGATAGCAAACACCCACCTGCAACCAACAACAGATTTCCCAGACTGTAACGGACCAATTCCCAAGTTCCACTATTATGAAGAGCACTTAGTTCATCTAACATGACCTGTCGCCAACCAGGATGGGCTAAAGCTTCACTGGACAGCTTTTGGAATGGTCACGTAAGAAATAGAGGAAAGACATGTATAAAAAGGTAATGACAATCGATGATAACTCAAAGCAATATAATGGGGAGAGGGATTACGTGTAGAACGAATACCTTTTCTGAGGGCAATGGGAAGGTCGACTCATGTGTCGATCCGGAGGAGACAGAGAAGTTGGCACTTGAGTAGAGTCACATGGTGGTGGTTGTGATTGGTTTCGAGAACTATAAATTTGAAGAGGCAGTGGAGAAGAAGCTGACTGCGGAGCAGGAACTAATGGTGAAGAAGACACAGTTAGAGGGTCACAAACAACAGGAACATTAAATGTATTAAGAGTGTTGACAAGATTGGATGGAGACAGAGGTGAAGTTTGACTTTTAAAATAAAGAGACAACTCATCAAAGGTGACATCTTTTGACACAAAATAACGGTTAAGAGAAGGAGAAAAACATTTGTATCCTTTTTGTGATCTTGTAAACCCTAAGAAAACACATTTATGTGATCTTGGAGAAAGTTTGTCCAGACTAGAACTGAAATTATGAACAAAACATGTAGACCCAAAAACTTTTAGAGGTAAAGGATGAAGTGGTTCATGAGGGAATAAAATGGAATGAGGTATTTTATTATCTAAAACTGAAGAAGACATGCGATTAATGAGATAACATGCAGTAAGAAGAGCATCACCCCAAAAATGTTGAGGAACATCTCCATGAATTAAAAGTGTGCGAGTTGTTTCAATAAGATGTCTATTTTTACGTTCAGCTACACCATTTTGTTGAGGTGTATAAGCACAAGAAGTTTGATGCAAAATACCGTGAGAAGCCATGAATTGTTTAAAATAATGAGAAAGATATTCACGGTCATTATCACTACGCAAAACTCTAATAGAAACACCGAACCGAGTTTGAATTTCATTAAAAAAAGTTTGAAAGATATGAAATAATTCGTAACGATTTTTCATCAAAAATAACCAAGTGCATCTGGAATAATCATCAATGAAAGTAACAAAGTATTGAAAACCTAAAGTAGACTTAACGCGGCTAGGTCCCCAAATGTCAGAGTGAACCACGGTAAAAGGGGACGAAGCACCACGTGTGAAACTACGAGGAAAGGAAGTACGACTATGCTTGCCTAATTGACATGACTCACACACCAAACTAGATAAGTTGGACAAGGCAGGGACAAGTTTCGTAACTTGGCAAGACTTGGATGACCTAACCGAGCATGAAGAAGAGAGTGAGACTCCATAACCGTACTAACATGTGTAGAGGGACGGAGATAATAAAGACCATGAGACTCACATCATGTGCCAATCACCTGTTTCGAACTCCGGTCCTGTAAACACACAGAATTGTTGGTAAAAGTAACAACACAATCAAGAGAATGAGTTAGACGACCGATGGACAACAAGGTTAAAAGGAGACCCAGGGACATAAATAACATTATCAATGGTTAAAGAAGGAAAAAGTTTAACCGTTCCAACACCATGAGATGATACTCTAGAGCCATCGACCGAGTGTAACGAAGGTAAATGATTAGGAGAGGATAAAGAGGAGAACAAAGATTTGTTACCAGTAATATGATCAGTGGCTCCTGAATCAAAAACCTAAGGACCAGGAGAAAATGATTGGGTCAGACCAGCAAAATATGTATTTGTATGTGTGACAGATAATGTATAACACTTGTTAATCTTGTGACCTAGCTTGCCACAATGTTCACACTTAGGACGCCCTTTTTCCTGTTTGCGAGGGTGAGCCCGGTCATCACGATGGGATGTCAACACAAAAGAATCATTAACAAAATTGGAAATAATGGAAGAAGTCATGAAGAGCGGGAGAAAAAATCCTAAAACAATCCAAAGTAATCCAATTAACCCACGAAGCACAAATCCAAAATGAGAATACTAAAAATAAGTTCACCAAGACTAAACGGTGCAGGAGACAATGGGACAACCAACTCCGATAGTGGTGATCTCAATGGCACGGTGGTCACCTGACCGAAACAAGCAAAATCATATGTCATCGATAAAAAAAAATGAAACTCCGGTGAATTCTCCGACAGCGGCGGACCTGTGGATCGCTCCAGATGGCAGCGGTGATGTGAACGTGAACTAGTACACCGGTAAGTTCCCAAGAAAGAGAGGTGGATCACTAATGGACACACTAAAATACCAAGTCTTTCCTTGCCGGAACTTTCCTAAACATGCACTTTCACACTACCAAATAAAATTCAATGACAAAGATAATTCTTTTCCGATGTGGAGGATCAGTTTACCAGGGCTCTAGCAGCGGTGGGGCGGCTCCAACAGTGGATAAAAGGTGGAAAAAAAAATTCAAGATAACCTTAAGTTCTAGATACCATGTTGAATATAGAGAAAATAGGGTTTGGAATTAATTTCCCTTGTGTATAAATCACACATAGGGTGATCTATTTATAGTAGAGAGATACAACTAAAAGAAGTAATCGAAAGTAATGAGAATAAACAGAAGATATTGTTTGATATTGTGGTTACCAATATCTAACAATATCTTAACAATATCAAATAATATCTAAACAATATCTAACACAACATTTCGAGAAATACATGTCTGAACATGAAAGAAGTGTTTCAAAAAGTATTTCCTAAAATGTTTAACAAAACAAAAATTATTCCCAAAAGCACATTTTTAAATGTAAAGAGGACATCAAGAAAAAGGTTTTTTTTTTTTTTTTTATATTCCGAAGTATATTTTTGTTTTCTTTGGCAAATGAAGAGTGTTTTATTGAACGAGAAAACTAATAGTATTTATTTTAAAATACTTTTGAAATTTTTAGAAAACAAAAATGAGTTTCTGAAAGTATTTCTTTTAAAGAGAACAAAAAGAAAAGATGATGTTAAGAAAATAAAATTATTTAATTTAATTGAAGAAAAATAAACTTGATTTTAATTAATTTTATGTCTGGGTTAGGGTGAAAGCATAAAATGGCGTCTTTAGGGTTCAGGCAAGTGCTTAAATGCAAAGGAGATATGAGTGTTTTTAAAAGAAGCAGAAAAATAAGAATAAATAGCGATTTTGAATAAAATAAATAAAAGAAGAGTGTGTACAGTAGAAAAAACAGTGTAAATAGTAGAAACCCAACATGTATGCAAAGCCCATTTTAACCACAGTTCGTATTAAACCAAAAAGGCTCTATACAACATACTATAAAAAGTAGCGGGCTCTATAGTATAATGAAGTTTAGAATGGGCTTTTATTACAGTCCAATAAGGCCCAACTCTTGAACATCTAGAATCTCTTGATGACATTGGGTATTACTTTTCGTATGTATTTTTTTTTCTACAAAATTGATTTCAAACGAAAAATCATATTTGGAGATTTTATTTATTTATTTTCCCAACAAATCCAATTTTTTTTCATTTTCTAAATAATTTTTTCTTTTATATTTTTTTTTCTTTCTGAACAAAATAACAATGGTATCCAATCTCGTATCTCTGCAAATTAATGTATCTTTGAAAACATCATTTGAATTACTAAAAAATATTATATTAAATTTTTCGAAAATAAAAATAAAAGTTCTGAAAGTATTAAAAATACTATTTTTATCAGAAACTAATTAGAAGGTGGATCTTTAATGTAGGATCTGAGATTTCTAAGAGCCTCTTTAATTTAGGGTTCCCCGTGATATGTGTCCATAGGCAGAAACCTAAATTAAAATTATCATCGGATTCTTGTCATGTTCATGTCTTTTATTTCTCCGCACCATTTTCTTCAACATTGTCTTTGGATTCTCCTTTCGAATCATTTACAAGATAAGATTGACACCAATCATCATACCCAACCAATATCTTACTTTACATCACTCTATTTCTTCAATCTTATTAACTCTCATTTCAAAATCGGCTAAATGGAAAATATAAAGATGAACCATCATACAACTAATTTCTTAGTCATATATAAGTAAAGTTCGAAAAAAAGTTCGGATAAAGGGATCAATTTTAAATTTTGAGAGATTAAAATTAATTTTATTCTATGTATTTTAGAAACTAAAACATATTAAAGTTAACATATAATAGTATCGAGTTGTATAATATGCATAAACTTCACTCAATTCTAAGTCCCTATCGATAATGAATTTGAAATAATAATTGAAAAAGAAAAATTGCAAAAGGAGTAGAAGAGGGAATATTCAAAACCCTTCATATCAAAAAGTTGCTTTTCTTCCCTCTCCTTTCTCTACGTAGATGACTCTCTCAGGGTAACATTAAAGCAAAAGAGAGATTGCAGATGAAAATAAGAACATGAAGCTCATAAAATTAAACATTAATTTGAAAGAAAATGGTGTGTAACAATTAACATGTTCATCAAACAGATAATGTGTATTCAATAATGCAAATCACAGTGGTGAAGCCAGTTTCAGTCAACATATTAATGATCAATCAAATTATGTATACACATTTCATCACATACCTGTGGATATCAGACCTTAATAAGAAGGATAAAGATGGCAGAAAAACCAAATATACAAACATACAAATGATTATGTAACGAGTTTCATGCTTTACAAAGCTAGATTAACAACATCACTCAAACCGAATCCATGAGAAGTATTATTAGTAAAAGAAAACCAAACCTAACAATTAAGCTATATATATATATATATATATATATATATATATATATATATATATATATATGTGTGTGTGTGTGTGTGTGTGTGTGTGTTTTCTGCATCTGCATACTACAAACTAGTCATAAACCCTGACACTTGAAAAGGGTCATCAGAAGCTGAAGTTCAAACTCCACTTGGGGTAAAACTTGAAGCTGCTACACTTTTAATTGCAGAAAAGAAAAAGAGCTCCATATCTGGTGAAGCAAAAAATGCTATTGGGGATTTCTTGGATGATGAGAATGTGATGGCTACTCTTCTCTTCTTAGGAGCTGGTGGACATGTTGAGACTTCTGGTATTCTGAACCTTTTACCCTTTGGTGTAGAGCATATATCATCCTCATTATGATCATCATCCTCGCCTTCTTTGGTACCTGAAGAAGAAGAAGAAGAAGAAGAAGTGGGAGTAACATAAGGCTTTGCCATTGATTTTGTCTTCTGCTTTCTTTCCTCAACTTTCTTGCTCTTCATTAGAGTTCTTGAAGAAGCTGGTGCCATGTATCTTATGTGTTGGTACCTTGCTAAATCCTAATGTCAAAGGGTCCTCGCCTAAACAACTGCACAAAGTTTAGTTGAAAAGTTCAGTTTGTATATCTTAAGGGGCACAAAGAAAAAGACCCTTTTGTATGGTAGAGAAATCCTACATAGTCAGCACTATCTTCTGATTTTTAAATTAACATCAAAGATTCTTCATGGTTGAAAAGTTATGGTGCTGACATAATATAACTCGAAAAATAAACAAAGAAAAACAGTGCCAGCAACAACCTACTGCCACTTAGATTAACAAATTAATAAGGTGTATATTACTGATACAATAAAATTTATGGCCTATTTTTTTACAGTATTATTTTATTATCTCCTTTTAATTTCTCAATAAAATTTAAAGAGTGTTATATATACTCTTTAATCTTTTTAATGCACATTTTACTATTAGTGAAAGTTCATTCAAAAAATTAAATTCATCTGAAACTCATTAAATAAACGATAAGATTTTGCACAACTTTATCTAATAAATTTTAATGCAAAGTTTATTAAAAATTAAAATTGTTAGAGACTCTTTAAAGTAAAATTTACAAGTAGCAGGATTTTATGAATTCAAATAAATTTTAATTCATAATAAAATGTATTTCAAAAAAAGTCTTTGAAAGGTTTCTAATGACATTTAGTATATATATAAATTGTATTCTGCATAAAAAGTTTAACATAAAGAAATATTTACTAAGGTTTTTTTAGGTTGAATTGACTAAACTTCTTTAATGCATTATGCATGGATCAAAATAAATTTTTGAGCAATATTTGATGATGAATGAAGCTGGTCCAGTTAACAGCTGTATCTAATTCAAACCTAAACTTTATGCCCCGGGTTTTATAAGGAGGTACCCATTTATTAAAATTAAAAAAATCTAAAAACAATTTTTATAAATTAACATTTTTACTTATATAAATGATAATTTCATTTTTTAAAATTTATTTTTACTAAAATGTTTAGGAAGAAATTTGTGAATTATATATATCTAATATATGTTACTTAAATCATCGAGTGATATGATAGTTAATTTTTTTTATGACAAGAGTTGGTTAATTCTTGTGAATTAATAATTCACATTAATTTTTAAAGTGTGTTTAAATTTTTTTATAATATGATAAAATTACACATCAGTTAAAAAAAATAGGTAACATTATAATATATAAAGAAAAATAATTTTTACTGTATTTCATAATTTCTATATTAGCATGACAAATATTTTACTAATTATAAATCAATATTAAACATAGTGAAAATTAGTTAAGAAATATATAAATAGGTTTTTTGTTATTTATTTTTAATAATAAAATGTATAATCTTATTTTAAAAAACAAAAATTTAATAATATATTTTAAAAGAAAATTATGTAATACTATACAAAAATAAAAGTAAAAGATACTAGATAAAGTAAATACAAGAATGAGATAAAAAAAATTATTTTTATCTAATATATTTATAAATATAGTATTATTTAGAGATAATATCATTTAGAAGTCGAGATCCATAATAATTTAAATATATATTTTTTTAATAATATTATTATAGCATGCATCACCAAAACAATTTTATACTTCTACGAAATTTGTTTAATTATTCGATGGTTTACCAGATATTAGGGAAATTTTGGCAAAGTTATGACTTGTTGGCACCAACAATTGTCTTTATACATGTTGTATTAACAGAGATCACGTATCTTACCATCCAAGTTATGATCTTCACAATCTGCCAACACTGAATTTTCTAATCAATAATCATGAAAACTAATGAAAGTAAAGTTACCTAATGTATACAATAATAATATATTCTTCCTTTTGCTTATGGTGGGTTGGTTGTGAATTGTTGCTGATGCAAAATCATAATCAATGAATTCAAAGTTCAAACAATTAGCATGGCACTAAACAAAAGGGACAACCACCTCAAACAAGGAACTTATGTCTGTGAGAGAAACTCTGGAAAAACAAGAAAAACAAAAAACCTAACTCTAACTTGGCTGCATCATATTTGTATATGTACACGGATTTGTATTTTCAGAACCGGCAGATTTTTTTAGGAGCTAAGGGGTCGAGGTCCTTATAAAATTTTGTAACTCTTACCTAATTTATGATTTTAATTCCTCAAACTTAATGAATATTTAATATATTTACTTATATATATATTTATAATTTTATCTTTTCAGTTCCTCTTTAATTTTGTAATTATCTGATTTTGTGTTCTTCAAACTTAACGATCATTTAATATATTTAAATATATATTTACAATTTTATTTTTTTATCCTTTCATCTACTTACTTCTTTTTATATTTATTTATTATTTATTAATAATATATTATATGATCTCTTTAAGATCAATAATCAACATCAATCATTTTCATTAAAAATGTATTTAAGATTAAAAAAAATACACATTTTGCATAATTAGTAGAGAATGTCATAGGCAACAGTTTAACACATAGTTTTTAAAATATCTAATCATTGCATGAAAGTAGCATCAAGATAACCCACTTTGTATCAAAAAGTTGGTCGGATTCTGTGCACTTGAGATCGAAGTTCACTCTATAGTTTTTATTTTCATTTTTTTTTCAAATATAATTTATGGAAATCATATCAATAAAATATCTAATGACTTGTAACTATCCCTGGGATTCCTCTAAAGTGTTAAAGGAATCACTCAAAGTTCCTCTGCCCAAATATGTTTGAATAAATGAATATTGAACTTTATCTCATAAATAATTAATAAATAATATAAAAAGATGTTAACAATTTATATGCATAGTTATGATAAACTTTAGATTGTAATGATTAATATTTTTAATATAATATTACTTCACCAATAATTATACTAACTATGGAAATAATTGTAAAAGAAAATACTCGTACAGAAAAACTTAAGATTAATAAATTAGTGATCATATAAAAAGACTTCTATTTGCACCTAGGATTCCACTAATTAGGATAAAATAACTTTACTATAAGATCATTTTATGTAAATGTGATCATAATGCATAAATATATGCAAACTCAAAAGGACATTTAACTTTTAAAAGGAAAATAAGAAAGTTAAATTAGGTTGAGACACATACATAATTAAATTATGCAAAGTTAAATTAACCTTTTTTTCATTAAAACATTAATTAGTAACAATGTGAATGATGGCAAGTAATCATTATACTAATATGTTGACCATCAAACTTAGTTTTAGTGAGTACTTTACAAAATCATATCAATTGTACTTTTTAAACCAACATCTTACATATCGCAATAGCATTTTTTATTTATTTTTTTTGTTTTTTTAGGGTCAAACACAATAGCATTCTCCAAAATTAACCAAGTGTTCCTTAATCTATGTTCTTGTTACTTCCTTTGTTTTTTTTTTTTTTAAATATTGTCTTTCTTGAAATCACTCGTGATTTATGTTTGACTGTTAAACATTTCTTCAATCAAAGATAAGTTAAAGAAAAAAATAGATTACTTTAATTCCTTACTCTTTATTATTAAACTTTACGTAAGAATTTATATTAATATAATTTATAAATATTCTTTATCTTAAATCGCCAAAACATTTTTTTAATAACAATCATAAACCCTAAAATGACAATATTTTATATATATATACTCTTATTTTTATCTAGAAATAACACATTGATTTTGTTTTCCTATTTCTCTTCTGTTTTTATTTTTTATTTATTTTACTTTTAGTTCAAATACGGTAATAGATTTCCCACTAAAGCTATCTGCATGAATTTAATGTAATGAGTAAAGACATATTATGATAGGAATGAAGAAAATTAGTTTTTAATATAAATTACAATCCCAGGAATATAAAATCAACGGAAAGGGGAGTGTTATGCGGGACAATTCCCAGGAATATAATTTTAATTTTTAATATAATTTTATATATAAATTTTTCAAAATTATAACTTTTTTACCATTTGAAATGGATATTTTGTAGAATGTAATGTTTACACCATGGAATAATAATTTAAGAATGTCAGTGCAAGTGTATCACTATTGAAACAAACCACAGACTATGATGTAAAACTGAACTTCTAATTCTCAGAAATATTCACACATACCGAAAATGGTCATTCACACAAAATGCTCATTCTCAAGGAGTATGTCTCCAACTAGGGAAACAACACAAGACAGATGCTGCAGATCTGAAATGAACAACACTGTCTTCACAGTTCAACTAACACTAAATGGTTAAGGAACAAAAAATAGTGAACATGGTTTCTTGTCCCAACTAGAAGTTAGTCCAGTCCTACTATACACATCAAATACCAAGGCAAAGCTAACGAGTAAAATAAATGGGAAAAAGTTCCTAATATTTGAGCTAGCATCTACACTTCCAAATCTGCAACATTTTCTTGTGAATCATCAACCTGCAAGGGCCTCTGAAAGGCACAAGGAGGTGGTGGAGGATCAACACTCAATGTACCATCAATTACTCTCACTACCTCCCCCATGGAAGGTCTCCTGCGTTCATCCATTTGAAGGCACCAAAATGCAATTCTTAACACACGCTCCAGTTCCTCTGAATTGTAACCTCCTTCCATTCTTCTATCAACCACATTGAACACCCTCTCTTCCATCCATTCTTTATATGCCCACTCACAATGTTCAACGTGTTCATGATCGCGACACCCGGTTAATAAGGTTAAAACTAACTTGCCAAAATCCTCTACATCCTTCTCAGCTGAAAAGCCACAATATGTTGCCTTGCCATCTGCAATAGCAAACCCAAATTCGGTCACCTTGGCCCCCAAGTTTTCATCCAGCATAACATTTTCACATTTCAAATTTCCATGGCTTATGAACTCCCTGCAGCCGGAGTGCAAATAAGATATGGCTTTTGCCACACTTGAGCATATTTCAACTCTCTTTCTCCATGTTAGCATCCTGCAAAGAGCAGGATCGTCTATGTACTTGTCCACTGAACCCTTTTTGCAATATTCATACACCAAAAACCTGTGCACAAACTCACAACAATAACCCTCCAGTTTTACAAGGTTCTTATGGTGTATGCTACCCATCTTCATAACAGCACTTCGGAATTTCCTTTCTTCCATGGTCGCGTTTAGGTCTTTTAGTGCAATCAGGTGATTGTTTGGTAGCATACCCTTGAACACCTTTGGCCCAATTTGATTCTTGAAATCCCCTGTAAGGCTCTTGATTTCTGAGAAGGACAACGCAATTAAACCCTTGGAGTTTGTACCTTGGAAAGCTAAAGTGGCCTTTTGCCTGGTAGAGTTTTTTCTTCTGTACATGAAGCACACAATTCCCAACTGGAGAATAACAAAGATGCAAAATGTGCCTGTGGCAGCCCCCATTAAGCAAGGAACACACAGCCGAGTAGGTGTTTCGGAAGGAGGAGACTTTGTGAGACTTGGATTTACAGCAAATGGACCTGAACATCTCCTAACAAATGATATTGAGTTTACTGATGGATCTAAATAACCAGTCACATACCCAGTTTTCTTTATAGAGCATTGTGGAATTCCGTCGTTGGAAAAAGTTGCAGCCGTACACTGTGAATCATTCAGACACAACTGTTCACAATGCTGCAAACTACTTGTGACAACAGGATTATGAGGAGGGTAGAATGCATACAAATATGTGTTCTTATATGCTATCATATTGGAGCCAGATGCACACTCTTGTTCAGCTGGAACCAAACATTTGTTACCCCCAGTTACCTCAAACGGGCATTTGCATTCAGCAGAACCCGAGGCATTGAACACGCAGACACCACCAAGCAGACCACATGCTGCAAAGACCTTGCACTGATTCTCAACAGCTTGCCAGACTGATCTCCACAATCCTAAACTTTCAACCCACGAATATAAGCGAAGATTTCCATCCACATCGAGCCGAAGATATCTGTAACTCACAGAATCATTGTGATCCTCCCCAAATGCAGACCAAACAGGTTTTAAGCTTCGGTCTCGAAGTTCTAGAGCTCCACTGGTTGTAAGGAAAGCACTGAGATTCGAACCAGAAGAAGGGTTTTCACTTGTCCAGTATATAACATCACTTTCCCAATGTAGCTCCAAATGACCAGAAGCATTCATGTGAAGGCTATAGTAACTGGACTTGCTATTTTTGCTTGCAGGTGCAGCACGAAGCATTTTATTAGCAAATAAACTTTGTCCTGGGAGAAGTGTATCAGACGGAGTCTCAAAACTTTGCCAAACGATGTGTTGCTCTTTATCCATTAGAACAAGATTTCCATTGTCAAGAAGTGAAGCCGAAGCTACAGATCCGTTACCCGTTTTGGTGGTCCAAACAGAAGCTTCATGCAAGGAATCAAACAGGACCAGTTCCCCTTGCTGAGTGAGTTCAAAGTAGGACTCGTTACCAACTGTGACATCACCCCCAGCAACCCAAACCATAGTTTGTTGGCTATATGGTATAAACTTGGAATTGAATCTAATTCCAATACTAAACTGATTAGGTTGATCTGAAATGTTGAAGAATCCAATTGCAAAATCACCATTGGAGGAAACCCAACAATCATTGTCAACCACAGAAAGTTTGGAACCCAGGGGAATCTCAGCTCCCACAACAGAATGCACCAAGAGGCCAATGAATATACATAGCAAGAATGGTGATCTAAGGAGACAATTCTCTTGTCCAAGCATATCTAGATATGCTCAGAGGGGCAAATTAAGATATACAACAATCAATCCTAAACCCCAAGTCTCAGTTACATGTGAAAGACATTGAATTTATCTCAGCAACTATCACAAACAAATGGGAAGTGTAAACCTAAGAAAAGCTCAAGATTGAGGTTTCTGCTTTCAAAGCTCAAAGTGCTGTTCAGAGGTGAAATGATAAAGAACACAAGGCACAAAATTTCTAAGAATATTAGGTAAAGAGTGAAGACAAATTTGAAGGGTTGAGGAGAAAATCTGAAAAGATCCAAGTGGGGTAGAAAAAGGAAAAAGAGTTTGGTACCTGAAGGAATAGTCAAAAGCTCAGAAATTCAAGAAGCCACCAACTACCATTAGCATCACAAAAAACTTAGCCATTCCCAGAAAACAAAAATCACAAGGTAGCAGCAAGATATGAACTAGACAATGCAACCTTAAATTAGAAAGAGTGTGGAGCGTGACTAAGCTGCAACAGGGAGTTTACCATGGAGAAGAAGCACTTTTTACTCTTGTGCAAAATGACGGGAAAAAAATTATGTGAAAAATAAAAATTGAAGCTTTAAACTGAAATGGGGCCCAAATTAGGCCAATGAGGAACCCATTTTCCAGTATACAGTAACTTTTCTGAGCTCAAAGAGACAAAGAGAGTCTCGAAAGTTTAAATGGAATGTTGGCACATTGCAAATTAATTAGGATAACAAGGCACCCTACTCCCCCTAAATAAAGAACAAGAAGGGATTAAAGTTAATTTTCAATAAAGAATCATGTCTAAAAGAGAAATGAAAGTAACAAATTTCTCAACATGTTTATTATTATTATTATTATTAGTTTTATATTTAACAGTTCTATTTATATTTTTGTACTGTTTAATTAATAAAAACATGTTAAAAAATAATTTAAATATCTTTCATTTCTCTAAATATCATTCTGTTTATTTTAAATATTCATAAAAAAAAATTCTTTTAGATCTTGAATTATTTTTATAATTTATAGGTATTTTTTACTTTTAACATTTTTTAGTTCTGAATTTACCAATTTGTTTCTAATATTATACTTTTGAAAAAAAAATTAATATATTAATCAAGATGTGGTGATCCATATGGGCCGTTGGATAGAGCGATAGAGAGAAAACTGTAGATGGTCACACCATTAATGTCAATGCAGAGAGCTCCAAGTGTCTTCTTCTGACCTGGACCAAAACAAAAGGTTACGTAAATAAGGACCACGATGATATATTCACAAATAATATTTTTAATAATATAATAATTATTTTTAGTATTATACTAAAAAAAGGTGTGAAACTATATTATATACTTAGTCGTCAAATTATTATTTTTCCATATACATACTCTATGACCACTAAAAAGAAATTTGTATACTTAGATATTTGAGGAAAAGTAAAATCCGTCCTAATTATACTGAGAATTTTAAAATATTAATCTATAATAATATATAACCCATTTCACTTATAACTATTTTTAGTATTATCATAGAGAAAAATAATCATTTATATTCATATTATATTATATTTTCTTTTATTTATTTTTTAATTATATATTTATATATTTATATTTTTAAATTCTTAAATAAAAAATAATAAATAAAAATATATTATTTTTATATTCCTTTAATCATAAGTTGTTTTCGATTTTTCTTTTCTTCAAATTGGGTCTCACGTTTATTTATCTTCAATAATTTGTAATTTTAAAAATAAATATTTATTTTTTAAAATTAATATATACATTAAATTTTAATAAATTGAATTAAAATAGTTATTAAATATGAGCATTTTTAATAGTTAATAAATACGAGCATTTTAAATATTTTTTTAATCAACGAAATAGATATATAGATATCATAATATTTATATTTATATATGTATTTTTTTTAATATTTATATATATATATATATAAATATCATATAAGGGAAAATGATGTTAAATACTTATTATGAATTGAATTAAATTACTTCATTTCAACCAATAATTTTAACAAATACTTATGAGATTAAATATATTTTAATTCTTTATAAAAAATTTGAATTTTGATTTTATTCTTTATAAAAAAAATGTATTTATTTTTCGTTTTCACAAATTTTAAAATAATTTTTTTATTTTTATAAAATATGTGGTTTTTAGTTTTAGTTTTGTTTTTAATATTATTTGATTTAATCCTTCAAAGTGTTCTAATTTTTTCCTAACATTCATTTTAAGTTTTTTTTAAGAGACACGTGTTAACATTATTTACAAAATTAATACCCGCCACTTTTAAACGAGCATTGAACACTTTATAGCTTTCACATGTTTTTTCATAAGGTATAAGAAATTCAAGTTAGATTGAATTTAATCTAAATATTTACCCAATTAATTAGGTTGGGTTTAGTGTATGCATTTGGAGAATAATTTAATAAGGTGTGGTTTGATGAAAAGAATTTTAGTTACACAACCCGATGAAGACAGGTAGACAAAACGGCACAGCAGAACGTAAGAGGAACATGCGCGCCACATGCGCATTATCTTATTTTTATTATTTCTAAAAATCAAAAACTATATTTTATTTTATCTTATACCTTTATGTTAAAAATATTATTAAATTAATAGTTTCTATGTTTATACGATTATGAATTATGTAAATAAAGCAAAAGAGTTCAATTTTCAAAAATAATGATTTTAAAAAATTTATACTGTTAACTAATTAAAAATAAACTTTTGAAAATAATCATTAAAAAAAATTAATCAGTATCAATTAAACCTAAATCAACTTTTGAAAACTATGAAGAAGGCGATGTTTAAAATTTTTGGTGTTCAATTTTGCAAATTTTTTTAGTATTACTCTTTGCTTCGTATTTGATTATTCTTTCTAATCAACTTTTAACTAATGATAACAAAATATTAAAAGGTGTGTTAAATAGCACCCTTTTGATATGAGAAATGTGGGTAAGATTTTATTATTATTATTATTATCTTATAAATCTTCTTTATCGTAAATAGTAATTTACATGTCGTGGAAAAAAATAAGAAAAAAAATGGTTGGAAGTGAAAATGTAGAGGTTTTAAAACCATGTGAAACAGTGAACATGAAAAGATAAGTTAAAGTCTAAAGCAAAGAAGGAGATAATATTTCAGAGGCACGAATGTAAAAGCAAAGAAATAAGGAAGATTCTTCATTTTCTTGAGTCACTACTACTTTTTCATCGAAAGAATACAAAATTATTAATTGGAGAAAAAGTTACCTTTTGCCATAGTTGAATTGTCAACCACAATATGGACCCACCAATAAATAATATTTATTTATGTCTAACTTTGGAAAAGATTTTGCGACGGTATCTTAAGCAATCGAATTGTTTTATATGTAAGCTTTTCATATGGAAATGAACCCTAAATAATAAGTAGTTCAACAACTCAGCCATTGATTCAAGTTTTGGTATTATCCAATTTGCTCTAAACTTGATTACAAAATTAAATTACTAGTTTACTAACAGTTTTGCTTTCAAGTTTACTTGTTTTGGAAGTGAAAAACCCAACTGAGAGAAAATATTACTTTTCATTATAACTTTCTTATACATGTTGATGATGATACGAGAATCATTTAAAGTGACAAATTTCATCATATGTTTTTTCACATTCATGAGCATGAGATCAAATCTCAAAATATTATTCTTGATGTGTAATTAAGATATTAAAGTCAAAGGAGTTGCAAATAAAATGAGATGAATCCAAAAAAAAAAAAAAACTCCATAAAGTAGGTTGAAAAATAGCAATAGCATATACCTGTAGCATTCACTTTTCATGTGTTTTTTCTTTTTTATTATTCAATGAGTCTGACATGACCACCCTTGTATTCATCATTCAGTTGTTGACTTTAGGTGCTATCAATTATATATCGTTCTTCTCTCTCATATCAACTTTTACTCTGAAGTATCCTATGTTTACTCCTTAACTTCATTTGCGTTTTAACCCTTGCACTCTGCATATACAGTGTCTATTATTTGAAGGTTATATATATAACATTTGTGATGTTTTAGGTTAACAAAGAAACAAGACCTACTGTGGTGGTACCTAGGAGTAGCAACCAGAAAGAACCAAAACTGTATAGAAAGTTCCCGTGACGAAGATGAAGTGTGTTTGAAATGTCACTGTTTACGTTTGTCATGGTCTAGTGTTCTCATTTGCAGTTTCTGCATTATTTTTTGTATTTGGTTTTGTGTGCTCAGTTTCAGGCATTGCAGAGCAGCTTCACAAAAATAGTCAAATCAACTTCCACTTTTCACTTCCTTTGGTTCAACCTCTTTATGTATCCATTATTTCTTGTTTCTCTTACACACATTCGTTGTGGGCCTTCTTTTGCTATTTACACTCCCCCACCTCCTCAATTCACTTCCTTCTTTTTGCATGTGAAGTTGCCGTATCAACGTTAAACAACAAACAGGTACAATTTTTTCCTCTTGCATGGTTTCAGAACTGTAATAGTTTTTTATGCGTTACTAAAAAAAATATGCTATTTAGTGATATGTGATACCATTTGAAATAAAAGAAGCAGAAAGTACAAAAACTATATAAATGCCACCATAACAGGTTCTCATCACATTCATTTTAAGTAATTTTAATGTTCTTATTGTTATTCTGATTATGAATTTGAATAATGCAATTCAATTTTCAATGGTGTAATTCAAAATTACATGGTATTGGAATACACAAGCCGACATATTGAAATTTCCCTTTTATGTATTGCATATAATATTTTTATATGACAAGAAAATATATACTTCAATTTTTTTTTCATATTTTAATATTTATGAAATTATTTTCTCTTTTGAATTTTTTTTAAAATAACGAATAAACAAAACGCCATTTTTCCATTGTTTAATAACATTGTAGTATTTTTTTCATTATTATTGCTACAAAAAAATAATATTTTCAAACTAAATACACATCATTTCGTTTACAGTGGAAATTTTATATTTTCTTAAAAATTACGTAAATGAATGGTACAATAATGAAAGATGAAATTAAAAAACAATTAAAAGTAAATTTTAAAATTTTCATAATATCAACAGTCGTTGTAGTATAGTGGTGAGTATTCCTGCCTGTCACGCAGGTGACCCGGGTTCGATCCCCGGCAACGGCGATATTTTTTTTTTCGTCTTCTTTGAAAACATTTTTTTTTTCTTTTCTCAAATTTTACATAAATTTTTGAAAACGTAAACTAGATTGAATCATGTGTTACATAAACTAGAATGGTTTAAAAACCATGAACGGGATGGAATATAATGTTTTCGAGAATAAATGCATAATTTTCTAATTCTAGAATTGTTTTAGTGTTTTGGGGTTTTAATTGTCTAATTCTTTTGATTGAAATAAAATTGTTTTAGTGTTTTTGGGTTTTAATTTTATAATTCCTTTGATTGAAATATAATTATTAAAGTTAATTCTGACTTTAATGACATTGGTTGATCGAAAAATAATTGTAACGTGCTATATCAAGGTTATATTATTGGAACATCACTATTAATAAACTAATTTGTATTTAATTCACAACTCAATAAATAAGTATTTACAAATAATTTATCCTGCTTCTCTTAATTAGCATTTGAGTTCATTCTCCGAGTGGTATTTTTGTTGCCACTTTAATGTATTTATCGATGATTATTTCATAGAAGCAAGGGTGTATTTTTAATTAAAGAATTGAAATAAGTGATGTGAGATTCTTATAGTATTCTTTTTCTTGATTAAAGATAATTAAAATAGATATATAACATTCTCTCAAAATTGAAACACATGTTTACTAAAATATACAAAGTCAACAAAAGTCTAACACTGTGCCAATTAGCTTAATGTGAATTGATCTTAAAGTGAAATGTGATGTTGAAAAATAATTTTTCTAATCTCTTCTATTATGTAGTTGAGCAAAAATATTAAAGAATATCTAAGATTACTTATTTTAATTTTTCATATATATATATATATATATATATATATAAATTAAATTGTGTTCTACATAAATTAATTTATAAAAATTATGTTAATTTAAGACTCGTTGCAGTAACTTAGTTCGAGAAATCTTTAAGAGAAGAAAACAAGTAAAAAGAATAATGTTAATTAAAAAATAAAATAAAATTAGTTTGTAATTTAACTAATTTATAGTTTTCTGATATTAACTTTTTTTAAAATAAATTTTTATTTGTGTATAAATTAATTTTATTTAATGATAAAAAATATTTCATTTTTTTTCTTATTAGTATTTATAAATAATTTGTCATATAAACAAAATTTAAGTATAATACAAATTATAATTTTTTTCATATAAATGAAAAATAATTTCTGAGAGAGATAAGAACTGATTTTAATTATATGGAACAGGAAATGAGGTTGTTCCCCAGGTACAATAAGCAGGTAAGATGAAGATGCTTTGAAGTTGTAAAGGGCCAAACGTATGTGGACAAACATGTTTTGTCTACTGGGATAATGTCATGCATTATGAATCATGTTACAAAAATGAATCTTACGTAAAATACAACAAATTTTTTAAAGTTGTATACTTAATAAATTAACAATTTTATTTTAAGTCCTTTATGTTAATTATATTATTAATATCGTCCTTTGTTAAGTTGTTTTAAATGTTACAAAACCTTGGATATTAAATTATAATCTATATGAAGTATTTTTTATTTTTTTATATTATTATACGTAATCGTATATTATAAAAGATATTGATTTTTATGATAAACAAATATTGAGAAATAAAAAAAATATTTAAAACTATTTCACGAACTTAAATTAAAATATTTTATTTATTAAACGAAAAAATTTATAAAATAACATATTAAACATTTGAAACTTATTTAAGTCAATAATATTTTCATATATTAAAATTAGATATGAAAAAATTACAATAAAATAATTATAATTTAAAAAATTATTATTAATATTATTATTTTTATATATTTATAGAAAATTATATATATATATATATATATATATATATATATATATATACTTAATTAGTTATGTTTGTATTTTAAATATATGTAGTTACATTTTAATTTATTAAAATAAAATAAAATATTTTAATTCAGGTTTAATTTTTAATTAAAAAATAATTTGTTGACTTGTTTTGAATTTATTTATTTATTTATTGTAATATTATTAAATATTTTATAACAAAATTGAATAGAAAATACTATTATTTTTTTATATATTCATATCTTAAATTTCTTCTTATTTATATAAATAAATTATATATATTTTATTTAAAAATTATAATACAAAGATAATATATACCTGAAAAAAGTACGACATTTCTTGAAATAGTTAAACGCACGTAAAGATGCAGAGTTAGCAAACGGAGCTATTCACGCCAACTAAAATAACGAATAAAAATAAAAATAAAAAATAAAGTACAATAAAAATTTGAGTCTTTATTGATATATGTGTTTTTTTTATCATTGATATTCATAGATAAATGAAAAGTTTGCATAAATGTATGGACATAGAAAAATTATAAAGAATTTTATTTTGTCTAAAGCGATTAAAAAAATAAATGATAAATTATAACGCACACTAAATTTATATTATGTTATTTAATAATTAAGAAAAATAATTGCAGATAATATATATATAAAATGCTTTGTGCTTAAAAGGTTAGGTCTTTTCAGAAACTAGAACAGAGGGGGTGTGCTTAGTAGGGCCTTAACAGGGATTGAGCCTGAAACTCTAAAACTCTTTCCCTTAACCCTTATTTGTATTGTATTACATAATTGATTTTATTCATTATACTTTTACATGATTTATTTTACCTTTTCTCGCATTATACTACTTGACTTGTCAATATTAATATATTGTAAGTTTTCAAAATCAAACAAGTTAACAAGAATACTAAACAAATATTCTAAATCAATATTTTTTATTTCTTTTTTTACTAATTTTCTCAACCATACAGTGTATTCACATTTTAGGTTAACAATTAAAAATTAAACTAATAAAAAATAATTTATTTATTGTATTTAACATATTATAATACACTATGTTTATTAAAATAGTATAATAAATTTGTGTTACAATCTTAATCATTAAATCATTTACTTTTGAATTTTAAAGAAATTATAAATTATAAATATAACAACAATTATAAATAGATTGCAACATATCTTTTTATTTTATTATAAAATAAAACATTTAACAGTTTGTTTACAATAATATTTTATGTTTCATTTTGTAAAGAGAGTGTTTTATAAACAATGTTTTACAAACAATGTCCGACAACTTATTTGATAAACAATGTTTAAAAATGTTATAATAGAAAAACTCAATCAAAATTAAACTATTAAATATTAGTTTGATTAAAGTTTAATTCCAATTTTATATTAAATTTAAATCAAAATATACTTTATTTTTATATATAGGTAAAATAATTATTCAATAAAAATCTAACAAAACTAATCGCAAACATAATAATATTTACAAGAATGTTTTGAAATCATCGTAGTAACATCATAATATTAATATCTAATTAGATGCAAATGATTTTATTTTATTTTAAATTTATTTTAAGAATATCTGTACAATAGTTATAATAAATTAATGTATAAATATATGTGAATTATAGAGTAAATGATGTAATAGTTAGTGGGTAGTAATTTTGATGTTAGAGACATAATCAGTAAACACATGAAGTGAAAGAAGATAGGGAAAAGGAAAGGTGTAGAAACACATGGAGAAGGAAAAGTACAGATTTATCCCCAAAAATTAAGGAAAATGACGATCGGGTCCTTGGTATAGTGACGAGGCGTGATGTGATTGGGAAATAAAAAAAGCAGAAAGGTGAGGTGCAGCGCAAGAATAATGAACCCGTAACTCTCGAGTGCGCTTAGCCTTTTCCCCTTTTCTTTTCAATTCTCTCTTTTTATTGGCTCTCACATTTTATCCAACAAAAATAAATACGTGAGAGAATTAATTAATTAATTAATTAATTAAATTAAATAATCAAGTGTCTTTTTTTTTTTTTTTGGTTTTCTATTCAAAGGGCATGGGAAATGCAGAAAGAAGAAGAAGTTCTCTTGCTGGCTCCTCCTCTTTTCTCGCGATCGTTTTCTCTGTCAAACTATTTTCCTCTCCAAGTCCTGGATTTTCTCGGAATCTAAATACCCTTTCTCTGAATCTCCCTTCTGCTGAGATCTACCCTCTCTCTCACTCATGGGTTTCTTCTTTGCACTGAACAAAAACTGGTAAGATTCACTTCCCTCACGTCAGAGTTCAGATCACCTTCAAGTTTCGTTCTTTTATCCGTCTTTTATGTTTTGCTGGTTTGATTGTGTGAGAAAAAAAACTGTTTTCAGTTCAATTGTGTTGCTCTTCTGTGCGATTGTTCTTTTTCACTTTTGTTGGAGCTGCTTTTTATTTTTATTTTTTTTTAGATGATGATCGTAATTGCAATAATGTAAAATTTGGGTTGGTTTTCTCATTTTAAATAATAAAAAAAGTTTTGTTTTTTAGAGACCACATGTATCTTTCTGGACACAATCTTCGGTACGATGTATATAGCAAAAGTTTCCTTATAAGTACTCATTCTAAACCACCGGGTAAGCTAGAATAACCCGTGTGAGTTGAACTAGTAGTCTCGATGTCAAAACTTGCTAAGTAGTGACTTTATGTTTTTTTAGATATAAAAATGGGTGGCGGAGGTATTGGTAAAGGTTTCATCTTTTTGTTTGATCATGAATATGTTTTCTCGTCAATGGGCACTTGAGGTCGGTGCATACCTTGTTGGTTCAATTGCTGTCTGTTTTGGACGGTGTCTTGGATGACGTAATCTGGACTTTTAATTTTGTCGTATCTTTCTTCTCTATGTGCTGAAAAGAGAAGGGAGCCTTTGAGGATAACTCTTGTTTAGTAAGATGTTCTTTTGAGGGGCTTCTGAAAATCTGGATTTTTTTATTGCGGACTTGTTTTTAGTGTAGATCACTGTTTGATTTACTCGCCCTTTGGTTGATGAATGGGTTTGTCATGTTTCTAAACGACGTCCTTTGATATCTTTAGTTTCTTTCTTGTTTTGGGTGTCTTAAAATTGGAAAACCATTAGCCTTTCCTTTTCGCTTGTTTAAAGGTTTAATTTGATACATGGTTACCTGCGTATCTCATGGAAACTTCATGTGTTTGAAGGTTCAATAAGTTAACTGTTATGGTATGAGGGTTTGTGCACATCTGTGCTTACTTATTTTGCTTCTCATTTCATATAATCGAGCTGGTGTATCTTTAAATGTTAGCTTCAATGAATTTATGATTGTTTTTTCTGCAGGTAAACCTGCTGCAAATGAAAGCATTTGGAGAGGTTGAATCCATTGTTGTCTCCAACTCTATTTGTTATTCTTTTAAGTGCATCTCAACCCAGAAGCCACATGATGAACCACTTGACCATTGAGACGGAGGATTCTCTTGCAAGCTTGCTTGAGCTTGCAGCCAACAATGATGTTGAAGGTTTTAAACGAATGATCGAGAGGGATCCTTCCTGTGTAGATGAGGTAGGACTGTGGTACAGTCGTCAAAAGGGATCAAGGCGGATGGTCAATGAGCTCAGAACCCCATTAATGGTTGCTGCTACCTATGGGAGCATGGATATTTTGGATCTGATTCTATCACTTTCTGGTTGTGATATTAATAAACCTTGTGGCCTTGACAAGAGCACTGCTCTTCATTGTGCGGCTTCAGGCGGGGCTGAAAATGCTGTTGATGTTGTTATATTGCTTCTAGCAGCAGGGGCTGATCCAAACTCTGTGGACGCAAATGGTCATCGTCCAGTTGATGTCATTATTGTTCCTCCCAAGCATGAGTCTGTTAGAAACAGTCTTGAAGCACTTCTTCAAACTGATGACTCCATTGCAGTGTGTAATCTCAGGGTGATCACGGCCCCATCAAATTCATATTCTCCACCTTTGTCGACTTCACCCGAGAACGAGTCTCCTTCTGCACCAGATTTCCAATTGAAGTCAAAGTTAAATGATGGCTTTGTTTCTTCTGCATCCGAGAAGAAAGAGTATCCTGTTGATCCATCCCTTCCTGACATCAAGAATAGCATATATTCAACTGATGAATTCCGAATGTATTCTTTCAAAGTCCGACCTTGTTCCCGGGCCTATTCGCATGATTGGACTGAATGCCCTTTTGTTCACCCAGGAGAGAATGCTCGGAGAAGGGACCCCAGAAAGTACCACTACAGTTGTGTCCCTTGTCCTGACTTTCGGAAGGGTGCTTGCCGACGAGGAGATATGTGTGAATATGCTCATGGAGTTTTCGAGTGCTGGCTGCATCCAGCACAATACCGTACCCGTCTTTGCAAGGATGGGACAAGTTGCTCCAGAAGAGTTTGCTTTTTTGCTCACACTGCTGAGGAGCTTCGGCCTTTATATGTTTCAACTGGTTCTGCTGTACCATCTCCTCGTTCAAGCACATCTTCTGCTATGGAATTTGCTGCAGCCATGAACATGTTACCTGGCTCTCCTTCCTCAATGTCTGTCATGTCACCTTCACCGTTCACTCCACCTATGTCACCCTCTGCCAATGGCATGTCACACTCTTCCGTTGGCTGGCCCCAACCAAATGTCCCAGCCTTGCATCTACCAGGGAGCAATCTTCATTCCAGTCGTTTGAGATCTTCATTCAATGCCAGAGATATTCCGATGGATGACTTCGACTTGTTGCCTGAGTATGATGTTCAGCAACAGCAACAGCTCCTTAACGAATTCTCTTGCCTCTCCAAACAGCCTAATGCTATGAACCGCTCTGGTCGCATTAAAACTCTGACCCCTTCAAATCTTGATGATTTATTTTCTTCTGAGAGTTCATCCCCTCGGTTTGCTGATCCAGCATTGGCTTCGGCTGTTTTTTCTCCAACACATAAATCAGCTATTATTAATCAATTTCAGCAGCAGCAAAGCTTGCTGTCGCCTGTGAACACAAACTTTTCTTCTAAAAATGTCGAGAATCCTTTATTGCAGGCTGCCTCATTTGGGGTTCAAGCATCAGGAAGGATGTCTCCTCGGAATGTGGAACCTATTTCTCCAATGAGCTCTCGGATTTCTGTGCTAGCTCAACGTGAGAAGCAGCAACAATTCCGAAGCCTTAGCTCCAGGGAACTTGGCTCCAACTCTGCTACTGTTGCCGCTGCAGCTGCTGCCGCAGCAGGGTCCCCAGTCAATTCTTGGTCAAAATGGGGACCTTCCAATGGGACGTTGGATTGGGCTGTCAATGCTGATGAGTTAAGGAAGCATCGTAGGTCATCTTCGTTTGAGCACGGGAATAATAGTGAGGAGCCTGATTTCTCATGGGTCCAGTCACTTGTTAAAGAATCTCCAACTGAGATTAAGGAGAATTCAGCGACAACTGTGTCAAGTGGTGCAGCAGCTGGATCCTCCAGCGAGGTATCAAATATGAGCACACAAATGGACTCTGTTGATCATGCCGTGTTAGGAGCATGGCTTGAACAAATGCAGCTGGATCATCTTGTGGCTCAGCAAAATTAAATTAGTTTTGCCGACCCTGAGGTAGTCAACCAGAAAAGTTTCACTAAAGATCAGAATGCTTTTATTTGAATTTTTGTTGTGTTGATGGAAGAAGATAATAGTAACTATGAAAGGAAGCAGAAGAGGAAATTCACTTTCAAATGTAGTATTACATGAGTAGCTTAGGAAGCTCACAAAACCACTGGGTAGTATTAATGCAACTGCTCCCAGTTTTGGCTTGCCCATAGTTTCAAATTTTTAGCTTCACATTCCTGTCCTTAAATGAGTAAATGTTCTGTTTTTCTCCTTTTTCATTTTGGGGTAGAAAATTTACAAGGGCATTGGAGTTATAATTTCCTTGAAGACTCCTTATTGGTCCAGTTTTGGGGATGAAAATACAGGATGTTGGATATGGTATTTATCATGTAATTTGGAATAAATAATAGTGGATATGTTAGGTAGTGGGTAAGTCAGGGATATTGGAAGGTTGATACTTGGGTTCTGTAACATTCAATTAAAGTTTGTTGCTGTATTATCCTAATGCCTTAGTTTTTCTTACTCCATGTTGGCCTGAACTGTTCTGAATTTCTAAATCTTATCCCTGGATTTGATGCTGAACCATGTGCATAAATTTCAATCATATTAATATGTTTGGTATGAGAGTTCAGATAGCCGTAAACATTTAAATGGCCCTATAAACTTGTGGCAATATAAATATTGAGGACTAGTTAAGGTTTTAAAACTATTTATAATGCCAAACCTTTTTGAACTTGGATTATAACTTTACATTAAGTACACAAGGCTTTATCTGGTAAAACTTTTACACAAACATAAGTTTGATAAAAATTTTGGCTTAGTTCATCTTTAAATATTTGTTGCTGTATTTGATTCAAGTTATATCCTACATTTCCACTGGTCAGTTTTACAATTTAGCAAAGTTAGAGGGTCTATTTGACAAAACCAAGTTAGAGGGTCTATTTGACAGAAGTTAACTAATTTAGTCTATTACAGGCTCTTGATGTTTCATGGTATTTTTGTCAGCTACAAATATGGTGTCATTTATATGCCTTATCAAGTTGGAAACGATTTAACCAAGTTATCCAAATCAGTGTGAATAACTTAATATTTTTATGATGGAACAATAGCCATAAAGTTAAGAGGTGAAGTTCCCTTTAATCTTAACTTATCACAAAGGAATTAAGTAACTAGCTTCAGAACCGCATGATCACCTTTCGACAATTTTATGCCTTGATCATCTTGATGATTTGTTCTCCCTTTTATTCGTCCTTTTCCAAAAGGAATTAGAATGCTATCAGTATACATGCATTAACAAGTGTTCTCTTTTTCAGTAAGATTTTTATACTCTTCTGACAAAACGTGTTTGTAGCTGTAACATAGTCATAGTCACAACTCACAAAGCAAAATTGTTTTTTGTTGATAAGGAAGTAGAAAAGGAATTTACACTATCCATCTTTTTATTTCCCCTCTTGTGAATCTCTCTTTTTCTCTCTAGCATCTTCACATGTCAACATTGCTTTAGTTTGTAGTAATGGCAACCATTCATTTTAGTTATAGGGTTAAGATTCTCTTTTCTCGTCTTGTTATTTCTCACGTATATTTCTTGTATCAAAAGAGTTGTATCTACTTAGTATTCTTATTTATTGCAAAAAAATAACTAATTTCACACTAATTAGGAAAACTCAATTAACATTAGTTAATTTTACCAATCTCAATTTGAAAATACCTTTTTAAAATACTTCTTTTTGAAACTTGATATCATGAAAAAAAAAAAGAGTTGTTAAAAAATAATCATCATTAACTAAAGGAAACTTTTAGAAATTGTATCATTAAATAAAGTGAAATTAATTGAATTTTTTCATATTTAAATTCATTAAGTGTGAATTTTGCTGTTCCTTATACTTAAGTTTATAATAATAATAATTTTCATTTTCATTTTGATATCAAAATGATTTCCTCATGAAATCTAATATATATAAAATACATTTAAAATTATCTTAATGATATAGTATATTACGTGTTCTATAAGATAAAAATGCATAATGAAATATAGATAATAAAATTGTACACGTGGGTGTCCTATGTCACATTATATAATTTTATCGTACTTTTATTTGGCATACAAAAATATTCCCAGTTGATTTTTTTTAGAAGCAAATATATTTTATTAGTGGAATATAAGTGGGCTTGTACAGACCACCAGGCCCAACAATATATTTTTTGTTGGACTGTTTATTTCCTATATCCCCATAATTTTTCCCTGTACCCCATAATTAAACTACACTTATCTTCATCTTCCATAATTGTTTATTTCTGATTTTGTTTAATGGCTGATTTTTCAGCACTAGTATAATATTTTTATTCTTTCCTCTCCTATTCTTCTAAAAATTACAAAAAATAAGTAAGAATATCCAACTTTTTTTCTTTTAATCAAATTTTTACAATTACAGTATTCATGCAACAAATTTTTTGACAAGGAACAAGTTGCAGAGTAAGAAAACTAGAATTTTTTTGAAAACATGTGTCCAAAAAATGATTTTTTAAATATATTTCTAAAATTAATTTTTTAAAAATACATTCCAAAAAGTACATTCTCAAATTGATTTTCTAATAATATATTTTGAACTCATTATCTGAAATGCATTTTCAGAAAATCAATTTCAAAAGAACACATTTTTTAGAATATTTTTTCGGAATTGATTTTTCAAAAATACATTCTAGATCCATATTCATGGAATTAATTTCTAGAAATACATTCCACCTTCCATAACACTATTTTAGAATGGATGTTTCAGAATGTATTTCTGGAAAAAGATTGGATATTCTAGAATTCAATCTTATTTTCACTTATACTATTTCAAATTGAATAATTTGTATCTATTTGTATAATTTAAATGGAAGAACATATAATTCATACATAATATTAATCAATCATTGTTAGAAAAAGTTTTTAATAGAGATAATAACACAAAAATTTCAAATAGATACTATTTCAAATTGAATAATTTATATCTATTTGTATAATTTAAATGAATCAACATGTAATTCATATATAATATTAATCATGGGTAGAAAAAGTTTTTAATAGAGGTAATAACACAAATTTCAAATAGCCCAGAAGTTGTAGGCAAATAGAGAAAGTTAGGGTAAACAAGAATATGAGAACAGTATTTTAAGTATTTAACTTGAAATACGGAGGTGCAGAAAAAAAATAATCTCGGTGTAGGAAGCAATTGCTTTTTTGTTGGGACTTTTTTGGAATTATAACCCGAATGAAATATTCTCAAGTCGCATAATTAACAAAACAGATAGTGACTATTCTTAAATTTTACGTAGCAACAAAAGTCCTGCTAAAAACATTTAAAAACACAAATGAAGTTTAAAGAAGTTTATGTAACTTTGATTATGTGCTTAGAAAACCATTGAATGATTATGAAGTAAGGAAATAAAACAGTAATGGTCGTTAGATGATTCATGAGAACGATGAACCTCTACTGTCTTCTTCTTTCTTATGCCGAGTTTTGCAAATACGGATGAAGGAAACACCTACGAAGATTTTCTGAAAGTCAGCATCAATATATGAACATGAACAGATAAATGGGAAAGAAATATTAAATCTTTCATATAAGATCATATTGTCCCGATAATTGTTTGTGATTTATGGGATGTAGAAGTTTAACTCCATTTAGTCCAATGAAAGATTTATAAAGAGAGTTTTCCGTTTCTGAGTGAAACAAAATGTAAGATAAATACCAAAATATGTAAGCATAGAAAGCATTTATTAGGCGTAGGCATGACTATGTAGCAAGATAATAACATGATAAGTAAAGAAGAAAGTTCATAAAAAATGAAGACGAATACCTTCAACTTTTGACTTTGCTGTTCTGGGAATTAGTTTTCCTCCAATGATTCATGAATGAAAAGTTGTTTGATGTGCGATATCTTGTGCCAATCCTTTCCAACTTCAGGTTGAAATCTTTTGCATAATTCAGGGCAATCAGTGAGTCGCAAATGTTCAAGGTTTGTGAGGTGAAGCATGTCATTAGGCAGTGAGAGCAGCTTTGGGCAATTTCCAATTGCAAGACAAATCATATTTGACAGCCACTCAGGAAGCTCCTCCAAATTCACAGTCATATATGGAAAGGGTATGTAAGGTGTTCACAGATCCTTCCAACCACTGAGGCAAAGTGATCAACTGTTCTAAATCAAAAAGAACAAGAAATTTTAACCTTGAATCCGGGATTTGGCTGCTAAGGCCCATCCACAATTCCAACTTACAACACTTTGTGATCCTCAAAACCTCTACATTTCTAATGGCATGAAACCACACCGACTTCAGATTCCCACATTCAATCAAAAACAAATTTTTAAGATTGGGAAGTTGTAACCCTGTGAACAATGTCTCCACGTTATCACATTTAACAAAATGTAAAGATTCTAAAAAAGTCAAATTTGCAATCTCTTTCTCAGGAAAATCAGGTTGTCTGGTGGTTATAGTTAGGTGACGAAGGCTGATTAGATTTCCTATTCCTTTGGGTAATTTTTGTAGCTTTATGCATCCGCGAAGGTTCAAAGTTTGCAAATTTTGAAGTTTGCAGATCGAATCAGGGAGTTCCTTAAGTTTTTCACTATCCGAAAGACCGAGATATCTTAAATGTTTCAACTTTCCGATGCAGCGAGGCAAACTCTCGTATTCAGAAAAACATAAGTTTAAAACCCTCAAGTATTTGCACTTTGCAACCAATGTGCTCAAGAAAGCTTCGTTGTTGGTTCCGTTACGACAGTGCAGAGTTCTCAGACCTGTGGGAAGAAGAGCTCGACCACCCATATTATTTTCTATTAATGTCAAATGTTGAGTGTACTCAGATACTTGTTGATTGAGGGGATCTATTTTTTCAAACTCACCTTTCGCAACATACACTGAAAGATCACTTACCAAATCATGCAATTTAAAATAGCAATCAGTCCCAACGTCAACATAATCTGAAAGAAAAGATCTTGACCATAACTCATGCAAAAATTGCTTGCCAACATCAGCCATGGATTCATATTTCTGTGGTGGTGGAAGAAAACCAAGAGCTTCCCACAGCCTAGTAACTCCATAGCCATAAATAATAGAGTCCTCAGGAAAAAGGGAGAAAGAAGCAAAACATGGTTTTAAATATGAAGGCAGTTGATCGTAACTTAATTTGAGAGCAGGCAGAATTCCTTGCTCATTTTGTCTTAAAGTCCAAATCTCATTGTCTCTTATAAATTCCCACTCTTTCTTATCAACCCTTGAGAACAGTGAACTCCCCAACGTTCTCACAGCCAACGGTAACCCTCCACATTTTTTAACTATTTCTTTCCCAATCTCCAATAGTTGTGGATGTTTTTTCTCATCTCCATCTTCAAAAGCAGATTTGACGAATAGAGAAAAAGAATCATCATCAGAGAGGCGTTCTAGAAGGTAAGAGTTTGAGGATTTAGTGCGCATCATGTCAGCTATTGAGTGGCTACGAGTAGTCACCAGAATTTTACACCCTTCAACATCCACATCTATTATTTCCTTCAAATCATCCCATCTAGCACGCTCCTCGTTCCACACATCATCCAAGACAAGCAAGAACTTTTGACCACGAAGAGTATTTCTCAAATGATGTTGAAGTTGCTCCGTCTCATAGTTATTGAAGTTTTCCTTAGTTGGGTTAGGAGCAGAATTAAGGATTTTAACAAGCACATTCCTAAGTTCAAAATCATTAGAGACACACACCCACATCTTCAACGGAAAACATTCTTCAATGCTAGTGTCATTGAACACCAACTTTGCAAGTGTGGTCTTTCCCAAACCTCCCATTCCCACAATGGGAATAACAGAGAGTTTTTCTTGATGACCATCTTGCAGCAGAAGTTTTATGATATTCTGTGTATCATGTTCCCTTCCTATAACATTGGAAGGGTTTACATGAGAATGAGTCATTTCCCTCACGTGGACCACATGATTATCTCGGTCAATGACTTTAAGGCCAAACAGGTTCCTATGAGCTGCAAGTTTGTCCAACCTCTCCTTGATATCTTCCATCTGATGCGCCATTCTAAGACGATAAACAAGAGGATTACTTGAAGAGAAGAAACGGCGTACCTTCCTTGAGCAGCTACCATTTGTGTTGACAACGTTCTTCCGCAACGCTTCACACTCAAAATCGTCGACTATGTCCTCGGCGTCGGAGAAGACGTGCTTGATCAGTCTCAGCCATTCGCTCAATGCACTGCTCTGCGACATCTTTTGCTCAGCATCTAACAGCACAGCTTTGATGAGTGACATAGTTGCTTTCATCTGCTGTAGCTCGCGGTGCACACCGAGAGCCAAAGAAGCTTCTTCAACGGCACGAGAAGCAAGCTTCCCTATGAGTGATTGTGCAAAGCTGAAAAGAAGTGACTCGGCCATGATTAGTTTCAGGGAGATAGCTGGGAATGCAACGCTGCAACGAGAACTTGGTTTAGTTTCAATGCTTTCATGTCATTATTTATTATATCAATCAAGTGAAGAGTTGACTGGGGAAATAAATGCATATACATGTGTAGTTGGGTCATAAATTGTATGGACTCAATTATCATATCATCTTTCCTTACAATTTAGACTTTAAACATTTTTATTAGTAGTAATCGAAGTTCTGATTCTTATAAGAAAAATGGAAGGAGAGTAATAGTTTTTACAAATTATTATTTCATTTTTGGATTATAAAAGTTACGAGTTGTAAACTGCAAAAATATAATCTTATTTGAAGATGTAGATTATGAAGAAGGAATTGAATGAGAAGGGGTTGATAAGTTGGATGTTAAATCATATCACATAATTACAAATGAAGGGAATAGTGTAAGTTGGTAAGTAGAAGAATAGTTGCATTCTGAATTATTGCACACCATCATGGTCTTTGTAAAACTCGGCGGCAAAATCAAAAGTACAAAAAGACAATGTAATAAAGTAAGATGTGCTGGATTCCACTAAATTTATTTTATTGTTTTAATGCATTTACTGCGTATGAATGTGAACAGAACACGATTATAAAATAATCCATTACCACTTACTTGATTTCTTTATTAGTTGTTGATAAAGTGGAGTGTTATGGTACGTGAATCCTATTTCTCCTCATTTTCTTTAAGCAAATCAAAGTTTCATGCACTTCATCCTGTCAAAATTTCCTCCAACAACCTTCTACGTTGCTTCTCAGGCTTATATTCCTTCTATTCAAACTAGTTTGGTTTTTAGCATATGACTTACCATTTTTAATCAAATTCAAATAATCAATCACTTATCAAATACATCAATTTTTAAATCAGATTTTAACATATTCCAACATTTAACAAATACATCATACTTAGTCAATTCCGGCAATATAAAATTTTAGTAGACTCAGTTAACAAATAACTCAATCCACTTAGTCATAATCGTGTGGACCATAATCATTTTCCTTCCATTATATATATATATATATATATGACTTTCTAAAGTATATTTTTTTATTCAGTAATAATATTTTTTTTGTCTTCTTATATTTTTTTCTTCTCCATTTTTGACATCTAAGATAGTACCATAGTTCTTTCTACCAAGAGTTCACTTTTCTGATTCTTTGTCTTTCTTTATCGGTGTTTTGTTTTCTTGGGTTTCTTGTTATTTCTTTGGTCAATCCTTTTCTTAATTTTAGCAATAATCATTCATGAGGTCGTTTCATGATGTTCCACGAAAGAGTCTAATAAAGATGATTCCTGTTAAGAAGAATGAGCAAGTATATAAGAGGGGGATGAATTAGTCTTTTAAAATGTTTTTCTGAAAACATAAACAAGTTACCAATTATCCAATAACAAAATTAAATCTTTCAGAATTGTATTGACAATGAATTATAAAATTACGTGGGAATGTTCCGTGTATTTTTTATATTAAAATATATCTCACGAGTTATTCTCCTAATTGGATTAAGTGTTAACCAATAATCTTAATATCAAAAATACACAGAACAAAACACTTGTCTTACCATTCACTACAAATACTACATACTTACACCGTGGTAATTCTCAGTTAAAACAAAATATTTTTCTATATAAAATAGTGTTCAACACACCTTATTACATTTTCATATTTAAACTTTTCGTAAACGTGGATAGGATTCATGATCACCATGCTCAAGAGATCAAGCTATTTATCAACATGTAGCTAGATAATAACATGATATATAAAAAAAGAAAATTCATAGAAAATAAAAACAAATACCTTCAACTTTTGACTTTGATATTCTGGGAATTAGTTTCCTCTAGTGATTCATATATGAAAACTTGTTTGATGTGTGATATCTTGTGCCAGTCCTGTCCAACTTCTGGTTGGAGTTTTTTGCATAATTCAGGACAACCAATGAGTTGTAAATGTTCAAGGTTTGTGGGTGATGCAAATTATTAGGCACATTATTTTTTGTCATATCAAGAACTATTAACTAAAGACTAGACACATTATGAGCATCTCACTTGACGAATCAAAATAATTACAATGTAAGAAATCCACAATGAAATTTAAAACGTATCTCTAACAAAGAACTGGTGAACTAATAGAGTGAAAGTGATGTAAATATTCTCTAATAATTCTTATTTAATATACATCTTTTAAATAAGATTATTAAAAATAAAGTTATCGATAAAAAATATTAATTATTAAAAAATTATTTACAATTAAAATTTATGCATCATCAAATTTATGAAATTAAAATTATTTTTAAAAAATTAATATTATTTAAATTTATATTTTGTATTATAAATTATATGAATTAATATTCTATAAAGATTGATTTTATTTATATTAATATTCTATAATTTTATTTTATTTAAAATAAAAAATATTTGCGAGTATCTAAGGATTAGCTACGAATATTAAAATATTCCATGAGTATTCATGGCTAAGAAGCGGGTGAGACAAGTAGATACTGTTATGCAGATGTTTTCGTGTCATCAAAATAAACCAATTTTAAAGTTAGGTGTTACCAGAACTTAGGCTATGGGGACTGAGAGAATCACTTTAGCGAACATCCTTAACAAACTCATCACCTTTTTGTATTAAAGCCCTTACTGGTAAATAACTTGTTATGTAAAAAACAAAATCCTGTCTTTTCAAAATAGATAAAAAGGTTGTGGTAAAACACCAATGGAAAACAAAAAAACAAAAAATGATACCTTAAACTGTTGACTGTTCTCAGAGAATTCTCAGAACTTTTCCAGTTCACCACCAACAATAACTTTTTTGATGTGAGATATTTTATGCCATTCTTGTCCATCTTCTGCTTGGAGTCTTTTGCATAATTCCGGGCAACCAGCGATTCGTAGATATTCAAGATTTGTGAGGTGATGGATGTTCTCAGGGAGTGAGCACAGTTTTGGAGAATTTTCAATGGAAAGCAATTTGAGACAAACCATAGTTGACAGCCATTCAGGAAGCTCCTGCAGATTGACGCAGTCAATTATACAAAATGAATGTGAAGTGTTGAGAGATCCTTGCAACCACGGAGGCAAAGTGACCAACTGTGGTAAATCAATGAGCAAAAGAAACTTTAACCTTGAATCGGGGATTTGGCTGTTAAGGCCCATTGACAATTCCAACTTACTGCACTTGGAGATCATCAAAACCTCTAAATTTCTAACAGCATGAAACGACACCGACTTTAAACTGTCACATTCATCTAAACCCAAACTTTTAAGATTGGGAAGTTGCATCCCTTTGAACAGTGACTCCACTTTATCACACTTCTGAAAATGCAAAGTCTCTAAAGAAGTCAAACTTGCAATCTCTTTTTCAGGAAAATCAGGTTGGCTGGTGGTTATAGCCAGGTGACGAAGACTGATTAGATTTCCTATTCCTTTCGGTAATTGTTGTAGCTTTATGCATCCACGAAGGTTCAAAGTTTGCAAATTTTGAAGTTTGCAGACCGAATCAGGGAGTTCCTTAAGTTTTTCACTACCCGAAAGACTCAGATATCTTAAATGTTTCAACTTTCCAATACAGCGCGGCAAACTCTCGTAGTCAGAGAAACCTAAGACTAAAACTCTCAAGTATTTGCACCTTGCCACTAATAGATTCAAGAAAGCTTCATTGTTGGCTTCTTTAGGAAAATACATATATCTTAGACCTGTTGGAGGAAGAGCTTGACCAAGCAAATTACATTCCATGAATGCCAAATGTTGGACATACTCGGAAGATTTTGGATTGAGGGGATTTATCATTTCAAACTCACCTTTCGCAATATACAATGCAAGATCATGCACCAAATCATGTAATTTAAAGGAGCAGTCACCCCCCACGTCAATATAATCAGAAAGAAAAGATCTTGACAATAGCTCATTCAAAATTTGACTGGCAATATCAATAGTCGATTCATTTTCTTTTGGAGTTGGAAGGAAACCAAGTGCTCCCCACACCTTAGAAACAGTAGAACATAAAAATTTGGTGTCCTCTGGGAAGAGGGAGAAAAAAGCAAAGCATGGTTTTATATATGAAGGCAGTTGATCGTAACTCAGTTTGAGAGCAGGCAGAATTCCTTTATCATTTTGTCTTAAATTCCAAATCTCATTGTCTCTGATAAACTCCCACTCTTTCTTATCAACCCTTGAGAACAGTGAACTCCCCAACGTTCTCACTGCCAACGGTAACCCTCCACATTTTTTTACGATTTCTTTCCCAATCTCCAACAGTTGTGGATGTTTTTTCTCATCTCCATCTTCAAAAGCAGATTTGACGAATAGAGAAAAAGAATCCTCCCCAGAAAGGCAACCTAGAAGGTAAGAGTTTGAGGATTTAGTGCGCATCATGTCAGCTATTGAGTGGCTACGAGTAGTCACCAGAATTTTACACCCTTCAACATCCACATCTATTATTTCCTTCAACTCATCCCATCTAGCACGCTCCTCGTTCCACACATCATCCAAGACAAGCAAGAACTTTTGACCACGAAGAGTATTTCTCAAATGATTTTGAAGTTGCTCCGTCTCATAGTTATTGAAGTTTTCCTTAGTTGGGTTAGGAGCAGAATTAAGGATTTTAACAAGCACATTCCTAAGTTCAAAATCATTAGAGACACACACCCACATCTTCAACGGAAAACATTCTTCAATGCTAGTTTCATTGAACACCAGCTTTGCAAGTGTGGTCTTTCCCAAGCCTCCCATTCCCACAATGGGAATAACAGAAAGACTTCCATGATGACCATCTTGCAGCAGAAGTTTTATGATTTTCTGTTTATCATGCTCCCTTCCTATAACATTGGAAGGGTTTACATGAGAATAAGTCATTTCCCTCACGTGCACAGCACGTGTATCTCGGTCAATGATTTGAAGGCCAAACAGGTTCCTATCGGCTGCAACTTTCTCCAACCTCTGCTTGATGTCTTTTATCTGATGCGCCATTCTAAGACGATAAACAAGAGGATTACTTGAAGAGAAGAAACGGCGTACCTTCCTTGAGCAGCTACCATTTGTGTTGACAACGTGCTTCCGCAGCGCTTCACACTCAAAATCATCCACTATGTCTTCCGCGTCGGAGAGGACGTGCTTGATCTGTCTCAGCCATTCGCTCAATGCACTGCTCTGCGCCATCTTTTGCTCAGCATCTAACAGCACACCTTTGATGAGTGCCATAGTTGCTTTCATCTGTTGTAGCTCGCCATGCACACCAAGCGCCAAAGAAGCTTCTTCAACAGCACGAGAAGCGAGCTTTCCTAACAGTGATTCTGCGAATGCGAAAAGAAGGGATTCGGCCATGATTGTAAAGAGGAGGAAGAAAGAGGAATGCAATGACAAGGGGTTTGTATGTTTGATGTTGAATCATATCACATCATTACACATATGTAGGTAATAATGGAAGTTGGTAGGTAGAATAATTGCATTCTGAATCATTTCACACCATTATGGTCTTTATAAATCCCTGCTGCAAAATCACAATGTGAACGATGGACTGGATTGTGGTGCTTTTGATTGGTATATCACATTTTCACGTACAAAAAGACAGTGTGATACGACTTGTAAAATAATGTCATGGGTCCCACTTATTTTATATAATTGTTTTAATGCATCTACTGAGTATGAATGTATGGTTTTTATAATAATAAACAGAGGTGTACGTCTAAAGAAATTTATATTTTAAGTTCACGTGGTGGTTAAATTATGACTAAATCAACACTATTATAAAACAACCCATCAGCACTTACTTGATTTCATTAAGTTGACTGACTTAGGAAAATACTTGGTTTCTTAATTGATTTAGTCGAACCCAAAGAGTTGTTTAGATGTAGATAAAGTGGGGTGTTATGGTACGTGAATCCTATTTCTCCTAATTTTCTTTAAGCAAATAATAGTTTAATGTATATATATCATGTGAAAATTTTCTCCATCAACCTTCTAGATTGCTTCTAAGACCGATTATATTAGCAGCCACGAAGCGGGTACTTCAGTTGTTAGCATTTGAATTGCCATTTTTACCGTTAGCTCTCATAAACAACTATTTTAACTATAAGTATATAAAAATGACTACTTTGCTCATCAACTATTCCAAGTGTTAGGCAGGTAGGGCAATGATCCTTTTGGGACCAAAATTGGAGAAGGAAACACTTAAGAAAATTAGAATAATTTAAAGCTTCTTCAAAGTCAACAGGAAAAAAAAGTTGGCAAATAAATGGGTAAGGATTTAAGGAAATGAGAAAATTTGAGTAATATATAAATAACACTCAACCCTAATATCTTAGTATTTTAGATTGAATGTAAAATGGTGGGATGCTTCACTGATATTTCTAAGACTAAAAAATTTATTTTTCTGTTGTTGGAAATATATATGTTTTAGTATGTTTTGGCCTGCTTGAGAGATAGATGGTTTTTAACAAGTAACATGACAAGGTATAAAGTTGTGGTGACATGCAAGTTTAAAAAATAAAAAATTAAAAGTAGATTTGATAATTGTGGTGGCTATTAGTGATAAGTCATCTCATTATTCAAGCAGCAACCCTAAAGCTCTGAATCAAATGGAAATTGATGGATCTTTCTTTAACTATAGCAGGGTACTTATTTTTCAACGAAAGTGGTAGTAACAGAGCTTACGTTATGGGGATTGAGAGGAACAATTTAGTCAACATCCTTAATAAACTCAATTATCTATTTAAGGCATTGCTGGCTGTCTAAAACAGAAGAAAAGGCATGAAAACCAAAATAACAAAAATAATACCTTAAACTTTTGAGTGTTTTATCAGAGAATTGTCATTACTCTTCCAGTTCACCAACAAATACTTTTTTTATGTGAGATACTTTATGCCAATCCTGTCCAAACTCTGGTTGGTATCTTTCACATAATTCAGGACAACTATTAATCAGTAAATTTTCAAGATTTGTGAGGTGATGCATGTTATCAGGGAGTGACTGCATGTATGGACAGTATTCAATAACAAGCAGTTTGAGACAAATCATTGTTGACAGCCACTCAGGAAGCTCCTTAAGATTGTTGCAGTCAGCAATTACCAAGGAATGTAAAGTGTTCACAGATCCTTGCAACCACTGAGGCAAAGTGACCAACTGTTGCAAACTTTTAAGAGCAAGAGACTTTAACCTTAAATCAGGGATTTTGTTGCCAAAGCCCATTGACAAGTCCAACTCACCACAATTGTCGATAACCAAATTCTCTAAATTTGTAATGACATGAAAGGACATAGACTTTAGATTCCTGCAGTCATGCAAAGACAAATTTTTAAGACTAGAAAGTTGTATTCCTTCCAACAATGACTCCAAATTATCACAAGAATTGAATGTTACAGTCTCTAAAGAAGTCAAATTTTCGATTTCTCTATCAGGAAAATCTAGTTGCCTTGTGGTTACATGTAGGCGACGAAGGCTGATAAGTTTTCTTATTCCTTTGGGCAATTCTTGTAGCTGTATGCACCCATTAAGGTTCAAAGTTTCCAAATTTTGCAGTTTGCATACTGAGCCAGGGAGCCTCTTAAGCTTTTTGTTCCCAAAGAGACTGAGATATCTCAAGTGTTTCAACTTTCCAATGGAGGGAGGCAAACTCTCATATGTAGAGTTACTTAACTCCAAAAACCTCAAGTGTTTGCACCTTGAAACCAATGTATTCATGAAAGCTTCATTGGTGGCATCATCAGGAAATATTATTGTTCTCAGACCTGTGGGAATGACAGCTCCGTCCAGCAAATTATTTTCACTGAATGCCAAATGTCGGGCATTGGGAGATATTTCTGAACTGCGGGAGTATATTGTTTGAAACTCACCTTTGGCAGCATACATAGCAAGATCATGCACTAAATCATGTAATTTAAAACTGTAACCATGGGCCAATTCAATGAAATCTGTAAGAAAAGATCTTGACCATAGCTCGTGTAAAAATTGAATGGAAACATCATCAATTGTCTCACTTTCCTTTGGTGGTGGAAGAAATCCAAGTGCCTCCCACAACTTAGTAACATAAAAACTATAAAATTCAGAACCCTCACAAAAAAGGGAGAAGCTGTGAAGAAAGAAGTCCCACATCCGTGGGAACTTCAATTGGGGGCTCTCCTCCTTCCTATAAAAGGAGCCCCTCCCCCCTTATTTCAAACATCCCAAATCTCTCCTTCTTTCTCTTTTACTTTCCTAGTATTGGTAATTTCCAATTGTAAAGGAAAGAATAGTCATTATAAAATTTCCATTTTTGCCTATTGTCAGAGTTATTTTTCTCGTCTCTATTTTAGTTGTGTGTATTTATGCTGGTACTCTGATCCTAACAGTGGTATCAGAGTTGCGTTCGAGTTCCGTTGCGCGTCACTAGAATAGTGTTGGTAAAATTCTGAGTATGCTCTGTGGTTGCAGTTTAATCTGATCTTCCACATCAGAAAGGAGTTGTTACTGGAAAAGGTGTGGTAGTGTGAAAGTACTATTGAGGAAAGTTCTGGCTAGGAAAGACTTGGTACTTAAGCGTGTCCATTAGTGACCCACCTCTCTTTCCTGGGAACCTACTTGGTGTACTGGTTCACGGTTTACTACTATTGTTCCGGTAGACAATACTATTTATAAGTGATAGTTGCATAAGTCTGTATACAACCATGGCAGCAAAGTACGAGATAGAGAAGTTCAACGGGAACAATTTCTCGTTGTGGAAATTGAAGATGAAGGCAATCTTGAGAAAGGACAATTGCGCAGAAGCAATTGAGGGAAAACCTGCAGAAATGACGGATAAAGATTGGAAGAAAATTGACGGCAACGCTATTGCAAATTTACACTTGGCAATGGCAGACTCAGTTCTATCCAGTGTTGCGGAGAAAGATTCTGCAAAGGAGATTTGGGATGCCCTCATTAAATTATATGAGGTGAAGTCACTTCACACAAGGATATTCCTGAAGAGGAAACTCTATACTCTTCGGATGAGTGAGTCCACATCGGTGACGGACCACATCAACCAACTGAACACCTTGTTTGCCCAATTAGCAGCAGCAAATTTCAACATAGTTGAGAATGAGCGTGCGGAGCTCTTACTTCAGAGCTTGCCAGACTCGTATGATCAACTCATCATCAACATTACAAATAATAATATTGAAGGACAACTACACTTTGACGATGTTGCCGGAGCTATTCTAGAAGAAGAATCCAGGCGAATGAATAAGGTAGAAAGTTCTAAACAAGCAGAAGTTTTGACGATGATGAGAGGAAGATCAGCGGAACGTGGCTCAAGTGGGAGTCAAGATCATGGCAGATCTAGCTCTCGAAACAAGAAGACTTTCAAATTTAAATGCTACTACTGTGGCAAGAAAGGGCACACGAAGAAAGAGTGTTGGAAGAGGAAGAATGAAGAATCAACCTCACAAGGTTGCATTGCGAGTACTTCAGAGGAAGGAGTAATTCTGGTAAGCGAAGCAGCAATCAGCTCTAATGGCGGAAACGAATTTCATGACAAGTGGATAATGGATTCAGGTGCAACTTGGCATATGACCCCACACCGAGATTGGTTTCAAACCTACAAGCCTATCTCAGGTGGATCCGTGTTCATGGGAAATGACCATGCATTGGAGATTGCTGGAGTTGGTACTGTCAAATTAAAAATGTATGACGGTACTATTCGCACAATCCAAGAAGTACGACATGTGAAGGACTTGAAGAAAAATATATTGTCTATAGGGCAATTGGATGACCTCGGCTGCAAGATCCATGTTGAAGGAGGAATCTTAAAGGCAGTGAGGGGAAACATAGTTGTCATGAAAGCAGAGAAAATCATGGCAAACTTGTATGTACTTATGGGAGACACCTTGCAAGAAAATCATGCAACAACTGCGTCGACAAGCCAAGAAGAAGCGGCGATAACATGGCACTGTAGACTTGGACATATGTCAGAGCGAGGTCTGCAGATTCTTGCGGAACGTGATCTCATACCTGGGCTCAAGAAGGTCGATTTACCCTTCTGTGAGCATTGTGTGACAAGCAAACAACACAGGTTGAAGTTTGCAAGAACCACCACAAGGAGTAAGCAAACTTTGGACTTGATCCATTCTGATGTCTGGGAATCACCGGAATTATCTCTCGGAGGAGCAAAATATTTTGTGTCGTTCATCGATGACTACTCGAGGAGATTATGGGTATACCCTATCAAGAAGAAGTCTGAAGTATTTGCGCGGTTCAAAGACTTCAAAGCACAAGTAGAACTTGAGACCGGAAGGAGAATCAAGTGTTTGAGGACGGACAATGGAGGAGAATATGTAGATGGAGATTTTCTAGCATTCTGCAAGCAAGAAGGAATTGTGAGACAATTTTACTGTTCCACACACGCCTCGCAGAATGGTGTAGCAGAGCGGATGAATAGAACTCTTCTAGAGAGAACCAGAGCTATGCTGCAAACTGCAGGCATAACAAAGTCTTTCTGGGCAGAAGCCGTGAATACTGCCTGTTACTTGATAAATCGGTCTCCATCAACAGCAATTGGGTTGAAAACTCCAATGGAAATGTGGAGTGGAAAATCAACCGATTATTCTTCCTTACATGTGTTTGGTTGTCCCGCGTACGTGATGTACAACACCCAAGAAAGGACGAAGTTGGATCCAAAATCCAGGAAATGCATCTTCTTGGGATATGCTGACAATGTGAAGGGGTATCGCTTGTGGGATCCCACTGCCCACAAAGTTATTGTTAGCAGAGATGTCGTCTTTGCAGAAAATGAACTGCAAAGCAAGCAGATAAATGACAGCTCGGAAAAGGACAAGACTATAGTACAGATAGAGAAGAAGACTTCGGAACATTCCTCTGAGTTAGAGGAGGAGCATGAAGAACATGAGCCAAATGAGGTGGAAGAAGGAGAACTCCGACGATCAACAAGAGAAAGAGTCAGACCATCTTGGCATTCACAATATGTGATGGCAAGTCATGATGCGTATTGTCTCCTAAGTGAAGAAGGAGAACCTTCAACTTTTCAAGAGGCCGTGAGTGGTTCAGAAGCTCCTCTATGGATGGCTGCTATGGAAGAAGAAATTGAAGCTCTTCATAAAAACAAGACATGGCATCTTGTGGAACTTCCAAAAGGTCGCAGAGCCATTGGTTGCAAATGGGTCTATAAGATCAAGAGAGATGCCAATGATCAAGTAGAAAGATATCGTGCTAGACTGGTGGTAAAAGGATATGCTCAGAAAGAAGGCATTGATTTCAACGAGATATTCTCACCAGTTGTTAGATTGACAACAATCAGAATTGTCCTGGCGATGTGTGCTGCATTTGATTTACATCTTGAGCAATTGGATGTAAAAACTGCTTTTCTTCATGGAGAACTTGAAGAGGAAATATATATGCTCCAACCAGAAGGCTTCAAAGAGCAAGAAAACTTGGTTTGCAGGTTGAACAAATCTCTATACGGTCTAAAGCAGGCGCCAAGGTGTTGGTATAAGAGATTTGATTCCTTCATTATTAGCCTCGGATACTACGGACTAAGTTCGGACCATTGTACTTACCACAATAGGTTTGAAGAAAATGATTTTATCATATTGCTGTTGTATGTGGATGACATGTTGGTGGTAGGCCCTAACAAAGCTCGAATCCAAGAATTGAAGGCACAATTGGCTAGGGAGTTTGATATGAAGGACTTGGGACCAGCAAACAAGATTTTAGGGATGCAAATTCACCGAGACAGAAAAGATAGGAAGATTTGGCTTTCTCAAAAGAATTATTTACTTAAGATCTTGCGGCGCTTCAACATGCAAGATTGCAAGCCAATTTCTACCCCACTTCCTATCAACTGTAAGTTATCCTCAAGTATGAGTCCTAGCAGGTGAAGCGGAGAGGATCGAAATGTCTCGAGTACCGTATGCATCAGCGAGTGGGAAGTCTTATGTATGCCATGATTTGTACAAGACCGGACATTGCACAAGCAGTGGGAGTGGTTAGTAGATTCATGGGGAATCCTGGTGGAGAACATTGGCAAAATGTGAAGAGGGTCCTTAGGTATATAAATGGAACCTCAAATGTTGCATTATGTTATGGAGGATCAGAAGCAGTTGTCAGAGGCTATGTAGATTCGGATTTTGCAGGTGATCTGGATAAAAGGAAGTCTACTACTGGTTATGTGTTTACCATCAATGGAGGGGCAGTAAGTTGGTTATCCAAGTTACAAGATGTGGTAGCTCTGTCTACTACGGAAGCTGAATACATGGCTGTCACCCAAGCATGTAAAGAAGCTATCTGGATTAAAAGAATAATGGGGGAACTTGGTCACAAGCAACAACAAATTGTTGTGTACTGTGATAGTCAAAGTGCCTTACACATTGCAAGGAATCCAGCCTTTCATTCGAGGACAAAACACATAGGAATAAGATATCATTTTGTTCGAGAAGTAGTAGAAGAAGGAAGTGTAGATTTACAGAAGATCCACACTGAGAAGAACCTAGCAGATGTAATGACAAAGCCGGTTAATGCTGACAAGTTTATATGGAGTCGATCCCTCTATGGCCTATCGGAAGCATAAGCAACATGGATGTGAGAGAAGAAGACATAGTGTGAAGATTTGATTAATTTCATCAAAATCTTCAAGTGGGAGATTGTGAAGAAAGAAGTCCCACATCCGTGGGAACTTCAATTGGGGGCTCTCCTCCTTCCTATAAAAGGAGCCCCTCCCCCCTTATTTCATACATCCCAAATCTCTCCTTCTTTCTCTTTTACTTTCCTAGTATTGGTAATTTCCAATTGTAAAGGAAAGAATAGTCATTATAAAATTTCCATTTTTGCCTATTGTCAGAGTTATTTTTCTCGTCTCTATTTTAGTTGTGTGTATTTATGCTGGTACTCTGATCCTAACAGAAGCAAACAAAACAAGGTTTCAAATATGAAGGCAGTTGATTGTAACTTATTTCAAGAGCAGGCAAAATGTCTTTTTCTTTTTGTGGCAAATTCCAAATCTTATCGTCCCTCACAGACTCCCATTTTCTTTTATCAACCACAGAGACTAGTGAACTCCCTAAAGTTTTCACTGCCAAAGGTATCCCTCCACATTTGTTCACAATTTCTTTCCCAATCTCCAACAATTGTGGATATCTCATCTCTTTCCTTTCTTTAAAAGCCGTTTTGACAAATAGAGAGAAGGAATCATCTTCAGAAAGACGTTCTAGAAGGTAAGAGTTAGAGGATTTGGTGCGCGTCAGGGTAGCTGTTAAGTGGCTACGAGTAGTCACTAAGATTTTACACCCTTCAACGCCTACATCTATTATTTCCTTCAACTCATCCCATCTAGCATGATCCTCGTTCCACACGTCATCCAGCACAAGCAAGAACTTCTGACGTTGAAGTGTATTTCTCAAACGATTTTGAAGCTGCTCGGTCTCAAAATTTTTGAAATTTTCATTACTTGGGTTTAGAGCAGAATTGAGGATCTTAATAAGCACATTTCTAAGTTCAAAATCACCAGAGACACACACCCACATCTTCAATGGGAAACATTCGTCAATGGTGGTGTCATTGAACACCAGCTTTGCGAGTGTGGTCTTTCCCAAACCACCGAATCCTTCAATGGAAATAACGGAGACACTTTTGTCATGACCATCATCATGTTGTAGCAAAAGCTCTAGTATTTTCTGTTTTTCACGTTCTCTTCCTATGACATTGGAAGGGATTACATGGGAATAAGTAGTATCCGTCACATGCACGACGCGTGTATCTTGGTCAATGATTTGAAGGCCAAACATGTTCCTGTCAGCTGCAACTTTCTCCAACCTCTCCTTGATGTCTTTCATCTCATGTGCCATTCTAAGACGGTAAATGAGAGGATTACAAGTTGAGAAGAAACGACGTACCTTCCTTCTGAGGCTACCATGAGTGTTGACAACGTGCTTCCGCAACGCTTCACACTCAAAATCATCAACTATGTCTTCGGCGTCGGAGAACACTTGCTTAATCTGTCTCAGCCATTCACTCAATGCATTGTTATGCGGCTTCTTCTGCTCAGCATCTAACAGGAAAGCTTTGATGAGTGACATAGTTGCTTTCATCTGTTGTAGCTCGCGGTGCACACCCAGAGTCAAAGAAGCTTCTTCAACGGCACGAGAAGCAAGCTTCCCTATGAGCCATGATTAGTTTCAGGGAGATAGCTGGGAATGCAACGCTGCAACGAGAACTTGGTTTAGTTTCAATGCTTTCATGTCATTATTTTATATCTATCAAGTGAAGATTTGACTGGGGAAATAAATGCATATACATGTGTAGTTGGATCATAAATTGTATGGACTGAAGTATCATATCATCTTTCCTTACAATTTAGAAGGGTAGTTTAATATATACATCAATCATAAATAGATATGGTGTATTTTTTTCAAAAACTTAAATATAAACAAAATTAGTTATTTTATACTAATTTTTTGAATTTAGTTACTATCATTAATTTTATTAATAATATTTAAAACATATCTCTTTTTAAGTTATCTTATATTGGAATTTAATATATTAAAAATGGAATCTCAATTGATAGAATAATGAATATTTTTTGAAATTATGTTATTTAAATAAGTTTCAAGTTTACAAATGATAAATCATAAATTAAAAATTTTGGTTTAAATTTATTAATCTATCCCGAAAAGTATACTGTTAATTGTCCATTTTAATGTGTCATGCTATTGAGAATGTAATATGTATTAAAGCTATTCTGTTACATGTACTAATAAAATACGTCTGAAAAATATATTGTTGCAATATTTGGTCTCTAAATATCATTGTTGGATGTAAAAGTTGTGGTGGAGAGTTAAAAGTAGCAAAATATCCACGACATGTACGTCTGCATCATAAATAATTGTGTTTTTATTTTATGTATGACTCTGATTTGCACTACTCGAGTAATAGCATTAGGTTGTGAATAATTAATGACACTGGAGTAGAATGGGTTCAAACTTTCCTTCACTTTCGCAATAGATTTGAGTTGAGTTGAACGGGTACTGACATGAAACTCAAGATGCAAATTCCTTTGAATAATTAGAACAAAATCATTCTCTTCAATTAAATGATTATTTCGTAAGGAATTAACGATCCTAATCCATCAACAATTTAGATACATATGTTGAAGATCTTCCAATGGAGATTACATTTAAAAAAAATGCAGATATAGTTCGCTCTTTCTTTGCTAAAATTTCATCTATATACAAACATGGTCTTTCATATACATATATACATGTGTATGCATGTGGAGTAACAAATATAATTTCAAGTAAAAACAATCATTTGAGAAAACTATCCCTAGAGGGAGAAATCCCTGAAAGTACTCAATAATGGGTATCTCTTCAATGTGGCTTCTGCTTTGCACGTTAATTAGAATCAGAATACCAAAACTCACAATGGTTTAGTAACAGCATGGAATTACTGGAGCGAAAGGGTTTTCAGTGAGGAAGCTCCAAGGTCCTGACGCAGTACCAATCCTGCATACCAAAGTTCATAAATGTTTACATCTTTTAATCTAAACGTCATACACATGGTTTCGGAATTTGTTATGTTTATAATTTTGTTGGATTTCTTTTTTTTTTTTTTTTAAAGAATAGTAGTCTCAAAAAAAATAAAGGGTGTATCCTAAATTATTGCTCAGGGATGTCTTTTATGTGTGGTAAAAGTTACCTCCAAAACCCAGCAAATATCCTTAGAGCCATGTAAATAGACAACGCAATCCAGATACCAGTAAAGCCAAAGCTTGAGGACAGCACATACAGACTCAATATGCTCACCAATGCCACCATAATCTGGGAGTAACAACAAGTACATAAGCCATAATGAAGAAAACTGATTCACAGCAGAAAGGAGGAGTTGGGGGCTGGATAAACATTGCAATAACTCTTTCAAAGTACAAATATAAAGAGAATATAAATGAATTAACTTTTTTTTTTCTCCTTGTTTTCAAAGGCAAAAGGTTGATCAGTATTAATGAATCATGAACACAATCCAAGATACTTGCTTGAGTCTGCAGAAGAATCAATTTTCCTAATTAACTTACCATTGAGTAAGCGGAGTATGTGAAATCTGATGCCCCATAGTTGATTCCATCAAAAACAAATGCCAAAGCATTGATGGGTTGAGTGGCAGCAACATACTAACCAAGCATTCATCAAGTAAAAGAGAGGAAAACAGATGAGCGTCTATAGGAAATCAATATATTGTTAGGCAGAGATAGTGCTACTATTTATATGTCGTATTGATATTACTTACTGGAATGCCAATGCCGATAAGCTGCAGAACATGTTTGTCATTTGTAAATAACTTAGAACCAAAGGGAAGTAGACTCAAAAGAAGGAGTGAGAGCACCAGCCCAAGAATCAAGCCAAGCTGCATGATAAAATTACTCAAGACAGGTGCATTAAGAGAATGAATAGCTAAATAAACAATAGTACATTAACAAGTTGAAATACCTGAAGCACACGTGAGGCAGATTCGATAACCTTTTTGTAATCCTTTTTAGCAAATTCACTTGCAATAATAGCCTGAAAAGAATCTCATTATTGTCTATATTGGCTTGAATGTATATAAGGAACTTATTTTTAGTAAATAAAATACACGGGAATGCGTGAAAATTAATTGTAAAATTAATGAACCATAAAAATCTTCAAAGCTACCTTTTGATTTTACTGTTATAGCTATGTTTGCATGTTTCAAAATATTTGTTTGTCAGTGGTAACGTATGGCCAAGTAAATATGAATTTAGTTTGATTTTGAACAAATTTGTACTTTTAATGATATTAAGTACAGGATCTTTGGCCTACAATATGATGATGAACTACCATTTGTCATGCATTCTCCATAAAATATGAATCAAAGTATTGAGAATGGTATAGTTATGCAAGAAATGCAAAAATTTCTCTGTTTCTCTTCTCCATTCTTCTCTTTTTTCATGTTCTGCTTCTATTTTATGGTTTTATGGTATAAACTGTCTTCGTTAAAAATTAATGATGATTCTGACGCCAATGCAACATACGAGTTTGTGGAAACTCATTAAATGCGAACAATAAGAATTTTGTATACGCTTTAAACAGGCATGACAATAGAAGATCCAATTAGCAGTTTCATAGTGTCTTCCTGGCGCATGCCGAGTGTTGTTTGACACAAGTCGCAACTAGACAGAAAAATGTCTGATAGCAATTAATAATAGTTTGCAATCACTGATAAATCCACTAAAATCTTGTACATATTTGATGCCAGACTCTTCATCATTAACCATAGCAGGGTATTTATTTTGGAAAATTTAGTGCTTGCCTTCGCTTCCTTTGTATTTATTGATTGATGCATTCCCTTCGTATTTATTCAAACTAGCTTTTAAAATAGGTATATGGATTTATTCAAACAAGCCACTAGGAAGTCAACTTATATTAATCTTGAGAATTATAGGTAGGTGTGTACATTTTACCCTATACATGTGCTTAGATATTCTTATCTTGTGTCTTAGAAGCCCCATGGGCAAATCCTAAAAGGATACTTGCACGCTGTGCACATTTACCCTCCCCATACCTAACCAGGTAGAGCCTCATGCATTCGTTCATATCTTTTTGTTAATGTTACAACATAAAATCAATTGGCAAAATGTGGAGCCATACCTAACCAGGTGGAGCCTCATGCATTCATTCATATCTTTTTGTTAATGTTCCAACATAAAACCAATTGGCAATATGTGGAGTAGCCTAACATGTATTTAAACCATACAAAATAATATGAGGTAGGCGATATGAGACTTCCAACACTTTCATATATAGTAAAATATTTTCACTTTAAAGCAGATAGAAATTCTTCATTCCATCCATGTAGGTTGCAAAAGTTATATTTTCCTAAAAAATCAGTTTCTTACTTGTCCAGCAATAGCCAATCCATCGGCAAGCAAAGAGGTTGCCATCCAGATCTGTAAGCAGATTTGAAATGCGGCCATTGTTGTTGATCCTTGCCTCGCTGCTAGGGATGCAGACAAGGTCACACAGAAAGTCACAGCTGCAACTTTAATCAATAACAAAAAACCTGCAACCAAGGGAAGAAAACTGAGTTAGAAGCTTGTCCTTAAGAATTGGTCAAACATATTTACGCAAGACTACAAGAGATTAATCAAATTGAAGAAGTAGGAGAATAATGTTTTGGAACCTCAGAATACTGTTTCTTTCCCTGAAATTTACAACAAAAGAAAAGGAAGCTGTTCATATTCAGATCAGACAGCCCAATGAATAGGAGTCTTGAATTTATCTTGTCATTTTATGTTTAACCATGATAGGAGGTGTTGCAACATCCTATCTATTTTTCAAATTTAGCCATTTTTGTTTTGTGATTTTTTTTGTCCAAGAAAAAGGAACATTCAAAATTAACATAGATTTTTGAACTCAATCAAAGTTTCAGTTTCACTCTTAATTGTAAACATAAAGGCAGAAATACAGTTTTTAGAAAAAGAGAACAAAAAATCGACACATTACAGAATTATTAAACGAGAACTGTCAGATAAGTTTCTGAAGTTAGCAACTGAAATGAAGACTACACAAGAAAAGCATAATTAAGTAAATTGTTATCGGATAGAGAAGTGTTTCTGCAGATCATTTTTTAAAGCCTCTTTAGATAAAAACAACATGCATGTTCATCTGTTTAATTATAAGAAATTAGGAAGCAGGAGATTCTAAAAGTACAGAAGGTGTAGATAAAAATCATAACCATTTTTCAGAATCTTCCCAAATTGAAAGTCTTGCATTCTTGGAGGCAGAAGAACAACTTGTTTCATCAAACTCCACAATAGCATTATGGCTATCAAGTACCTATTTAGTCATGTAACCAGCAAGTGAAATGAGAAACAAGAGTGAAATGTGACTTCAGTTGGAATATCTTGTCTGTGATGATATATCCTTAATCATAAACGAATCTCGAAGGTGAACTTACTGGGAGAAAATGTGGGCAATGGCTGCCCCACTGACTCCCAACCGCACTACGAACATAAGTAATGGATCTAAAAGGATATTTGTTGCATCTCCCATTACTGCACTCAAATTTCACAAGTTACTGAATGAGAATAAGGTATTGTTAATTTTGTGTTTAGAAGTAAATTTAATTGATCTCCACTAATCAACTAGTCTGTATCTATATCTGATTCAAGAAATTTGATTTGATATACATAAAACAACATACAGAAAATACAAAAGTACTAATTTATTTTTTACTTAAAGGATGGATAAACAACTTTTCATGTCAGAACTTTTTCTCTCCCTTTCATATCGTCACTGTTGTTGATTGGGATGTGGAGAACCAATTGGAACTTCGACCATAAATATAAACTCAACAAATATTTTTGTTGCAGTCCTATCTAGGAAGATACCTAACTCGGGAAATGACAATCTCTCTGATGGTTTATCCAGAAACAGGAAATATTAACTACCGATTAACTCAGATCTAGCATCATCATAATGAACTGGATAGAGATAGTGATCCATTGTAAAGAAATCATGAAGTACCTGTAGCATATAAGGGAGTTTTTGTATCTTTGATTCCACGAAAAACTCCTTGAATTGCCATAGAAATAATAACTGCAGGTGCACCGAATGATCTCAATGTCAAGTATTGTTGGGCTGGTTTGAACATAGGAGAATTCTGCATGAAAAATAACATGGCACTCATTTAAAGTCTTAAAATATTTCGAGCAGCTATAAATAAAAATCCAAAATTAAAGTTACCTCAAACAATTATAAAAGGGTTAATGGTATTTTTAGTTCCTAAATTTTAAAACCATAAGTTTTCGTTGCTAAAGTTTTGGAGTAGCCACACTTCAGTCTCTAAAACTAACACTGTAGAGGAAAAAAACTTATGGGTCTAAAGTGGCATTTAAAGACATAGGGATGAAAAGATGTGGTTTTGAAAGTCAGGGACTAAAACCAAAGATGACTCACTTTCTAGGCACTAAAAACATCTTTTGACACAATATTCGGTCGGCCTAAGTGATGTGAAAGATGGATTTATCTCATACTGAAGTTAACATACATTTCATGGTTTGTCCAGAAAGTACTCACAGAATCAACGCCCATGTAATTCAGCATTGGTTTAGCTGTAAAAATGAGAAAGAGAGTTTGTAGGACCCCAAGCACACCGCCAATAACTATTCCTGATGATGCTGATGGAATATAGCTTTTGCCATGGTGTCGTGTAGAATTTTTATCAACATTTGTCGATAAAATGATGCCTTCAAAATGTAAATAAGAAATAAAATTAATTTTAGAGTAAATCAGAAAAGCTTTGGCGATGAATAAAATTGTCTTGAAGGTTATTTCACTCAATTGAATGAACCGTAAAATACAATTTGAGAAATTTTAATGTTTTTTTTTATCCTTGACAAAACGTATATACCACCTTTCTCTGCTTGGTCGTGTACATCCACCAATACACTCCTATTGACAACAGATTCCTCAAGCAGAATTTCTTTTTCTGACTGATGATTTCGTTCATCAACCGCATCTTCCTCAGCAACCAAAGAGGTTGTAACGCTAACTAATGGAATTATAGTAATTTTTGAGATTTGATTGAAAATGGCAATGGCGACTCCCACAGCAGCAAGCTCCACAGGACCTACAAAACAGCATTTCATAATGCAGTCAAATCACAAGCTAATGACTGGAAAGTGGACAAAATATTTATGAAAGGGGAATTCTTGCAGTAAACACTATAGATCTAACAGTTCATGGAAAATATTTAGCATTGTTTCATCTGCAATGGGATAAGTCTTTTGCTGTTATTATTGTTCCATCTCTTCAATTATTTAGAAACACTATACAGGACAGAGAGTGAAGAGAAGTTTTAAGACAAGAAACATAGTTATTACATTGCCCCTCAATCTCCAGAACATGTCCTACGTTTTAGATTTCAAGTCTATGTCTGGTGAAAACGTTAACATTATCACCTTTCACATAGTTTCAGCACTGTTTAGTTTACCCCGTGTCCTCTTCATCATCAGGATTCATAATATAACAAAAACAACAAAAGCCTTATCCAACTAGGTGAGGTCGGATCACAGACTCTATCTGGATTCACAACGTGGGTACCTAAATTTTTCTTCAAAATATGAAACTTCATAAGGTCAAATCTCCAACCAATGTCTTATTGTAATCATAAAAATAGACTTCGGACACAACTTGTGCGTATGAAAAGCGACAATCCCCAAACAGATAGCATTATTAGTCAGCAGCAAACATGGTAATTTGATAAATATTCACAAAAGTCTATTGTATCAGTCTACCAGTTTTCTAGGAAAATGCAAGTCAAACCTATGTGCCCGATGAATGCAGTATCAATTAGAGAAGCAATAGGATCTGCTGCCAAAGCCAGAGTAGTAGGGAGTGAAATATGCAGTATTTCCAAGCCTAATTCGTCATCTGCTAGAGCATTCCTGGAAGCATAAAATAACATGGTACCTTCAATTATCACGAATTTAATATCTACCACAACTAGTAAAACAAGGAAAACTTCATCCAAGTCATAAAACAGTGCAGAGCTAAAGAAATATAGCTGATCAATTAAAAGAAAAAATACAATGCAAGCAATAAACTGTACCTTATGCCAGAAAATAGCATTAAAAGGGGCATGATTCCTGAGAACAACTTCCTCTCTAAACAAAGGAATTTTCAAACACAGGTTTACCTCCTTTCTTCCAGTATTCAGATCAACCAAGAACAATGAAAACTAGAAACAGACAAAAAACACATCATGAGGAATTGAGACACCAAAGATAAAAAAGTAATATTGAAAGGTTTCATGAATCCATACTTCTTTTTCTTAACCCAATAAAGGAAGCAGCATCCTTGAAGCAAAGGAGCAAATATCATTTAATGCAATACGAAAAAGAAAATCAACTTCAAATGATGAACAGGTTGTATCTTTTGGCACACTCGGTAGAAGCCTCCCTCAGTTGTGCAAAACCCAGATTATTCAAAGTTTAATGAATATTATATTGTAACTATTACAATGCAAGATAAATATTTAAAACATATATATTATAAATTTGTAAATCATACAATCATAAATAAATATCTTTAAATATAAATTTTATTTTGCAATTATTTATTAAATGTAATATTAATATAATGCAATAAATATATTATTATTTGAAAATTAATTCAATGTGGACTAAATTAACATTTCAATTGTTTTTCAATGGTCAAATGGAGAAACTACTCAAATAATATTGTTAATGTCAAGTTTTAACAATGACACTTAGTTATTTTAGTAGAGACAAAAGAGTGATGTTGGTCAAACACACTTTGATGTAATCAGCACAGAATAAAATATCTCTAATTTTACAAAAAGTGATTCTTATGAATGAATATTTTAATAAGTAGGTCACATTTAAGAAAATGAAAAAAAAATCAAATATTAGATATAAAATTAACATAATTAAAAAAAATTAAAGGTTAAATAGAGTTACTATTCCAGGACAATAAAACTAAAACCTTATTCTAAATAAAAGGTATTTTTTTTGTTTTTTAACGACAGTCATAAATTCTGTGTGTAGTAAAAACATGAATTTGCTGGGTTAACCAACGTTAAAAAAAAATTGTATTGATACACCACACAGAAACATATATATATATATATATATATATATATATATATATAATCAATATAATTCTTTGTAAGAAAATGAATTGAAAAGTTGTATGTAGTGTCAACACGAACAGTATAAACTGACACAAAACAGATAATATTTTGAATTTTATTTAAACAATTTTAATATTTTAAAAAATTTAATTTATGTGAATATCTATAAATGACATTCATATTGTAATAAAACTATATAAAATAAGTTTTGAAATGAAAATTTGAGGAATTTTAAAAAATATACTCTAATCCATTATAAACTATAATATACGAATATATAAAAATTTGTATTTCTATGAAAACGTTAGTTTAATATAT